GGTTCTACCCCGTTTCCATGGTCTATCTTTATCCTGTGACCTCCCCACGTCAATTATATCTTCTTCTCCACGCCAGTTTCTTCCCCATTGGTTTCTCCCCCGTTCACCTCTTATGACTTCTCTTCCCCTCCCCCACTACGTCTTCCTCCACATCTTTATAACGTTCCACCTTGGTCTTATCTACCACAACAATTATTCAGTATTTACACACCTGTCAAATTACAGGTGGAGAATTAACAACAGGGTCAGAATTAGCAGATATCAACATAGCAAATGCAGTTATATAAGCTAACAGTTAACCTAATACTCAATAAATTAATCTGATTTTAATGAACATTATCAAAAGCAGATATACTCACCAAAATTATTGGTTGTCTCCGCCTGCAAACTGAGAGCACTGAAGCATAATTGGAGATGCACTCACGCCACTCTTTTTAACTTTACAACACAAATTCTTTGCAATCTTGACCTATTTTTTCTGCACTACACCACAAGCCCCAACGTGCACTTTAAAAACTAATGTGTGTGTGTGTGATCCTTTTAGGTGTTTTGGCCACTCTACGACGCTGGTTCCAACCCCTCCTTTCCTGCGGGGTCAAGCTTATGACCACGCCAACTTTCCTTAACTACACAATCTTCAAAACTAGTATTAAACACCCTTTTTCTTGCACTGAAACTAAGTTAAGGGTGTTCAGAATTTGACATAATCACACTGGAGAAGCAAAAATCACTAAAACATATATATATAGTAACACCGGCTAGCTCAAATTAACAATTCTGCACTGCCAATTAACACACCGTGCCAATCACCACGTGGAACCTGTGTGTGAATGTAAACAAACACCTTTAACAACTGAAGGGTCGCAAGCGCAGTGTTGCGAGTTGAATTATCACGCTCAGAAGGAAGGACAACGATCTATGGTTATTTTATTTTATTTCATATAGAGATCCGAAAATGAGAATGCGATTTGTTACTGTATAATAATGAACAAAAAATTAAATCCATAATTATTGTTTAATATTTCTGTATTCCAAATTACATATATCTACAAGTCAATAAATATAATAATTCATTATTTATAATCATTCATTATATATAATCTATGATTATCTATAATCTATATTTATGAATATCTATAATTTATACTTATGAATATCTATAGAATATTTACGATTATCTATAGTATATTTATGATTATCTGTAATTTATATTTATAATTATTTAATCATAAATGATTAAATGATGATTCATTATCTATAGGTACCTATAATTATATATAACCACATATTATATTCAATTTTATAATAGGCTTTAATTAATTGTTGTATTTAGAATCATATACAATTTAAAATCCATCATTATTATATGCTAAATTATAATGATCCGTAATTAATTTGATTATAATTTACAAATATACTGATTAATGTATAAGTATACTAGGTGGTGTAACCGGCGGTGCCCGGGTGCCCTCCCTCCATCGTTATCCACACCCCACCCTCCTCCTGTCATCACTGAAGCCACTGGTGCGTTAGTGGCCCTTGCGGGTAAATTCAGGTAAAACAAATGGAAGGAACAACCTCAATTAATGTGGAGGATGACTTTGGCAAATACACAGCCACGAATTTCCAAGTTGGTTGTATAGGGCCAAGAGTCCAATCAAAAGCTGGAAACCACTGTTCTAAAGTGTCTTGTTTAAAATTAAGAATTCTGTATTTGCATTTTGTGCAAACCGTGGTGCAGATCAGCATAGAATAGAACAGTGGGGGTGAGGCCGCCATGCACCCACAAGAGAAGCATGCCAGTGGCAACGCGATGGAAGGGCGGGAGGTGGGTCAGGTAAAACCAACGCAGACCAAGTTTATGCGTGGTATGAAAGGCCAGTGTGACCGCCCAAGAGGTACATGGCATGGAAATGGCAGAGAAAACGTTTAACCAAGAGGACTCGGCTAGGCCAAAGGCCTAGAAAATGAGCACTCTCTAGTTTCCTATTATGTCTCATCATTCTATTGTTTTTCACTTTGAACTTAAGCTTGTTAATTTATATAACTGGCCACTTTCCCCAAGACACTTGTACTGTACTTGATCAATATCTACCTTATTCATTCTTTCTTCCAATGAAGTGAGAGCAAGTTGCCTCGGTCTTTCTTCATAGCTCAGGAATGAGTTGTGTCCCGGGAAAAGTCTATTGGCCTAAGAGATTCTATTTTTTTCCCCCCAATTAGCACCCGTTATAAACCACAAAGATATTCTTACTCGTTACCCCAAATCAGTGAAAGAACGTATTGCTATGAGAATCGGCAACAGATTCATCCTGGTTTCTTACCTATATTGACAAAAACAGTTTCAATTGTCACATTCTCAATATTTTAGTTTGAATTCTTGTTCAAATCTAAAAAAAAAAAAAAATATATATTAACAGATGGTATATTTATATCAACTTTCCATTTTGGCCAACTCTTTCTTTAGATTTATCCTGCATCATAGTGCTATAACAATTATGTTCATCGCACAAGCTTCACATTTTCTCCAGGCTGATTGTTCAAGTTTAATGTCAACCTCACAATCTACCAGTCTACCTAGACCATTTCCCCTCTTCTGGCATGCATTCTTGAAGTAGAATCTGTTGCATCATCAATGAGTGGACACTGAAAAGTAGCACTTTATCAATCAACATTTTGGATGTTGGGTGGTGGGTAAGAAATGTTAAGTGTTGTAGTGCTAAATGTGTTATGTAGGCTCCATTTTTATCCTTATGCACTGAAGTTGGTTATTACAAGAGATTATATAAATCCTGTAAGGGTCAAGCAAAGTACTCCAACCCAATCATGTCAAAATAGATGTAATGGGGAGATTATTGGTAGACATGTGAGAAGAGCTCAGCACCCAAATGTGCCTCATGGAAAACCTAATTGGGTTACAGTATTGCATCCCTCTGGCCAAGGGTAAGGCTGTGTCCATACAGTCCCCATACAAGTGAGATCCAGTGGCACAACTAACTTTGTGGTGTGTACAGCAGTCTCATTTGTATCATGCCAAAAAGTTTGTTGGCAAGGGGGTATATAACAGGGGTCCCTATGGCACATCACTAGCTGGCACAGCACATCAAGTTTAAGGCAAGGAAGTGTCGCAACTAAAAGTCTGTAGCAACTACTTACACATGCTGCAAACGCCCACATATTTCCCACCAATCAACAAACATGTTGGTCCAAGCCAAGTCAAGTGGATGGGAATACAAGGCCGTCTAACCACAGCATCGGGACGAAACTTACAACAGAGCAGTCGGCCACAGCATCACTTCCTACTAGTCATGGTTCCTGCCATTTCACCAAATGAACTTGTCTGCAGCCACCAGCAGTGACCAGCCTCAGTCCCCTGCACTCTCAGACTGGTCTAAATACAATATCCAGCTGATACCAACTCTGCCACCATTTTACACTATGGCTCGCCTTGTCACGATACTGTTGTACCATACAACCACCACCAATGTAACCATTTATATAAAATATACATCTAGTTACCATAGTGAGTGTATTTTCCAACATGTCGGGGTATCCAAGGATGTGTAGACCACTTGTCTTTACTTAAATTTTCTACAGTACAAAAGTATGAAATGAAATGTACAACAGAGGTTAGGTATAAAAAAAATTGGGGAAAATTATATAATGGTTATTAGAGTATTTTATTGCATTTATCTGCACTACTCTTAACAGTTCTTCTACAATCACATGAATGTACAGTACCATCAAATAATGTTACACTTTCTGTTACACTACTATAATACCCTGTACAATATATACTGTGCTCATTATCAAGGCATTGTTCATTATGATTTGTCTCGAGTATTTTTTGTGCAAGAAGAGATGTATCAAATAACTGTATGGTGTATAATGAACATGAAGTTAGACAACAATTCACTCAAAACTCATGTTAACATTTTTATTACCACTGTACAAGGAGGCACTGCTTTATGTAGTCATGTAACTATTTCACATGTACATTAATGAATAAATTATTAAAAAGAAAATTCAGCAAACTAATAAAGCCTTACATCAGTTGTGCCTGAAAAAAATGACAGTATAGTGAAAACTTGCGGTGTAGCACATATAGAGTACAGATGGCCTGAATTCTGTACCGTGTTGGATAATGTGGTTTTGGAAAATCGGCATACTTTGCTAGACTTCCCACAGATCCTGACCATGGCTCTATAAGACTAAAGTTTACCAATTAAGATCACTGCTTTTGACCAGCATGCAAACTCTTCTCTACTCCTCTCATCATGCATCACTTCAATGACCATGCACTCGCACTGCAGTCAACACTGTTCTCTCTCATGAACCAACTTACTGCATCATAATACACTACTGACTGTCACAGTACCTATTAATTTAGAAAATCTGGACAATTTTTTACCATACCATCTAAAACATGGGTCTAACTTCTTGTTGCCAGTTTTTTGGGTTCTCACACATGCTGCAAATATTAACTTTTGCATTCTAGTACTGTATTTAAATATTTTGCCCCCCAAGCATTCTGGACTTATGTACTGTATTTGTGGCTAAAAGGGAAAGACTTCCAATATACACCTATACAATTTTATTTGCATGGGTCAGGCTTTACAGACTTTTTAAGAATGAAAACTCCCTGGCCATCTGTAACAGAGCACAAAATGTCAATGATGAAAGACCTAACCTGTATACAGATATTTTAATAATTCTTCGTTACTACTACTACTTCAGTGTAATTAATTTGTGACTTTGACAGTTATGAATGTATAAACAATTAAAAATATAAATGTTCATCTCTATTATTAATAAGTTGTACTGTGATAAATTGTAGGTAAAAATCTTAATGATCAAGTCAATTTTATTGATACAAGACATTACCCTTTCTCAATAAAATAATTTGTCATTCCTTTATAATAACTAAACCAATATGATTTTTTCCTTCATGCATCTCAAGCACTAAAGAAAAGAATGGGTTACTGAAACCGAGTATTCAAAGCCACATCTAATTACACAAGGGCTGGCATACTACTGCAGATAAGCAAAATAATTATTTAACATTACTCGGGCAAAGTCTGTGACAATGTTAACATTACTCAGTTGTTGCATCTGTAACCCCAGCAATTTCCAGTTCCATAAGTACAGTGTCCAGGTAGAATTCATCTGGGTAGCCATGACCACTGATATTAGAGGAGGGCTCTGTTTTATGGTGAATGTCATTCCAAACTATCACATCCCTCAACCCAGAGGTGGCCGATGTACCCACTGTGAAGATCAAGCGCCGTTTCCATGCCTCTTGTAACAGTTTCAGTACCTGCATCAAAGAACACAAATGCAACGAGTGAAGGGAGAGTAAAGATTACAGCAAGCATAAGTAATTTAGGACAGTGTAATGAATATAGGTTACTGTAAAGTGGTGGTGGTATGTTTTGTGAAATTGTGGGGTTGTATTTTGGAGAAATTTGTTGCATGCTGTTCCAACAAGCAGGAGAGGGAAGCAGAAATGCACAGAAATGGCATGCAAATACCCCCCTTGCCATGTCAGGTTGGTATTTGCAAGGAGGTTGGCTGGTAAGATTCCATGGATTTACCGTTAGATACCGTAGGTGAAAAAGCTACGCCTAATTGTTTTAAATGATATCTCCCAGCCCTAATTTAGAACATGTTCTAAAATGTGACCAATAATAGGATCTACAATCTATTTCACACCACCACACAGTTTTGAAGGTTTCAAGCTTACAAGCAGGTGACAAAAACTTTTTTCTCTGGGTAGTGATTTTTTTTTTTTACACATTATTAATGTATATCTAAAAATGTATTACTGGCTGTATATACACAATTATTTGTCGCATACAGTATAATCTTATCTTGAATTATGGGACATTATACGTGTTCAATGCATGTACTGTACAGTACTGTACTTTTGCCCTTCAATATTTGGATACCAGTTTACATTAAATGGTTCTAATTGTGATCAACAAATGTCTGTCACCCAACAGCCTCAGGAGAAGCAGCTTGTTAATATAATACCACCAGAACCATGATGGGAGGTGCCTGTCACTCGGTTTTTGCCATGGCCTTGACCTTGAGGCGTTTTTGGAGCTTACTGTCCCTGCAGCCCAGTCCTTGACCAGGCCTCCTGCAATACAAGGCCATGCATGCAATGCTGATACACACTAAGCCAAAATAACGCAAACTCAGTAAGTTATTATCAAAAGAAGGCACCAAGCCTTTGATGGGTATGTAGCACCATCAAATGTGGGGGATATTGAAAAGGCACTAAATATCACTGAGGATGCCAATACGAGAACAAAAGTACACAAGGCAAACAAACATCAAAGGTATCCGATTCACCAAGGATTCTATCAAGGGACAGGTGACCGCAAGGGACAGTCAAGCAGCAAGACGCAAGCACATCCTGGAAGTCAGGACATTCAACAAGGATATGCACGATCGTAAGAGGGACAAAGAGCAGGGCGGCTCTCCATTAAGTGCCCGTCGAGTTAAAATGGGTATGGCCAATATGTATCCTAACCAGAGCTGTTTCCCACTGCTGGTTATGATGGTAGGAAGGCCATGGGGACATACTACCCATAAGAACACGCAGCTTGTTACCAGTATCAAAAGACCAGCGATCCTGCCAATGGGCATGGATTGAGAACGAATATTTGGGTACAAGTCAAAATAAGGAACACCTTTGTGGAAAATGGGACAAGTGTGGATAGCCTCCTTCGCTGCAGCATCCACATGCTCATTTGAGGAAACACCAATATGGCTGGGAACCCAGCAAAACGCAACTGTCTTAAATCTACTGGAGATAAGAGCCAATATTGAATTTTGACGACCACAAGGACAGGATTAAAGAACTCCAAAGCCATAAGGGTACTGCGAGAGTCAACGACAACAACAAAGGAACAATGACGGTGAGAAAGCAATAGACGAAGAGCATACAAAATTTCATAAAGTTCTGCTGTAAAGATGCTAGTCTCCGTGGCAGGCAACAAAGATGCAATCAGGAAATATAATGGAGTAACCTACACCATCGGCAGACTTAGACCCAACTGTGAAGACAGTTGTGAAGAAAAGCGAGCAAGGAAAAGGCATTTCAGAACTGTAAGAGGAATGAAAGCTTTAGTCATGCTGGTCAAGGTTCTACAAAACTTTGGAAGAGGGACCATCCATGGGGGCAAGGATGGAATGACAAGGAGAAACTTTGGAAACACGAATCGAGAGAGAACCTTGCAAGTGAGAATCGTACAGAAAGGGAAAGATGGTGAAATGGAACAGGGCCCGAAGGAAGGGTAATGGTCAAAGTACGACATAAGCAAGAGTGAGGGTGTTGTAGGGACCCTGCAAAGAAGCAAAGACAGTAGTGATCATGGTAATGAAACTACATTAGTTTCAACTAATGTAAACTCATTACTCAATTGTAAACTCAATATCTCATGTTATACCTAAAACTGCACATAATTAGTGGCTTCATAAACTGTACAAATGATGTATCTACTATGTAACTACTGATATGATCCATTATTTTTATTTCATCCAAACATACAATTTCATGCTTTTTAATACTGCATAGCAAAAATTTTTGGGGGTTTGGCTAGGATATGGCCAGAATTCAAGGGTCCGGAAGCACAGTGGTCTACATTGTTGGCTCATTTCAGATCCCAGATTCAATTCCCATGAAACTACTGTTGGGAATGTTTCCATTTATCTGATGAATGTTCACCTAGCAGTAAATACGTACCTGGAAGTTAACCAAATTGTGGGGTTTGCATCCAGAGGAAGGCAAGTAGTTGGTTAAGGGTGGCCTTGATAAACCCAGGTACAGGCTTCCTTTTCAAACAATGGGACACCAAAGGGAAACTGCCACCATACAAGAATATTGGTGACTTATAGCAATGAGTAACATATTACCAATAATTGGGTTAACAACCAAGTACTGTATATACTGAATTGCACTGTACAATACTATAGTATTTATTATTTGAACAGTTATGAAGGACAAAATGTATTATACTGAATCTCAAACACTGCTGCACTTGCATCTAAGAATGAGTCAGGCTTGTACCTTATTTCCCTTAGTATTGTCAGGAAGAAATGCAACCCGTGGAAAAGCATGTGCTCTGTACGGTTCTCCAGGATTAGGATGCTCTGGTCCTTGAATACCATCTTTAAAGCTGAAAAGTTCAAAGCATTATACTTTATACCATTTAAAGACCTACCAAAAAAAAAATTCAACTAAAATATAAAAACCATTTAAATTTGCTTAAGAAATTGTCTGGTACCCTTTTGACAGGTTAAAAATGAAGTGCAGCATTTGGAAAATGTCGGTCAATAAAATTTGATTAGGATTTCTTGCATCTCCATACTGCTACCAACAACTCTCACCTGTTTGGGCAATTTTATAATGTTGGCTTCATGTGCCCCTTTTAAATTAGTATCCTTAACTTTACTCTATTATTAACTTTTGTTAAAACTTATTTGGGGGCACTGTGGCTTTCTTGGTGTGGTGTGGCATACCAAGATGGGTATGGGGGTGCATAATAAATGAACTAAACTATGTTGAACACTGTCGTTTCGTTACACCCCACACATTTTATTGATTGACATATGTTCTGTTACTATTGCTATTCATTTGAGACTGCTACCAAGATTAGAGTTGAATTCACAGCACCACACAACAGTATAAATTACGTTGTGAGAGCCCATGACCTACTCGTTTGATTCACTCCGGCGTTGTGAGAAGGTCAACGGCCTAAGTGAAGGGGATTTCAAACTTTTCAGGCCTCGGCGATTGCTCGTGCCTAGTCAATTGTTCTTAAATGGTCCCAGAGTGAGGAATGAGCTGCTTACTACACTTAGCGTGTTAGCTAAGCAAGTCCTTCCTCAGGAGATCCATCCAGACTTTCAGTTAAAGTTGACGGATGCAATATTAGAATATCACGACAGGAATAAGGATAAAGAAATTAAATGTATTTTCTCAATTCCAAAATAAATTCCAACCAACTTTTTCACACTAAAAATAAGGTCACCTTATATCATTGGTTTCATACAAGGTACACAGGCTCAAAATTGTATCAACCTTTCCAATGCTGCTCATGTCATTGCTCTGTTGTCTCTTATCTTCCTGATGGTTTTCCAAAAATGGTTGTAAACCTTCTTTAACAGAATGCCACTTTAGTATTTACAGATGTACATGTCCACTCACTCAGAGCTCAAGGTGATGTGACAAACTGTTCGTATTTCCTTAAAATTAGTAAGGACTGTTGCTCAACAGTAAATCTGTTGCATATACAGTACTCTCATTTGTACCTGTACTGAAATATAGATAACCCTTACTACTAAAGTATCAACTTATAACTTGCCTACATTTCACATTTTTCAGGCCATTTCCAAAACCTAATTCAGTACCCCAAGACCATGGCTGTTTAAATACAATATATTAAACATTTATGTCATAGAATTGTAAATGATATGCTGTACAAAAACAAAAAGGCTTGAGTGCAGACAAGACACTACTTTTCGAACATCCTACTCACTTGCTTCTTTAAACAATGTCCCCCTACTCTTCCGTGGGCACGTCCAAACCATGATCACGCCAATTGGTCCAATAGAAATCCTTCACTATGCCCCTTACATGTCTTTAGTGGAGAAAGTGGAAGGCTGGCAATTTCTTTAACCAGCCTAGGTACCTCTTAAACCAAGGTACTGCTCTTACGTCTGTGGTAAGAGCAGTCAGGTCACAGCTAAAAGGCCTGAATTTGAATTCTTGCAGAAGTGTTCAGGCAATGTTTCTTTTCACTTAGTGACTATACCGAGCTGTAAGTACTCGGAAGCTAGGCGACTATTATGCATTGTATCCTAGGTAAGGATAGTTGGCCTAGAGGGACCCCAATAAGCCTAACAGGCATCTTTTTCTTGATGATGGGAAACCCTAAGGTGAACCCACACAATTGACAATGAATGGTGAATGAGTAAATGTGTTACACATCTACTGCATATGATGTGCTCTTACCAATGTGTTGCACTCCCAACTTTTGGAACATCTTTATTACTGTTCATTCCTACCAATATCACATATCACAGATACTGTATCTAGATATTCAAAATACAGTGTAACACGTCTTTACATTTTCATCTTATTATGACCTTGATTCTAAATAAAAAAAAAGGGCTTATAGTAAAAATAATTAAAAAAAAAAAAATACTCCGGCTAACATACCTATACTTTATAATAATTGTACCACAGTCAGGATGTCCTGGAAGCTTGTAGGGTGCCCACTCAACTTTCATAGAGCCTTGGGGTTGGTTGCCTTGTCTAATTCCATATATGGCTTTGCAGTAAGGACACTGCAAAAACTTTGGTGAAGCTTTAACCATCTCCTTCACACACACGAAATGAAAGATGTGTTTACAGCGGACTAACTGCACAGTACCAAAACCATTTGACCCTGGGAGAAGATAAAATGATGGCATTTTAATGAGCATTCCAGTTAAAAGATTACAACAAATGTGATGAGATTTGTTTATTCCCTACAATACAGTAGTAATGGCTATTCTCCACAGTACAGTAGTAATGGCTATTCTCCCTCCTACTATAAGTCAAGGTTAGGTTTATGCAAGCATTACCATTATCAGGATAATATACTCAATACAGAACTATTATTTGGTTATGCTAAATTAAAATGAGTAATAACACATATTACATACTGAGTTCTAAGGAAATTGTATTCTGTATGAGTTAGTTTAGTTCATTTATTATGCACCCCATACCCATCTTGTATGGGTATGGGGTGGGTTACAGAGGCATATAATGGGCTCAGGGACAATGTATGAAACTTCTGTTTTACATTTAAAGTGTACAAATGACTGTCCAATCTAAAGTAGTGTATCATAAATATACAGTACAATGCCTTGTTACAAATACAATACTGTACTCAATTTAACTCCCCATGTACAGTAGTATGATTTTGAATATTGTTAATTTATACCTCGATCTTTCACACTGAGAAATCTTCATAATTATTTAATTGATTTGGAAAATGTTAAAACACAAAACAAAAATTCTCTGAACAAACTCTCATACAGTACCAGGAACGGCTGAGAACCTCAGGACTAGCAACACTACAAACCAGACATGACAGGGCTGATCTCTTCAACACCTTTGAAATTCTAAATAAATTAGGACGATGTTAATCCAGACCACTTCTTTAAAAAGTCTCTATGTAAGCCTCAACTTTATGATTGCTTTTCAGTACATGGATGGCAAAATATTACAAAAATTGTTCACAACCTTTCCAAGATCAAAGTTGGAATTTGCAATGGTTGTATGGTGGCCAAATCTCAAGAAGCACATCAGTAAACTGGAAAAGGTGCAGACACATGCAACTAAATGGCTCCAGGAACTGAAAAACAAGAGCTATGAGGAGAGGTTTGAAATGTTAAATATACCAAAGCTACAAGATTGAAAAAAAGTGATATGATCACAACATACAAAATAGTAATTGACAAGAATTTTTGAAAATTGCAACATCAAGAACAAGACAGGCTCAAACTAAGGAAGCAAAGTTGCCAAAAAACACCACAAAGTTAACCACAAAGTTTGCAAACAGTGGTAGATAGTTGGAACAAGTTAAGTGAGGTGGTGGGTAGAGGCCACCCACCTCTACCAATCAATCGGTAGTTTCAAATCATGGGACAAAGAACGGGACACCATAAGCAGAGCTCTAACATTTTAACTACACTCGGGCAATTACAAGTAGCAGTGAATTGCTGCTACTCCACAACCCCAGCCAGACCAATCATGCATCAATTGCCAAAGGACTCCTCCAGAAGCCAGTGGACTCATTCTTTGCCACACCAGTGTTGGAATTGATCCAGGAAGACACGGGCCACGGGCTGCCTGGCTATCAGTACTAATAGGTTCAAGCTAGTTTCAAGTGAATCTTAGTTGTCTGTAAAGCTTCACTGACTTTCTGAATGCTTTACCTGTGGGATGGGAGAGTATTACTCACTCCCTGCAACTGTGGGGGAGGGGGGGAGGCCAGGTTTTGGCTCTGGTCTGCAGAAGTTCAAACAGAACTCCTGCAAATGATGTGAACCAGTAGAGAGCAGCAATATCATTGAAACAGCTTCAGGGAGCCAACAAGAAGCTCCAAGAAAATTACCTCAACTACCCTTAAACAAATTTATCAATAATAAGATATTAAACCAAGTATGAGTAATTGATCTGTGTGAAGTACTGTACTCTACACCAATATTTGACCTCTTAAGACGTGCACATTTTTAGTTTTAATATTACCCCCTCCCCATCAATACATACATACACGCATAGAAAACAAATCTTATGATCCGCAATTAGGGATTAAGATTGCAAAAGTGCAAAAGTGAGATTACATATCAAATAAAATTGCAACAGATAACACTATGAATATATTTACAAGCAAATTTGATGGGTAATATTAACTCACATTGTCTGGGACAGGAAGTCTGTGTATATGTATTCCTATTTAGAGTACAGTAAATATAATACACATTTCCTTAATTAAGCAAACTTGCCTTGTGAACAAGATGCATTCCCTGGAGAATCCTCATGTTTTATATCCTCATTAAAACCAGACTGATGCCTTAGGCTCACTATGCATATTGAACATATTTCATCTGGAGGTGATGATACCTGGCGGGTGTAATCTGCCAACAGCTATAGAGAGCACATTACAATATTCATAATTTAACATGAACAAAAGTTTATAAATCACACTCTTGACATTAAAATCTGCATTAGTTAAATCATGTAATCAGTGGGGAAAATTTAGTAGTAGAGATTTGTTCCTTTCACCTTGTCTACCGTAGATAATGAAGCATGTTCTGGATTTTGACTACCACCCTCAGCACCTTCATGCAGCTGGACAACAGCTGGAGGCTGACTACCGGTACTACTACTATTGCTCGCATTTCTGGATGTATTAGTCTGCAAAACAAATATGTCCAGAAAAGTTAGATGTTCATGCTGCTTTCAGAATTTTTTTTAACCATTATTACTAATAAAGGTACACATCCTTAGCAAAATAAAGATTTTATTTTAAATTTTATATAAGCACATTTAACTTAGGCACCTTTAAAGTGCCCCAGATAGCATTTTCCCAGATAGTTAACAACTCACTTCTAAGAGACCGTTCACACAGGGATTTTCAGTCTTTACCTAACCTATGATACACATTGGCGATGGTTTACAACACAGCTGCTAAACAACATTCTTCATACATTTGCCTGAAATGCTTTGCATAAGTGGCTTCATTAGTATGTGTAATGCCTGTCCCTACAATTGTACCCTATACAATCATATTCTTTGTACACACATTGTACAAAGTTGTGCTTGCCCCCCACAAGCACAACTAGGTTCTTGAGCTTTGGCTCTTTGGTCCTGCCTCTCAACTGTCAATCAACTTGTGTAAAGATTCTGGAGACTACTGGGCTCTATCAAATCTACATTTTAAACTGTGCATGGAGTCTGTCTCCACCACATCACTAGCTAATGCATTCCATTTATTAACTGCTCTGACAAAAAATTCTAATGTCCTGTGGCTCATTTGGGTACCAAGTTTCCACCTGTGTCCCCTTGTTTGGGGAAGTGGGTAGTACAAGATACAGTGAGAGTTTGAAGCACAAGGAAAGAAACTATGAGGAAATTAGGTATTTTTTATTCTAATTTTGAGCAGGACATAGGTTGGAAATTTTTTTAATTCAGGGAGTGAGTTCCAAAGACTGGGCCCTTTTATTTGCATGGATTGTTTGCACAGATTTAGTCTGACTGGGGATATCAAAGATATTTATTTCTGGTGTGGTGCTCATGGGTTCTATTACATCTATTAATTTAAGGAAAAGTTTCAGATCAAGATTAGCATTCAGGAACAAGGTTTTGTCCATGTAGATAACACATGAGAATGTATGGTATGTGTGTATAGCATATTAAGGGACTTAGAGAGGCTGTGTGTGTTGTCTGAAGACAGTTCATTATAGTTCTGATAGCAGAACTATGTTCATGTTGGCTGTCTTGCCTTATGAACTGGCATCACTCTTGCTTTTTAACCCCTGCACTGCGCAAAGCGCCTTTAGGCGCTCAGAGAGTTGTGCTTTTTGGTTTTTAATTTGGCTATATTTTAATGTTGTTTAATGTTTTCATTACTATTTGTGTTTTGAAATGGAAATAGTTGACTTTGGAAACATTTTGACATTAAATTTACCTGAACATTTGTAAAAATAACAAAAATATGTCCTTGTCAATTGCACCAAGACGTTTTTGGCGAAAATAGGTGAGCAGTGCAAGGGTTAAGGATATCAGGAAAAGTATGACACTAGAGATTTGTTGAATAGTAGAGCAATGGGGTAGTGCAAGAGCTGAGGCAGCACTCTTATACATCATAGATGGTAATTTCATAATGTTTTCAGCTTTGGTTTTAAGTGATTGAATTATGGATATAATATCTGTCAGACTGACTGGTAAAAGGAGTAGAGAGTTGGGATAGCTGCCTGTGAGATATGTAGCAATATGTGTCTGGGTCTTTGGGATTTTTCTAGCAAGGTTTACATCAACTGATGAAAAGGAACTATTGAATTTATTTGCAATATCTAAGTTTGTTGCAAGTGTGTAACCATCTTTGGAGAGTTTTATCCGTTTGTTGTGTGATTGGTATTTAGACCCTAGGATGTTGGAGATGGCTTTCCATGTACTTTTCACATTTCCTTTTGCTTCTTTAAATCTATTCACATAAAATGAGGCTTTGCCTCTTTGTATTATATTGGTAAGCATTGATGAGTATCTTAACTTCTTATTTTGTAACTAGGCTAATTCTATTTTTTTCCCAATATTCGTGTTTCTTGTTAATTGCTTTAAATATGCCAGTTGTGAGCTAGGGGTTGAAGGGTTATTTTATTTATTTATATACTTATTTATTTATAAACAAGAAGGTACATTGGGGTTAAGAGAGTACATAGCAATGATGATTTTACATTCTTGTAAAGCCACCAGCACGCATAGCGTTTCGGGCAGGTTCTTAATCTAACAGGTAATTTTAGGTTAGGTTGAAATTTGGTTAGGAGAAATGTAGGGTAATGGTCTAAGGTGCTATCAATGATTATCCCTGAAGTAAGCGGAGAGATTATGTTAGTCCAAATGTGGTCAAGAGCCATGGCAGTACTATCAGTGATTTCCAGTAGGTCTGGAATCTAATTTTAGATAGATAATTTCCAGCAAAATTGACAAAAAATGTTTACAGGTATATTGTAAGAAATTTTGACAATACACAGATTAGATTCATACACAATAATGACAATACACAATATGACAAAGATTAGTAGGTACATTAGGGTAAAATTTGGGTGTTATCAGCTGGTTCATTATAGCACAATACGTATATAACAAGCAGAACTATGGCCGGGTTCTGTGAGAGGTCATTCACTCGGATATTACTTATAACAGTTGATTATAACGATTATGTACTAAATCAACTTCCGTCAACTTCTTGACAAAACCTTAACGTACACAAAACAGGAAAACATATGAACATTTGACTTCATGCAAGGCGCCTACGAACACAACTACTAAACATACGGGTATACAATTACACATACCAAGTTAACTCAAGGCGCTTATAAATCTTACCCTATTGGAGCGGAATAATCTTCTGGTATTCATTATGAGAGAATGAGAGGAGAGGCGGCACCTGACACCACCGTGACGCGTGACACCTCACGGCCTCTACTGACACTGACTAACTGACCCGCGCCAGGCGCCACGCCGCTCCTTATATCCCTCATGCAACGCAGTAATGTTTCCACCTTTTTAGATGTGTTTCTAGTTATTTCAAGCTTTATTATTATTCCAGTTTGGCCAAGGATCATTGTGTAAAATTAATAATATCAATGGAAGAGACAATAGGTAATATCTCTCAGCCAGCGTGTCAATTAAAAAAACAAAAAATGGCCAGACGTACGATCAATCACTGGCTGTGCAATATATATATATATATATCCTGTGCATGTGCAACTGACAGATTTTGTGTTGTATGTGCATACTGGTCCCACGTCTGCTCTTCTAGAACATACAAAGATAACTATTACTACTTTAGGAGGTATGGATCATTCAATAAGATCAGCAGACGTCTATAGACGTTCCTTTTGGCTTAGGGTTTGCACCACCTGTTGAAAACTTTACTAAATGCAAACTCTGTTAGCAGCACTATTCACATACATTACATCACTATTTAATCAAATGCGAAAATATCTCGGAATTCAGAGACAACTCTTATCAGCGGTGTTCAAGAAATGACGTGAAAATACTTGCAGGCGATGAGTCACAATAACATGGCTGAAGTATGTTGACCACATACTAGAAGGTAAAGGGACAACGACGTTTCGGTCCGTCCTGGACCGAATCTCGGAATTCTGCATTCTCAATTGACTTGAGAATGGTCCAGGACGGACCGAAACGTCGTCGTCCCTTCACTTTCTAGTGTGTGGTCTGGTCAACGTGAAAATACTTCATTAAAAACGATGTTCTATCGGAAATCTTAGCCACGTATCCAAAGAACTCTTTTTTTTCCTATAAGCTTAAAAGTATACGCAGCAATGTACTTCTATCATATTCTGTATGAAAGATTACAGTGTTGATCAAATACTAGCTATAAGTTCATTTGATATCCCCATATCATGGGGATGGTTAGTCATACATGGAATCAGGAGAGAACATGATATTAGCCTCCACTAGCAAACTCTGGGGTAGAGCACAACAATATCTTCTGCTTGCCGTGTGCATGTGATAAGTCTGAAAATTAGGTTGAATATGGGTGTTCTAATTTCAATTTAATAGTATAAGTATTCAATAGTACCTAAATTGTGCAGAAAAATATTATTTGAAATTGCCGCCAATTGTGCTCATTCGTAAATGCATAAAAATAACACATGAAGCCTCTTATGATCACTAATATTGCCAATCTGTACTGATATATGGCATCTATAGCAAAACCTATGATAAAATTTTTATATTTATTAAAGTTTTGCCATAAATTGTAAGTTAGCTAAAATATATTCATGTAATTTATGTAGAGGGTAGTTGTCCAAATATTTTCTTAACCGTGCCCATGTAAAACACATTAACTGTTAATCATCTATCCTCAATAATTACATATATATATTGAATTAGCATTAAAAATAAGGTGAAACATATTAAAACAGGCGAGAGATGGCAGGAAGGCTTCGAACCCACACGCGAAAATGTCAGTAACCCAGCTACCTTGCTATGTTTTACCGCAAGCTGATTCCAGGCGAAAATAACCAATTTATGCTAGGCTGTGCGTCTGTAAGTACTGTGTGGGACCCGGACTTGACATGCTGCATGTTTGAGGCTGTTGGTAAGGAGTGTTTAGGCGGGTATATGTGGGTGGGAGAGGTAGTTCCTGGCTGAGGTCACCTGGGGCGGGACGTGACTGGTCGCCCCCTTGTCAGAGTTGACCCTAATTAACCATTTGGAATCTACCCTTAACATACCCCTAGGCCAATCTGGCCCTCGAACAAGGCACCTGAAGCAACCTGATTAGAATACATTTGCAGGTTTTTGGATACTTTATAAAATTACTGGATTTCTCACTAGGTTAAAGTGATTTTTTTATTTTTTTTTTTTGTTTTTTTGCTAAATAAAGTACTGTATTTTTAACAAAATTAAAAAATACAGTGACTCGAAAGGGAAAATGTTCTGTTACAGTGACACTGTAAGATAAACTAATAAGATGTCTTGAGGTTGTAGTGGCCGCCAGATTATCCGGCACCCAACTGCTGGTATTCGATCAAGTGGGTATTATACCTATTTCTACATACTGTAAATACAATGGTACAAATATGATCACGCCTATTACTCGTCATACACTATTTTAGATCAAGAACATAGTGAAGATGTTCACCAGAATGAACCACAGGAACATTTTCTCCACACTATCCCCCAAAGTGTTCACATTATAATAATACTAAATAAGATAATGTTTATTCGGGTAAAAGTACATACATCCAAAATGAATTACAAACAGAATGTTGGATTTCTAGATAGAGCAGATATATATATATATACTATGCCTAAAGCCACTAATGTGGTCAGCGTTTCGGGCAAGATGTGGGAAAAAACACTAAATAGGTTTTTGCAAGTTGTATGTGTTGTATTGGTTTGTCAACAAAGATGTGTACTTAGTGGAACACTCCTTCAGTCATATTAGTCTAAATTTCAAAGGTGTGGGTACTTAAACAGTTTGTATATTGAAAATTTATCATAAATTTTATAAATATTTGATTAAATTACCTGAATTTATACACACACACACACACACACACATGCATAATTACACTCCTGGTGACTCGGTAAATTTGAGTTCAATGGATTAGTTCAAACATAGATTAGACATATGAATGACTTCCAGTTGTTATAAATAGTAGTTACTGTACTTAATGTGGGTCAGTAGGCCTTCTGCAATTTTCTTTACTTCTATACTTTTATGTGAAGTATAATAACTGGGTGGTCAGTAAGGTAGTACTGTATGTTGATTTGGTATCCCTCCAGATATTATGTGGGTGTTCAGCTGTGTATGTGGGTGGGCGGGCGGGCGAGTGTTCTCATGGATGTCTGTGATTGGGGGAGTATACAGTATCTCAAAATATATTAAGTGATCAAAGATATTTAATGCTGTTAGGCTTGTGGCAAGCAATGGATTATAGTGGGTGTCACATCTGGTATTCAGACATGTCATGTTGCCGAGTCTTTTAACCATCTCGAATGCCAATCTCTGACCATATCTGAAAATCAGCAGTCAAGACCCCCCATATTTAGCATTATTATTATTTTATTTGTTTATATATTGTAGGATATTAGCAATTACCTTAATAAGAATATAAATGATGGGTTGATTTTTTTCATAATTTCATAATATTTCAGAAGTTACGTTATGGCTGACCTTGGGTTTGCAGTGATTTGCTCTAGCAATATGAATCGCAGCATGGAGGCTCATGCTTTTTTAAGGTAAGAATCTGTACTGCTGACTCATTTTTCCTCCGATATCACCTCCCTATTGAAGCTTATATATATTTTAGATAATTTTTTTTAGTGTGCTGACATTATGTATTGTAAATTTGTTGCTACATTTTTAAGTAATACAGTATAACTAAACCAGCAAAGCGAGAGTTATACATTTTTAATTAAATGCTTTACAGTAGTGTATATAAATTTTATTCAACAGTAAAAAGGGCTTTAATGTGAGATCCTTTGGAACGGGAGACAAAGTGAAGCTACCAGGACCTGCTCCAGACAAACCCAACTGCTACGAGTTCGGAACATCCTACGATGATATATATAACGACCTTCTAAAAAAAGATAAAACACTGTATCCTTTAAATACCTATCTGTTACTTGCAATTGAAGTTTTCGAGAGAGGAGTGAGGCTTGGGTAAATGGCTTGACTTACTAACATATGAATACTGAATGTAGATTGCAGAGCATAACAAAAACATTATTGATGGGAAGTATTGTTAATGAAATGCAAATGGGACACAAAATATAATTGTTTTTGACCACAAACCTTGTTGAGTAAGAGTATGTTATAAAACTATATTATTAGTTTTATAACTAATAATGGCATCATTGGTACTTTTTTTTTTTACAAGGTAGGAGTACAGCTGTTTATATATAATCTTTTCAGATATTTTTTTTAATATTGGTAGGTTTGATTGTAATTGTTTGCCAGCATTCTAACCACCATTATACGCTGGAGTTATTCTCTCTTCCTGAGCTCTAGTGAATATATAACTGAAGGTCATATATAAGCATGAAATATGTGTTAATTATGATTCTCGCATTAATATTCATTTTATTTCTACAATTTTTCACGCTATAAACTATCTCGCCTTTTATAAAGTAAAAAAAAAATAGCTGTTACTGTAGCTATTACTGTTGTCATTAAAAAATTATAGTTGTACATTATACATATATTGTATACATGCAATATATAATTATACAATAATAAATTGTATTTATTATTGTGCTGTTATATAATATATTTATACAGTGGTACTTTTGTTTTCGTATTTAATCCGTTCCCAGAGACGGTATGAAAACAAAAGTACAAAAGCGAAACGAATTTTCCCATAAATAATGTAAATTGAATTAATCCGTTCCACACCCCCAAATATATTAATTAAAAATACATTTTATACAGAATAATGCTCTTAGGTACCTTACCTTTATTGAGGACTCTTGTTGGTGTATGGAATACAGTGAGGAAGGGGGAAGAGGAGGAGAGGTGTTAGTGTTCGGAAGGTGTCCCCCCTGCCATTACAACAGCTGTGATGACATTTCTGGGGTACTCCCTTACGTTTTGCAGGCATACCACTAGGACCTGGTTGTGGCTCGCTGCTTGCTTGTCTTACTAAGAATCTGTTTATAGACACTTGTTTTCCTTACATTTTAACACTTATCTGTAGTGAGACATCATTTTGTCTCACTATGCATGATTTCTTGTTTTTCTTCTATTGTCATCCTCACAACTATTTTCTTAGGTTGAACATTAGTACCGACTTTCTTGGAACTCATCGCATGATATATAATAACTTTTATGATCACAAACCAAAAAAAGCACAAAAACGATAAAATTCTTCACAAAGCATTCAAACATGATTATCACTAGGCAGGAGACACTGGTAAATTGAAGAGTTACGTGCTCGGTGGACCCATGTGTGTGTAAACAAACTCCGAAAACCAAGGCAAACAACGCGTACTGAATCAAATTGTTTTAAGAAATTGGAGACGAGAACCGAAAAATACGAAAAGAGGGGCATATGAAAACTGAGGTTCCACTGTATATGTACAATATACAGTACTGTATATAATTATACAATAGTTTTTATTAGTTTTTGTATTTCAAGTATTTTAAGTACATATCAAGTACAAATTATTTATTAATTTTCTTACTTTATTTAGGGATAAGATAGTGTTTGTAATTAACCAGCCATAATCAGGTTAATTATGTATAAAGAACAAAAAACAAGATGGTAAATTGGCAGTCAGTGGGAAAAGGTGGCCACATGCTGCCTCGTTGTTTCACTGCCTTGATCCCTCACTGCAGACCACCATCACACTGACTATACAGAACAAATATGTATCGCCACTTCTTGCATGCAATGTTCTGATATTTATACCTAACCTGATAAAACCCTTCATTTTTGTTTTTTTATTTTATTTAGAATGTGTTGCTAATCCCATAAAAGATAAGTTTTGCCCAGTTTGATTGGGGTTTTGTCTGCTTTGGGCAACTAGTTCCACCTGCCGCCACTTATCTCCATCCTGGAGTTGGAGCAACTGACAGTGGGGGTGAGGTGGCATTCCCATGTTTTGTGTGGGTGTTCTTATGAGGATCGGAATTCTGGCTTAATTGGAATTTCACCATCTCTCATTTCCTCAGGTAGGTGTGCCTCTTACTTTGTGTGTGTGTGTACCCCCCCTTTTCAGTAGTGCATGCAGTTGCTTGCTGGTATGCATTACCTCCTTTGGCCATGTTCACATCAGCTGGTGTGCCCTGGTTGTATGCAATGGTTTTGCCCTGAGACTGTACTACTGTGCTTTTTTGCCATCGTCTTGCCTGAAGATTGTCTGGCTGGATACCCAGCAGTTCCAGGGCAGTGTGCTTGGTAATTACTGGCCTATATGTCTACCAGTTCTTGAACAGAGAGTCTGGTGGTTACCGAGTTGTGTGCCTGCTTGTTTCTGGGATGCATTTTCGAAGGTTCCTGTACTGTTTCATGAAGCACTCGGGCTGTGCATTCAAGGGTTCCTGGGCTGCATGCCCATGATCCATGAAATCTGTGGGGTTTTTATATTTTGCTTGGAGGGGACATGGCTGCTAGGAAATGTGCTTGTTCTTGGTGTGCGAAGACTGTTACTGGGAGCCTGGCATGTTTGTGTCTTTTGTATGGCAGTGATATAAGGTGAGGGGATCAACCCCAGAAAGAGGTGTTAAATTTCACTCAATGCTTTATTTTTGTTCATCATGGACAACTAGATGAATGTACAGTACAGTATTTGTTCAACCCATCCCCCCCCTGTGAATATGATATAGTAACAAAGAAAATGATCTAGACCTGGTCATCAATGAAAGCACTCTTATGTAAGTTCTTAACATTCACAGAGTTAAGAACCTTTCAGAACTGTTCTTTTTATTATACACCATGCCTTTTACTACCTTTATGCATCTCTACTCATTTGGATTTTGTGTATTTATTGAAATAGCCACTTTACTTCACATTATGTGGTGTGAGGTTTGGTGATTTCTTTATGTACTGGTATTTCATAACCAAATCATTCTGCAGCACAAAGAAGTCAAAATTTGTTTTGGATTTAGATGCTAGTGACAATTGTGAGGATGTATTCTGGGTGCTTGAGAAATTTTAGAGTACATTGCCTTACTTGTAATGTTGGATTAAATTGATTCAGGTAAGCAGATGGACTGACTCGTTCAGTATATTAATGCAATAATAGAATTACCTGTACAGAGGAATTACAAATTCCTCTGAAAAATTACATTATTTTTGTTTTAAACTAATTTCAGAGGTGTGCATATATTGATCACTTCAAAGGACAAAAATAATATTTGCAACAGTCATAATCAGGCAATGTATTATTGCAAGTGATTTATGCGAGATATTCCTCGATAAGATCATTTGAATTTTTTCCGTTTAGAAATTTGCATCTCGATGCTTGAGTGATCGTATATCTACAATAGTGTAAATTAAGATTACAAATTTACCTCCAAATCTTATTACAGTACAGTACTTATAATTTGCTGATAGCAGGGCATATTGTATAAATATTTCAAATTATATAAGGTAAACTATCCTTGCAGTGAAAATACTAATGCATATCTTGATATGCCTTCTGTTGATGATTGGATCATAAATTTAAATACTGTACGTACTGTAATTCGTAAATATTTAGCGTGGTTCAACATGTTATGTTTTGTGATAAAAATCTCTATATTAATCATAATTATTTAGTTCAGTATCTGATTATTAAATGCTTAGTCCAATTATAAAGTTAAAACTATTTATATAAGATACAGTACAGTATAAGCAAAGCAATGAGCAGTAAGTGTGTACGGTATGGGGAGATTCAGAATTGTTTTAATTTGGAAGATATACTGATATAAAAATAGCCATAGGGAATCCCCCGTTAAAGCAGGGTTTTTAATGTGACTACAGTATTTATTGAAATACTTTTTTTTATTATTATCTTTTGTGTAAACTTAATAAAAATGCAATCCTAGAATATTTGTTGTTTATATCCTTACAGTTTTGACGCAACATGCAATCTGTAAGTGGTCTAATCATTGCAATTATCTTTGTCCTCGAATCACCAAATGCATTTTTATTTATTTATTTGTTATATAAATTTTGTGAAATACTTTTATTTATCATAGGTACTGTGATAAAGGACTTTTAATTAGCTGAGCAGTTTAAGGATTAAGAGGATTATTTACTTCAAATTACAATACCAGTAGGCAAGGCATTAGCCTTAACATCTGGCATTGGTCAATACTCTAATATTTTTAACAAGCATCACACGTCACTCCTTTGAGTAAGCTGTTACTTTGTGCGATTAATTTTGCCAATTTGTAATATTGTATTGTATAGTGATGGAGGTGTGTGTTGACTTGTACCTGGATGGGATCCTGGGAGTTGTACTCCCCAAGTCCGGCCCGGGGCCATGCTTGACTTGCCATATACAGTAAAAGTACTGCAGTTCTTCTTTATGCTTGGTAACTAAAGTACAGTAAATATATTTGGTGTATGTCTGTTCTTTAATATGTATGCTATACTGTATATTATATTTGGCAAGTACAATACATTGCATACAATAAATTATTTCTTAAGGCACAGTGTAAATTTAACAACCCAGCCTCTAAAAATGATAGTATGTTACCTATAACTATTGTGGATGGAATGTGTACAAAATATAGATTGTTGCACATAAGAATTCTACCTTCTGCACTATTAGTATACTAAAAGCATAACAAAAACTGCTACAACCTAACCTGTTCAAGGCCTAAATAAGCAATCCTAAGAATTATAAATGGAAGCTTAGCCCTAATTCAGTATATATATTTACTAGGTTGAGATAAGTTTAGATTTCAGCGTTGCCTACTTTCTTGGCCTCTACTAAATCAGTTGTACAAAATAAGGACTATTTTTGGTTGCAACAGTCCATATTTTGTACATTATATGTACAGTTGCTATTGGCACCTACTGTACATACATTTTGGGGAATAGGTTTAGATTTTAATAAATTTTGAAGAGAATGCCTAGTGTAAATCAGTGACCAACATTTTCAGTGTGTTTTGCCATTTATGCTTTCTCTAAAAATAACAAGGACTAGGTATATGGTGGGTCTTAAATGGCAAACAGCAAATGGTATATTGTCAAGAAAGAACAGGTCAGATGAACAGCACTTGGTACTAAACAGGCTAATTGTCTATCAACAATTGAACGAATGTTTTCTTAATATAAGCAAAGAAATTTTATTTGATGAAAATATTTTAAATTTAAATGAAAATTGATGCTATACATCTATGGAAACTGCACCAGTTGGAACCATGATACTTTCCCAGTTGCTTGTTGTTCAGGTTGTTCATGGGTATGGGTACATATATTCTTACAATTTGCCGGGTGCTTTAACTGCGGTCTGCGGTTATAATTCTGGACTATATTACCATTTTCTGGGCTGGCAGTTGGCATGTTTCATCGTCTGCATTTTTTGTAGTACACACTTTTGTAGTATGCACAGACGACACTCAGACAGCACCCCACCACACCAGCACCAGTGTAATTACACTTAGGTAATTACACTGGTGCTGGTGTGGTGGGGTGCTGTCTGAGTGTTGTCTGTGCCACATTTGCAGGTTGGTTTCCAGACTTGTGGCTCATTTTCATAGGCCTTCAGGATGCTTTCGGCATCTCTTTCCATCTGTCTCAAGTGTTCTTTGCTCTCTGGTGTGTCCATTATACACCCTGTCCTGTGGCTGCAATGCAGCATTTTGGATGCTCCCTGGGGCTGGAGTGCTGTTGATTGCTCCTGTTTTGTCAATTTCATTGTTCCAAGGCTGCATTTCCTAGGCCCTTCACCTGGCGATTTGGTTCTACCAGCCGGCTGTTTGTGTCTGGTTAGGGGGAATGTATAGATGTATGCTGCTTTTATGGCATTCTTTGACAGTCTGTTATGTTACCAGCTGATATTATTGGATCTCCTTTGGTATTGCCAAGCTTGTGTGCTTGGGCAATTAGTACAAGGTTGCCATTCTTTTTCCCTGCCAGTAGTTTGTTCTATTGGCAAACCAAACAACTACTGGTTTGCCAGTAGTTGTCTGTTCAGCCTTCTGACCTTTGTTCTTTCTTTTGTTCATGGTTGTTTTCCAGCTTCAGTTTTTTGGCAATTCATTTCGATGCTAGCCTTTTGCTTCTCCTCGGATGTTCCTTAGGCTTATTACTAAGTCATTTGGTGCAGTGCTGCTAATTTGTCACTCTTCTACAGTTAAGCTCTTTTGTGACTTACATGGTTTTTGCACTAATGCTGTCCTCTCCTGAGGCACTGTTGGGAGTAATGACTGGCAAGCTACAGCTACTGAGAGAGCCTTCACGGGAATCATGCACTGAATGTAATGAAATGCCCTTTTCTGGTATGACCTTCAGTAGCTCCTCATCCTTTCCCTGTTAACTTTCCTTCCTGTGGGGATTTTGGGGATTTTTGGGGCTTGTGAGTAAGGCAAGAGGAGGGTCGGTACCCAGGGCGATTTGACCATTTGGTGGTGACCGAGCTCGCAAGGGTCAAGGTGATTTACCTGTGGCAACGATCAGTTGGCTTGTTTTTCTACTTCTTACAAGAAATAGTTTGTTAGTGTGTTTAGTTCCACTTAAACTTTCATTTTTTTGTTTACACAGGTGGGGTAACACAGGTTTTTTTACCTACAACAAATTACTCGTGAAGTGTAGGGCGAGGGTGTTACTACCGTGCCACCTCTTGCCTTGTAGAAAGAACCATATTCTAGTCATGGCTCCCATTAGGTTAGTGTGGGTTTTGAGGCTGGTTGCTCAACCATTCCAGTGTGAACACTGGGGAGCAGCTAGAACCTACCAGAAATGGGCATTTCACTACATTTAATGATTAAATTTTGTTTATGCATATTTTTTTCATAGTAATGCACATTAATGCATGTACACATTTTCACACATACCACTACAGTACAGTATATTCATATTGCAAATGTAAATAGAGCTTATATACAGTACTCAGCACTGCACATTTACACAAGGACCTAAAATTGCCACAAAGTTTTATGTTTGGTATATTCAGAGCTTCTTCACCAGCTGCTGCATGACTGAGTGGAGTTTCCAGGTCAGTAATTTTCCATCAACATTTTAACAGTATGTATTGAAAGCTCCTTTTACTATAAAAATCATGTATTGTAATTACTGCATACAGTATATTACTTGCTATCAGCTTGGTTAAGTAATCAGCTCTCAAGTATGGTAATCATTTCTTCAGATGATGAAGATTTCACCGTATTGTACACTAAAAAGTCTTGAAAACAGGAAAATGGATGTTCCTTAACTATCAGAACACAGATACACCCAGAATGGTCTCCTTCACATGTTAGATAGAAATCGAAGAATCAAACCAGATCCTGAACGGTTTCAAGTGTGCAAAGACAAGTTTGACATTATAATTACATGTGAAGAACGAGTATATGATCAAGTTCTTGAATGTAAGTATGATGAAGCTGTGAAGACAGTGTGATGGTACAGTATACATACAGTATTTCTTGTATAAATTTTATTAAAATAATGTACACTACCGTACATTAAAATTTTAAATATGGATAAAATATCACCCAAGATAATAAGACAGGCTTAAACTGTGTTTGTAACTGAATTTGATTTACAGTGTATTTGTGTTATTAATATACTATACTGTCAATTATTTTGTTTGATTGGTCTCTGTCAGGATGCTAATGAACTTTGCAGTCTCATGCTTCTTCAGTGAAATAGTTTTAGTAGCGATGACTAGATACTTGATAGAATACCTGGGACTGCTCGGAATCCAAGCCTAAGGCCCATGGTTATTTTAATCCACCTCTGAACTTCACTCACTTTCATGGTCCAGTTAAGAGTCCACCTCTCTGAGGGAAATCAAGAGTTGCTTCTTTCAGACAAGTGGAATAGTGGGGTATACCCATTATATACTGGCCTGCCAGTTCTCGGGTCATCTGATGGCTTATAGACTTCGTGTCTGGCAGTTCCTGGTTCAAGTGCCTAGACTAGATTTCTGGGCTAAGTGCCTAGACTTGGTTTTTGGCTAAGGGACCTAGACTAGGTTTCTGGGTTGAGGGGCCCATACGTTCCCAAGCTGTGTTCCTTGGTATTGTTTTGCCCTGTTGTCAGACTGTTCTGACCCTAAGGTTCAATATAATCCATGCCTTTGCAGTTCTGATCTTGGTGTCAAGTGGTTTACCCTGGCCTCAAGTAATGATCTTCAAGTGTAGTATTCTTGGGTATGGAAGTTGAATGTTTTCTTGCTGCTCCCTGGATGGCAGGTTCGAATACCAGTGGGGCTCTTTATGCTAGGTAAATATGTCTTGCTCTTCTCTGTTATGATTTTCCCTTGATTGTCTTCTCTGATTTTACACTTGCTTGCTTGTGGCAACAGAGTTCTTTATTTGGAGACCCTGAAGCTTGATATTGCTCTGGGCTGTGTTTTGCCTTGCATTGCATGTTGTGGGCTGTCTGAAGTTTTTCTCTGATTATCCAGGCTCCTTGCCCTCATCTTTGAGGATTTTGACCTCTGCCTTTCTGTCTCCAGGGTGTGGGAATTGTTTACCTCGGGCTGGTTGTGCTGTGTACCCCATGCTATATGAGCTACACGTCCTTTGCCTTCTGGACAGATCACCCCACATTTTTGTACTGCAGTCCTGAGTGTTGAGATGATGATCCATTTTTAGCTGAGGGGTACAGTAGGCCTCTGGTTCAGGGCCTCATTCACATGCCAATCATCCTGGGCCATGAGTTTCAGCTCTCTGATCTACTGACCAATTCCTAGGGCCTTGGATTTGTGATCCCTGTCCCAGTTTCTTTTGGGGATTAGGTTCCTGACATCCTTTTGATCACTCACTTTCCTGTTGTGATTGGTATTGTTCTCTGCATCGATCATTAACCTTTCACTCATTTTATTTATTTCTTCAATCAGTAGTTTGTTTTATTTCACCTAATCTTTCTAGTGGGTTGTCCTTGGTTTTGGTTGGTCTTTGATTCCCAAGCTCTCCTCACCTCAGCTCTCCTCACTGGGGCCTCGTAGCCTGGTGGATAGCACGCAGGACTCGTAATTCTGTGGCGCAGGTTCGATTCCCGCACGAGGCAGAAACAAATGGGCAAAGTTTCTTTCACCCTGAATGCCCCTGTTACCTAGCAGTAAATAGGTACCTGGGAGTTAGTCAGCTGTCACGGGCTGCTTCCTGGGGGTGGAGGCCTGGTCGAGGACCGGGCCGCGGGGACACTAAAAGCCCCGAAATCATCTCAAGATAACCTGAAGATAACCTCGTAAAAGAGTGTTAGCGTCTGGCCATGACTTCCGGTAGGACAGCATGGGTCTCGGAGGCCTGGTGCACTCTTCAAGGGTTGGATATACCAGTGTGTAAGCTACAGAAATTGCTGGTTTGCAGTTGCAGCCATCATTTTGCTTTTAAATGCAGAGCTACTGCTTCCCTCCACAATGATCTTCTGCAAGCCTCTTGCTTTATTTGGCAGCATTGCAGTAGGCCTGTGCCTTTGTGTCGGCAACTTTTAGCCTCTGCCTCTATGGAGGCTGCTGTGCGCTTCTGTTCTTTTCACTGCCCCTGTACTTTGTGTTCCAAACAGCCTGGCAGGCTGTGGCTGACTTGCGTGGTCTTACCTTGTTATCCAGGCATTTTGGTCTATGGCTGCTCTCTTCAGGAACCCCCTTTGCACTTACCATTAGGCCTAAAAAATACCATTAGGGTAAATAAATTTATTTGTTGACATAGTTTTCCTCCAGAGACATGCATAGGTATCCACAAAATGTCTAGCATCCATTTGCTCTTGAGTCCTGATCCCTGTGGTTACAGTATAAATGCTAAATACAAATACCCAAAGTTTATCTTAATTTATATAAATATACTTGTATCATTCTGTATTTTATTTTCTCTCACATTTAAATCTTGTCTTACAGGTTTAGAAGCACGAATTCCAGAGGAGAATACCCCAGTACATGTAATCAACATAGATATTCAGGATAACCACGAGGAGGCTACAATTGGTGCATTTATGATTTGCGAGTTAGCTGCTTTGGTAAGTTTGTACTATAACTGACCATTTGAATTACAGTGGAACCTTGATTGGGCAAATCTCTGGTTGGAACACGCACATTCCATTCCAGATCTCCTCACTTGATTCAATGAACAAGAGTTCGCTGAAGCAGGGGATGTGTGTATTTGCTGAATATTTTAGGACCGAGTTCACAGATGAAGGCAACATTACAAGAAATATTTGGGGCCTTGGGAAAGCTACTGAGCATATTTAAGACATTCTATGGTTCTATTTTATTTCCAGTTGCAGAGGTTTTTGTTCAGGGATATATGGGCCCGTTTTTCTTTGTAGAAGAAATTTTGATGCTTCGGCATGGAAAATATGCTAGATGTGGTTAAATCTCTTAACAGACAGGTTCTCATGGTGGTTGCCCTTCATGTGACAAGTTGAAATTATAATTTTGCTCGGTGAAATTGGCCCATAGGGTGAGGAATATTAAGTATGAATGGTAAATTATTATAGCTCTAATCAGGCTTTTAATAATTTTCATAGATGGGTGCAACATTACCATAAATAATAAGGGACCTTGGGAAAGCCATTGAACATATTTAAAAACCAAACTCTATGGTACATTTTCATTTTGAGATTTCCCGGTTTTTGCTCACTAATATAGGTCTTTTTTCCTTTAAAATGTGATTTCAAGGCTAGGGAGGAGGAAATATGCTAGATGTAGTCAAGTCTCTACAGACAGGCTCTTTTGGTAGTTGTCCTTTATATGATAGGTTGAAATTAAAATTTAGCTCTGTGAAATCAACCTATAGAGTATGGGAAATACTGCATTAGGGTATAAATGATAACGCTCTTAATATGGCTCCAATCACGTTTTTGATGACTTTTGTAGCTGGACTCGTCATTTAATATTTAAAGAATGATTCATTGTATGCACTTGAAAATATAAATTACAAGCGTCAGCAAAGAAGTATAACTTCTATTGAATTTTGCCCCTTTAGCAAAATAATAGTTTTGAGTGTGATGAAATACCCTTGGTAGTACTGTACCTCAGTTGCTCTACTGTGTTTAACTCTGGCATGCCTAGGACATGCTGAACACACCAAGCTCCTGTTGACTATCTTAACCAACCAGGTACAAGGTGTTATGCCCCCTTCAATGGGGCAGGTACTGTGTGGGATCTGATATCAACCCACCACTAGGGTATCACACCACAAATTTAATGAGGCAGCCAAAAGCACCATAAGTTCCTCCTACACTGAATTACAAAATATGCTCTGAACAAGCTTAACAGCCACCAACCAATTTTCTGTGTGTCCTGAGCCCATTATGTGCCTCTGTAACCCTTTCAACTATTGCCCACAAGATGGGTACAGGGTCCATAATAAATGAACTAAGCTAAACTGTCTACTAGGTGATGGCCCAATCTACTTGATGCCCCAGGGAAGGTGCCCACCTTACTTTTGAGCCCCTCATGATGCCTAGTGGCACAGGAAGATGGGAGAAATTGAAGGGAATGAAAAGCTACTGTGGTGATGGCCTATTTCTGGGCAGGCTCCATAAGTACTACCTCTGTGAGACTTGATCTGGATGTTGCAAACCCCAGTTTTCCAGAACCAATATTCTGTCCCTCTAAACCCCCTGAACCATTCCTGTACTAACTTCTCATCTAGGGAGTATTTCTTGGTTATGGAGATTATTAAAACAGAGGATTATATAAATGCTAAGGTTTTAGATTAATTTTGTTATAATGTGTTGAAACTGTATTATGGTTACAGTATAAATATATCTACAGTTTATCAGTGCTAACTTCCTAATGCATGTATTTAGTTATTTTTTTTCTTCCAGCTTTCTGGTACTGAAGATTTGGACAATGATATTGATGAACTTCTACACGAGTTTGAAACTAAGTGCCAGAGGAATGTACTTCACTGTGTACAGTTTTATTAAACATTTACTGTGAATATTTATTGAAAATGTGGGAGATAATTTCCTAAGCAGTTCATTCCTAGATACTGAAGAGTGTTTACGTATTTCTACTACATGTATATTGATTATTTTTTTAGTTAACTGTTCCTCAGTGAGCATTGATGCTCTTACATCATTTGAAATCTGATACATTGCATACTGTGCATTGTAAAATATGTATACTGTACCAAGACCAAATTGAAGCGGCAGCTCAACATTGCAGAAGACTCAAGACTGCTTTCATGAAATAAATGTCATTGTAAGTCCTGAAGACGTGTTGATAATATTGTTAAGCCAAACAATGTGTTGCTGATATTAAAACAGAACATGTTTGACTTCAATAGGTCATGTTTATTGTACTACAAATCATTATTTTGGTACAGCATTTCATCAATTGTTTACATTAACTTATATTACAAAATGTTTAAGTATTTAGCATTATGTATATGTTTTTAATAGCTTCCATGTTAAATTAATATCTTACACAGATAAATATTTAAATGCTTACTCTGTGTAAGGCACATTAATTTAATACTTTTATATGTTTTGTGTTGTTTGTGTTCTATTGTATAAGCATACTGGCTCAAAATATAATATGAATAATAAATACATAGTGAATATTACAGCAATGCCTGGAAAAAATATAATGAACAGTTAGAGGATTTATTTTGTTTTTGTGTAGAAAAACTTTTATCAATTAAAATTCTAATATTAGAAATATAATGTTGCTCATAGAAAACTTAGATACGAAAATATAATGCTCAATTGTACTTTGCATAAATACATAATTACTGTATTATAAATAGTAAACTATATGAAAAGATAATATTTTTGTTTTAGTTTGCAAACAAATAAGATAAATATAATTAAAAATACAGTACTGTACTGTCAAAAGTATTATGTACAGTGATGAAAATAAGGGAAGCTGATAGTACAGTCAAGTTTTTTCTCGACTCACAATCAGGAATTCCTGGCTTGAATACCGGGCGGGACAGAAATGGGTGGACACATTTCCTATCACCTGATGCATTTGTTCACCTAGCAGTAAATAGATATCCAGGAGTTAGTCCATTTGTTGAGGGGGGTTAATTACTGAACCCTCCCCCATCCTCGGGAAGGTTCAGTAATTCGACCTGGGGGGGGTAGGGTTGATCTCGATATAAGCCTAACATGTATATAGTATACATTGGCTGCCTGACAACCCTGACACACAATGAATTATTACAAATTATTAAATTGCTAGAAATAAATAAAATAATATGTGGTTAATGTTATAACTTGTTTAGCTACAATAACTAATACCTTTAATTTTGGTATTTTAAATTATATATGTAAAGAAAGGTATTAACTACACACTTATTCAATATGCAGAAGAGTCATGGCTCAGAATGCATATATAGACAGTATATACATCATATTTCTAAAGCTTGGTAGCTGTTTGTGAATCTTCAAGTTAATAACAATATGTACTGTATTCTAAAATTTTGTAGATTTTACTATACTGCATTGCATTTATAAGCTTTTGAGTATGTAAGTAAAATTAAGTACAATTCAAATTTAAAGATTAAAATTCTGTGGTGTCATAGATTTGGTTTATTTTTGAGTTCAGGTTAATTTGATCACCAATGTGTTATACCTGTTATGTACAGTCATAAAATGATATCATAGGGGTTGAATGAGTTATTCATATTCCTCCCTTTTAAAATACTTCTTTCAATGACATCCCAGGGAACACGCATAATTTTTTTTTTTTCTTTGTATATGTAGTGTCACTAGTATTGTATATAGATATCCTTGTATCTTGAAATTGTTAAGGATATTCCTTTGAAAATAGTAATTTGTGGACCAGCTCAAAAGTGGTACTGTATGTTATACAGTATAACCTATCGTGCAGATACAGTATAACCACAGGGTGATGATATGCAGTTTGGCATGTTGCAGGCTTTTCACTTTATGAAACTGGCTTCATTCTTATTTTATTCTATTTGGTTAAAGTAAGACATTGTATTTCACTGAGTGAACTACAAGTGATATAAAACTAATAACCCAAATACCTGTATATCTAATAGTACTGTGATTGTAAAGAGAACATAGATTATTCTGCATACTCTTGTGATATGAGTTCTCTTTCAGTACTTATGGCCTACCTCCCAGTGGCCACAATGTCATAGTAACATTAATTCAACGCTTTCAATGCTGAATATACGTTACACTTGCTTATTCTGCCCACTGGGTTCTCAAAGAAATAAAACATATATACAGTATTTTATTGCCAAATAAGTCTAAATGTTTTCTTTTCTCAATAATCAATAGAAGTTTATAGTAAATGAAGAAGTAAATGAGTTTAATAAAGAGATAATGAAGTCAACTAATTAAAATGTTGAGTTCATTTAACTCAACATTCATTTAACTTTGACAGCTTGTTTCATAGTGACTTAAGAGGGAGTATCAATATCCCACAACTTGAAATTAGAAGCTTTGAGAGTAAAGAATTTAAGTACAGTACGTAAATAATAAACATGCCAAGAATTTTTGCATTGAAGCCTTCAAATTTTTTTATTAATTGAGTCTCTTATATGAAAGTTAGCAGAGGTGTAGAACACATTTTGCTTCATTCATTTTGAGTTCTGTGAATTTTTTTTTTTTCTTGCTTGCTATCTCTTGTCTAAGACCTAACCAATTACTTAGCCACTTTAAAAATGTCATCTCACCGTATTTAAATATTTTTGTATAGAATCAATTTACCAAATCCTCCATCTTCCACATGATTTGAATACTGTAGTTAAAGTGAATCAGAGTAATTATATGGTATTCATGCATATAGTTTGTGTTTTATTATTCATAATTTTTATTTTAAATTGTGCCTACTAGATGCATTTCATTATTCAAAATTATTATATATATATATATATATATATATATATATATATATATATATATATATATATATATATATATATATATATATACATACATACACACATATATATATAATTATAATGTGTGTGTAAATCACACAATTAACACGTGATGGAAAAATGTGAGTGTCAGACCCCGAAGGACAAATTGAAACAGAAATTTCCTTAAGTACTTTCATATTATAAAATGAAAATATATAATATACAGTGGTACCTCCATTTTTTAATTTAATCCGCTCCCAGAGACGGTTTGATACCCATAATTCAATAACCGAAACAAATTTTCCCGTACAAAATAATGTAAATTGAATTAATCCGTTCAACATCCTTAAAAATATTAACTAAAAAATACATTTATTAATACTAACCGCTCATATTTTGTACTACAGTACATGTACAAATATATCTTACCTTTATTGAGGAATCTTGTTTGTGTATGGAAGACGGTGAGGAAGGGAGGAGGAGGAGGAGAGGTATTAGTGTTTGGAAGGGGAGTCCCCTTCCATTATACCAACTGTGATGACATATCTGGTGAACTCTCTCTTGCATTTTGCAGGCATACCACTGGGACTTGGTTGTGGCTCACTGTTTGCTTGTCTTACTAAGAGTCTGTCTATAGACACTTGTTTTTCCCTACATTTTAACACTCCTCTGAAGTGAGACATCACATTGTCTCACTATGAATGATATCTTGTTTTTCCTCTATTGTCATCCTCACAACTATTTTCTTAGGTTGAACTTTACCACTGGCTTTCTTGGAGTGCATGGTATGATATATAATTATAACTTTTATGTTCAGAAACCAAAAAAAGCAGAAACAATGAAATTCTTCACAAAGAATTAAAGCGGGGTTGTCATTAGGTGGGAGACACTGGTAAACTGAAGCGTGCCACGTGCTTCGTCGACCCATGCGTGTACCAACGAACTCGAGCACCGAGACCAACCTTGAATACAGAGTCAAATTTTTCAAAGAAATTGAGCTCGAGACCTGAAAAATTTGAAGAGGGGCATTCGAAAACCGCGGTTACACAATAAATAAATAAATATATATATGTCGTACCTAGTAGCCAGAACGCACTTCTCAGCCTACTATGCAAGGCCCGATTTGCCTAATAAGCCAAGTTTTCATGAATTATTTATTTTTCGACTACCTAACCTACCTAACCTAACCTAACCTAACTTTTTCGGCTACCTAACCTAACCTATAAAGATAGGTTAGGTTAGGTAGGGTTGGTTAGGTTCGGTCATATATCTACGTTAATTTTAACTAAAATAAAAAAAAATTGTCCTCATACATAATGAAATGGGTAGCTTTATCATTTCATAAGAAAAAAAATTGAGAAAATATATTAATTCAGGAAAACTTGGCTTATTAGGCAAATCAGGCCTTGCATAGTAGGCTGAGAAGTGCGTTCTGGCTACTAGGTACGACATATATATATTTATTTATTTAGATTTTTGATTTTTTAAAGTACAGTACTATAAGCAATATATTGTAAGTACTGTAAGCTATATGTTTTCTGAGAACCTGCTGTAGTTATTCATACTGTATTAAGTACTCTACTTCATATTACTGTACTGTATAGTTATTCTCGAGCTGCCTGTAAAGTGTTCGTAAACTTACCTATAAGGCGTTTTTCTGATCTGTGTTAACCCTAATTGTGCAGCTACATACTCAGATGGTTACCATGAAATGCAGGGGATTAAGTGCTTCAATGATCCAAACAACAGTTAAAAATGACTTTAGAAGTGATTGTGTGCTGCCTTTTCCCAGTAAATGAGCATTTTACAGTTGAACTTTATCCCATTCTGTATACTCTGTCAGTTATTTTCTATACATCAGTGTTCTTTTGTTTTTGGAGTTGGCTCCTGCAGTGCTCTCTTGGCCCTGGGGTATCTTAAAACAAGAAAATATTTCAAATTATCCTAATAATATCAAGTTGCCTATTACCAAAAATATATAATACTGTACCTGCACAAGTGAACCTTTACTGCATATTCCTTTACACTCTTCCTCATACCATCCATTCCTCCTTCAATCCATATCCCTCCCCCAAACCTCAGTGACCCAGTCACACAAGCAACAGCATTAACCCCTGGGCTGCAACTCTGTTAATACCATGCAATACCCAGGTGTGCATAAAATTAATTATATTTTTTTTTTAATTCTAATACTGTATTGTTAAAATGCATTCCCTGATTATCAGGAAAATAATACAAAAATTGTATGTGATTTTTTTTTGTAGGGGGGGGGGGGCAGTGAAGCCTGGAAGTCTCGCAAAGACACCACAATCCATTTCATCGTTCATCAAGCATGCATCCCATGGAGGATGTCTAGAGCCAGCTGTCAGGCAGGAGTTACAGCAAATATATATTTTTACATATTTATTTCAATGTTTCTGATTATTTTTGTTGTCTAGTTTTTTGCAGTAATATTATTCAATACTGTTTCTTGAGAAATGTATATATATTACAGTACAATAAAATGTGTGGAACATCGCAATGTTCTAATATACTGTATTTGTCACTAAGATTCGGCCACGTCTATATTTGCTGAAAACAATACAACATTCTATATTTGGTGTTATTATACTATATACACACTTTATATATGTACATTTTCATGCACAATTATGAACTGATAAGCCATTGTGACGGGTATGGTAATCTCATAACATGTGGTCAAAAGTTCAGCCTAGCTCTGTATATTTTGCATGAAATTGTAACTGCAGTATTGAATATATAATATTTTCTCCATATTTCCAATGCTATACCATAGTTTTTCAAGTGGAATGATACAATTGGCTGTCATTAATATTATTCGTCGCAATGAAATCATAGTGGTATGATATATCAATGAAAATCATTTTGAGGCAATGGAGTGACAAACTCGCGTTCTGGCGATTCCCAGACACCTGCCTTAAATGATTCGGCCAGGGTGGTACAAAAGTTGACCAACTCAGAATTCAACCGAGTTCTCTGAGAGATCCTGGAGGCCCCAAACCGGAGCCCAACCAGGGTTTTACAGCCGACCCGACCACACTCTGGCCTATGGAAATGGCATTCACATTCTTACACCCCACTTAGACTGCAATGAAAACACAATTTTTTTGTTTTTGTTTACAATGGTGTGAAATATCAATGAAAATCATATTGAGGCAATGGAGTGACGAACTCGCATTCTGGTCGATTCACAGATGCCTGCCTTAACTTCCTTTTTAAGTGATGCTGTGGACACAAACTGAACAGTGGTGCTGTTAGCTAATGCTTCACGTGCCAGCCTTGGTTGCTCACTCAGTACCGAGGCTCTCATACCCAGGAATGATGTCTATGATGTTTAAAAAAATAAGTGTTGCACTATATATACCGTGCAGCAGTGGTATATATTTTTGTAAAAAATATATTGCATCACACCAATGATTCATGAATGCATCTCTGGTTGCAACAAATCTCTCACTCCAACAAATTGGGTCTTGTACTACTTACAGTAGTTCACTAAATCAAGGTGTCGCTGTATAGCAAAGTTTAAATTTTTAAATGAATAACTGTTTTGGGGTAATTTTATAAAAAAGGCATATCAAATTTGCTAAATTTAATGTTTTTATGTGAACCTTAGTTACCAGGAATGCTGCATTGAACTCAAATGCAAAACAAAACACAAACAAACGGTAACAAAAACACAAACTAGCCAAAATGTTTCACCAAGATTTTATGATATTTATTTTTATTTATCAACAATAAGCCTTGCATAGTTTATATACAGTAATAACTGTAGTGCCATAGGAAAATTTGTCAAATATATTTACGGAGAGAAGGGAGTTAATTATCAGAGGAAAGTGTCAAGCCATTATGACTGTATAGCACTCGGAAGAGATGAAGATAAGGATTTAGGATGGGATGGGAAAATGGGACGGTGTCCAACCACTTGGACGGTTGGGAATTGAACGCTGACCTGCATGAAGCGTGACCGTCACACTACCATCCAGCCCAAGTGGTTGGACACACAAAATTAGGAAGTTTACAGTGTTGTTGAACAAAAATAACAAGTTTCTTAAACTTCCCTAATTCTTAATCAGTAAGTAATGGAAAGATAAAACATACAAATTTCTACATGGTATAATTTTTAATTCTTAATAATCTAAAACGTTGGCTTATATTTTTTGGCTTCTACAATCAAATGATGTGAATTTACAATATCTCCCTTGATGTTCAGATGTTGAAAGGCTTGGTGAGCCAGGATTCTATTAAACGTGTGGTGGGCCGTGATGAGGGCCTCGAGAGCTCGCTGCAGAACCACTGTCCCAGTGCGGAAATTGGTAAAGCACTGCATCACCTCATTGTTGAGACGTTCAACTGATCTTTTCCAGGTGGTTGAAAATGATCTAACTAATAACACAACTTTCTCTGAAATAAAATAACATACTGTATTACATTTTACATGTTACTGATAAATTATTATTTTACATTTAATATCCAGATTGGGTGAAATTCTAAAACTAATGTTCATTATTGAATTTAACTAGATATTAACATTTGAAAACTTAGTAAAATGCTGGAAAAAGTCTAACCCATCTGGAAGTGTCAATGTTAAATCCGAAAATGTGGAATGATGGCAAGAGTATGATGGTATGATATCGCTACCAGAACTTCAGAAGAAATATTCTGAAGTTACTCTCACAGACCACACATTCTCTCTCTCCAACTCAGACCTTCCACACACTGAGATGAGAGGTGTAGCTTGTCTGGCTGATCATCAGTAGGGCCACAAGAATGCCTCTAATCCTCTTATCCACCCTGACATGTTTGCCTGACCCAGCATTGTTTGGATGCATTTATGACCTTTAAAGACTGTTCTCCCCACACTTTCCTTCATATATTAGTCAAAATACTCAAAATCCTGCCACCATAACATCTCAAAATACAGGTAACATGTAGCGATTAATTTTTAACACAAATTAGATCTGATTAGGATTAGGTTAGGTGGTTAGGTTTATTAGGTGGCATTGATAAGTCATCTACAGTACTGTACTATGAATATAAAGTTCTCAAGACAGCCCTGTAATATTTTGAAGGGTAAAGACAAGATCGGTGCCTGTTTTGCTCAAAGTCTGAATAATACAGTAATGCAGAGGAGGAGGAAGCCAGTCAAGTTAAACTAATGTTGACAACACTGTGAAAGTAGTGCAAGAAACTTGTGTGCAAACAAAAGAAACCACCAGTGCCAGGATGACTGCTCCAGGATATGGCAATGATTTTCCACAATAAAATAAACATTGGTGAACAGTGAACAAATCCACAAGGGCCGTGATGAGGGTTCGAACCTACGTCTGAGAGGATCCCAGGCGCTGCTTTAATCGACTAGGCCACGACATGGTCAAAATTGATGTTCATTTGATGCATCACGCTATTGTGATTTGTGTGTGTAATTAGTGAACAGTGTTTGTAAACTCACTGGTGGCCAAAGCACTTTAAGGATTAATATGATATGTGAAAGGTGTCAGCTGAGGCAAAGAAGTATTTCTGGGAATATGGTGAGCATTGAGGCACTCACTATGCTGTGATTTGCAAATGCACCTGGTAGGCATAAACACAAATTGCTACTGACTGGAGAAATCCAAAGTCCAAGTGCATTTAGGATATACTACTACTGCTCAGTATAGTGCATGGATGCCCAGAGACATTTCAGTGCCCTTTAAAAGTTTTAACCTACCAAACAACAGCAAAGTTAACCAATCCACACACTAGAAAATGAAGGGACGACGACATTTCGGTCCGTCCTGGACCATTCTCAAGTCGACTGCGAGAATCGACTTGAGAATGGTCCAGAACGGACTGAAATGTCGTCGTCCCTTCATTTTCTAGTGTGTGGATTGGTCAACATACTTCAGCCACGTTATTGTGACTCATTGCCTGCAACAGCAAAGTTGTATTTGTTTTATAATAGCTCATTAGATCCACACAAGTATGATCTAATAAAGAGAAAAGGCGTTTGCTACATACTTGCCCATCAATATAACTTTGTTGCTCTAACACATGTTCATAACAACTGATGTTGTTAAACAATTTGGAGGGTTGTATTTCAGGGAAAATTAAGATCAAGGACCTGCCCTAAGCACTATGCATGCTAGTGGCTATACAAAAATGTAAGAACTCTTGCATATATAAATAAAATAGAATAAAATAAAATGTACCGGGGCAATATTTAAACTTGAAACTCCAATACCCTCCTCAGTAAGCAGGAGGATACTGTAATTAGGATTTTATGAAAACCTTCATAATGGTAAAGCCATATAAAGTATTGCATAAGTACTGGACAGGGTAAAACCGTCTATCTTGAAAAATGACTGACATCAACTTTGGCCCTAATCAGGGTTCTTTCCTCCAGAAAACAACTAGGAAGATTTCTGAGCCAACAAAATTATAGTAACTGGCAAATTCATTGATGACTAGAAAATGTAAATAAAAAAATTACAAACATTTTGCTAAATACAGTACAGGTATTTACATATCTGTAGATTTCCCATATATTTTTCACAAATTTTACTTTCATCCAATTATTAATTTAAATCTAAGAACAGTACTTAAAAAATAGTATACTGTATACTACTGTACAAGCATTATAAAACTAACTTTCATAATCTTTCAAGGCTTCAATATTGTTGTTTGCAATAAGATGGTCCGTTTCCCTCACAAATGACAGCATGCCACCAAAGTGTGGTGCAAGCACCTCTTCTATATACTCTCCAGTACGCTGACCAAGTAATTCCTTGAGACGCTCACATTCCCGGCTGTCCTCGCGCGTTTTCTCCTACAATGCAAAATTCATTATTTTAAAACGTGTAGAATTTTTATTCTACAAAACTTGTAATGTACTAAATTCAGACAGATGCTAACACCCAAGCTGAAAAGCTTACTTCCAAAATACTTGAACTCCAAAATGTACATACTGTACTGTATCCCCAAAAGGTTCTTCAAATGTAAATCAACTAGCTGATCCTATGTATGCTGTCTCTGGACATTATAAAATACAAACAAACCAGCTATGTTGAAGAGTCTGGATATATGACATAAATATGGTACAGTACATACATACATACACACACATACTGTATAGGTAATTATACACACACACATAGGTAATTACACACACACACATTCATAATGTTATTCCTATCAAGAAGACCTAGAAAAGTGTATGGAGCAATACTTGGCAAATGGAATTTAGTGAACAAATGTCATGTTATGAAATGTAGAATAGGAGAACATAGACCCCACACAACCTATTAATTAAGTGAGAAATCTTTAAAGAATTCTGATAAAGAAAGAGATCTAGGGATGGTTCTAGATAGAAAACTATCACCTGAGGACAATAAAGAAAGAGATCTAGGGATGGTTCTAGATAGAAAACTATCACCTGAGGACAACAAAGAACATTGTGCGAGGAGCCTATGCTACACTTTCTAACTTCAGAATTGCTTTTAAATACATGGATGGCGAAATACTAAAGAAATTGTTCACGACTTTTGTTAGACCAAAGCTGAAATATGCAGCAGTTGTATGGTGCCCATGTCTTAAGAAGCACATCAACACTCTGGAAAAGGTGCAAAGACATGCAATTAAATGGCTCCCGGAACTCTAAAGGACAAGAGCTACGTGAAGAGGTTGGAGGCATTAAATATGCCAAAACCAGAAGATAGAAGAAAAAGAGGCAATACGATCACTACATACAAAATAGTAACAGGAATCGACAAAATTGATAGGGAAGAATTCCCGAGATCTGGAACTTCAAGAACAAGAGGTCATAGATTTAAACAACTAAACAAAGCTACCGAAGAAATATAAGAAAATTCACTTTCACAAAGAGTGGTAGACGGTTGGAACAATTTAGGCGAGGTGGTGGTGGAGGCCAAAACCGTCGGTAATTTCAAAGTGTTTTATGACAGTGCTAGGAAGACGTGACACCAGGAGCGTAGGTCTCATCCTGTAACAACACTTAGGTAATTACACACACACATACACACACAAACTGTGTGCATCTATGATTAATTAGTACTTTAAGAATAGTAGTTACTTTTAAATTTGTATTCCTATACAGTATTTTATTTGTATTTACATACCGTATATAGCTTTTAACTTACAGACAGTACAGATAGCATCATGTCATAATTATTGATGAGGAAAATAAGCTGATCTTTTCGGTTGTGAAAGACAGCAGCCATTTTGAGTATAACTTTCTCCACTTCATCCTGAAGTTGTAACATAAGGCTATCGACACCCTCTAGTGGGAACTTCTCATGTAGAACCATCACTGCACCACTGAATTCTGCATACCGTCGGGTGATCTAAGAAACAATTATTAAATACTATTCAAATATGGTTCATATACTAATTATTGTTGGAATCAAGATAAATGGGAATGAAGATGCAGAAAATTTATATTGAATGAGGAAGTCACTGGAGAAAAATGCTTGTACAGCTTACAGAGAGGATATGACCATGTAGAATGCATTTATGGAAGAAGACCTTACATTACCAGCATGTGATTATGTATGTGGTATAGAGCAGGCATGTCAAACTAAGGGTCTCCTGAGGGCCATATCGGTCACATTTGTTATCAGAAGGGCCACACACCATAACTAATTGAAGTCATTTAATACAAAGTATTGCAGAATATTTTTTTATTATATTATATACCTAATTACAGTATCATTTGTGTGGGCCGCAGGTGTGCTTGCAAAAGGCCATGTGTTTGACATGCCTGGTATAGAAGGTTAATGTGGCTGTGGTGATTGCATATGTTTTATGTGATAACAGCTGTCAGAATAAGAAATAATTGGATTAATCAGCCAACAAGAAGAAAATATTTTGAGGATGGTTAGTTCAATTATCAATACAATATATAAATTGGCAGTTCTAGGTGACAATTAGGGTTTCACAGCTGTAAGGTATTTTGAAGCTTTCTAACAGTCATTTTGGGCTAGACTGAGTACTCTTCAATGTCCTCTTAGCATCATTATGACCTGCCTGACTAAGCTTCAACCTGTTCTGGGGTTACCTGTAGTTTACCTGTATCCAGTTTGAAAGTAATTCTCCTCCCCAAGTTCAGCCAGTGGCTAGGCATGTCTGGCGATAACTTCTTTAGTCATGCTATTGCTTGCAGCAGCCCACAGGCTCACATTTAGAAACAAACCTGTTGATGTGGTACTTCCTGCAGAAACTTTTCCAATTGTCACTTGAAAACATGTACTTTTGTTATTCTGTATACAGTACTTGGAAGTTTAAAAGGGTCATGGACCTCTGATGTTCATACAGTGTATTCTAATTGTGTCTTTGGAACCTCTACTCTTCACTGGTTATATTCTGCACTTCCTACCAAATCTTTCACTCTAGTAAGTTGCTATATCATCTAACAAATTAAGAATCTAACCTCCGAGTATTTTCCATAGACTTTATATATTGTATGATACCTCTCGTCTCTATTCCAGAAAGCACATCTTTAGCATTTTTAGATGGTCCCAGTAATTTAGTTGCTTTAGTGTGTGTATGCATGCAGTGTATATTTTCTGTATTCTTTTATTTCAGAAATCTTTTCTGTCTTGAAAGTGGAGGTGAGTATCAAGAAGTATTCAAGGCTGGGATGCACAAGTGGTTTGAAAAGAAGGAGCAATGTGGTGGCATCCGTGGATTTGAAGGTTCTTATACTGTATTCCACCCTATCATTTTCCTGACTGGTCCTAATGTACTTCTTTGCTTTCAGAAGCAATTTAGTGGCCTATATCAGAAACAATAAATAATATGGGTACGATTATGGCAGTACAGTATTAGTGAATATTGCACAATGCTTGTAATGGTAGGGATAGTACGTTACCTTTATTTACAATAAGTTTGAACATGAGTGGCTAAGATGAGTGGCCCCTCAGGTGCGAGGTTTAAAATGTGGTCAACATGTGGCATGTGAAATATTCATGCAAAGCACAGATAGGCAAGAGTTTTAGTATTTTAAACTATACAGTATCCACACTGGAGCTGGTATGGTAAATTGACTCGACACATAGCTGGCTCAAAGACAACAAAAATCCGCTGTAGTTGACTTACATAATGGGGCCGCATGTCCAGTGCTGTCATTTTGGATGGATCACATTCCTGAATGCTCTGTATGTTCATCTTCACCACGTATTCAAACCTGAATATAATAGATACTTATTACAAAGAAGCAAGTGACACTTACACGTTATCTCGTTTTTTGTTTTTAGTTTTTATTTAAGATACCATCACACACAGTAAGACTTGGATGAAGTGGTGGATTATCTCCCGACACCATAGTGGTGCTCCAGGGAACTATAAAATACGTCACTATAGGGTAATTTAACAAACTCTTCACTGGAACTAATTGGAAAAGTCAGTTAAACAAGTACAATGAAATGTATGAAATATTTTGAGAGATATATGACAGTGGTGTTTAAAAATTCATTCCAAACCAAAGATGAACTGGAAAATGATTGTCTTAACATAAATTGTGAGGGGCCACAGGAAGAGGCCTCACCCATAAACATACCAACAATACAAAAGCATGAAATGACTACAAGACAGAAAGACAAGAAACAGAAAGAAAAATGTAAAAGAGGATACCAACAAATGTATCACTGAACCCAGCCTATTACATAAATTCATATGTAGCAATTTGTAAGTAAATGATAAAATCTAGAGATTAAGATTGGGATACATATTCACAGACAGAAGGAAATGTATGAAATCCTAAGTGAACAGTTCCAAAATGTGTTCATTCAAAATTAAGTTTTCAGGGAACTAGACTCAATACAAATTTTAGAACACCTACATACAGTACGTCTATAGATGACAAAAAAACTGCACAAAGATTGAGGCAGAAACCAGTCAGTCAGGCAAGATGGAGTCTCTCCTTGGGTTCCAAGGAAATGTGGGCTACAACTTATTTTTCAAACATTCTTGCAAATGGATAACCTAGCAGACATATAATGAGCATAGTTTCAATTACAAAAAGGGTCAAGAAAAACTTTTTCAAGTTGAAACTATAGACCTGCATCACTGATGGTCAACAAGTGGAATATACTGAAACAAGTCTTTGCAACCACTTCTACCACAACCTTTAGGGCAGATAGAACAAACTTGAACATTCAGAAATTAAAAATAATATGCATCAGGTACAAAAAAATTATTAGGTGAGGCATAAAGTCACTGTTTAGTAAGTACTGACAAATTGTATTAATATTTTCCTCAGTAAAAATGTTTACATTAACTTGCATAAAACTTGAACAGATACAGTACTGTACATAAAATTCTATAATACCTGTACAGTACTGCTTACCTGGGCCATATCATGTGAAGTAACTGTTCCCAATGATTGTCTAAAGCAGGAACTGCCCTTTTGTGGCACAAGAGTCGATACTGATGAATAAGGTGTGCACACAAGTAAAGTGCTATTGAGTCATAGCAACCCATAACTACACCACACACCTCTTTCTGTCAAATGAAAATTAATCTTACATAAAGATCACAAAATTAAAAGTTTATATACAGTACTATTACAGTATAAATCATGCTTTACATAGTTAACTACCTTTCTAAAGACATTATTTGTAATGTAAAAATGGCTTCCGGCAAAAAATGGCTAAAAATGGCAAAAATTTGTAATGTAAATGTTCACTTCCTCTAGGAAGTGAAATTTTTTTTTGTGTCCTCTTATTTGTAATTGTATTTATGCTTTATTTAACATGCATTCCGTACAAAAAAATTCACAGTATTAAGGAATGCTGCACTTTATGTATTCTGAAAACCTACTTAGCAACACTATGAACCAAACCTGAACATGTTGGAGTGTTTTGCCCATCACAGTCATGAAGAGCTTTAAAGCATCACTATCTCGGACCATGAAGAACTCTGTGAGAAATATGTATTCCCGGCAGCCATTGTCCATCAGTGCATACTGCTGACTTCTAAATAGCACTTCAAATGCATACTGTGGAAAACATCAAAATTGCATAATAAATACTTAAACATTTATTTACTATCTTACGATACAGTGTACAGTATATTTAATTCCAAAACAAAAGAATGAAAGGAACATAAAGATGTACCTTCAACACTAATGCCAGATTACTTCTCTCTATATTTCAGGATAACTATAGGTTACCCTATAATGACAAGTAAATACCCCTCATATTTACATCATATGTATAAAAACCAGACAATAATGTCTAAACTCAACATATGATGATATGTTGATCCCCAGGGTAATGTAATAAGATAATAACCACATTATAAGGGTTAAAATATACCATTAGTCATCATTTGTCAGTGCACTTCCATCCTTGCTATCTCAAACCAACACAAGTAGAATTTTTTTTTCTAGGCATACAGTATTCTACCTTTCTAGAGAATTTTTGTTTTCTGCATAGAGGGCTGATGTACTGTGCTCAGACATAGCAGTGCTGTTACAAAAAGTGACAAGCCATCATCTTAATAGAGCTCTATGGTCACTCACTAAAACTCTCATATAACTTCAATCGATCTTCTTTTTGTCATTTCATTCTCATAACTCTAGTTACCTCTTCCTCTGACAAGCCAACCTCTTTGACACACTTCTTCCAACTCTAAATATTAGGCATTCTTTCCATGTTACCAAGATACTTCAGTTCTTTGTTGTTCCAGCTCTATTACAGTCTCATTCACTCTTGTCTAGATTATTGCTTTCAAATTAGAGGTAGCATTCTCTCCAACAAAATTCCTGAGACAATACAGAGTTAAGCTGCTTCTCTCATCAGTTCTCCTGACCTCACATCTAAGTTTCCATCATTTTCCTCCTGCCACAAACCTGTACTGGATCTTATACAGCTATTGCCACGATAACACACTCAAGAAATACACAAAAAGTTGCTGTCTCAACTTATGCTGATTTATTATTGATGTTTTTTCTTTTGGAACCTGAATTACATGTGAGCCACCATTTCTAGTGGTCACAGGAAGTAGGTGGCTTGTCAAAAATCTCCCAATTATTCTTGAAGATTTTTCCCAGTTGTGCTTTGAACTAAAGTATTGTCTTGGTATTGATAACCAACAGATTTGCAACTTCGTAAGTTTGTTACCCTATTCATTAAACAACTATTGTACTGTCTGTCCAACACTGCAGTTTCTTGCTCTTGAAGATGTTGCCCCGTGTGAGTTTTTGATAGAAATGGCCTAAACCAATGTATTCAATTTGCTTGGCATTTTAAAGGTTTTGACAAGATCAGCCCTGTCGTGTCTTTTTTGCAGAGTTGTTCGTCTTGAGATGAAGAACCTTTACTGGTAGTGTATAAAGGTTGTTAGTTCTTAGTAAATTTTATCGCTGTGTGCTAAAACCTTTTTTTCAAACCTATTCTCCTGTTTAGATAGCAGTTTTTGTAACTATATGCACCATAGTACAAAGATTACCATTCTAAGCAATTAGATAGTAGAACTTTGTACTGTACTACAGTACCAGTATTCACTTTATAGAGACACAAAAAATGAAGCTAAAAACACACTTAAATATTCCTAGGCCTAGTGTAGCGCACATATGTACTATATTAGGCCTAGAAGGTTAGGGTTAGGTTAGTATTTTTTCAACATAAGTAGAAAATAGTTTTCCAGTTTGTCCAACTCAATAGTGCTGATTTCTACTTTCTAATTTCGTTGTACTGTACGTCGGTATATATACTATGATCCTCATCATTACTATAAGTACAGTGTTATCAAAACAGGAGGATGGGCTGCTTTTTTCAGTGCAGCTATATCTTTTTGAAGGTGAGGTCTCCATCCACTGTGTAGCAACTTTGTGATAGTAAATTAAAAGAAATGATAAGAGAAGAAAGTCTGACATTTGTATTGTGATAAAAACATGACCCATTAGAGTGGTCATGCATTAATATTTACACTGCCATACTGACAGTCCTGAAAACTGACTTTTTCACTTTATTAAAAAAATTATTCCAACCTTGGCTTCATTTTTGCTGGCAGTGTGAGGCACAATTATATCCTGAATAAGGCCAGCAGGAGAGAGCACAGAGTCTCTGGTGCCCAGTGTGAACACAGTTCCTCGACTCTTGAGACTCTTCGTGAAGAAGCTGTTGGCTCTTGAATCTTCTACACCCATAAGGTCATCACGTGTCACACCTTCCTCATACTGTAAATCATTTGAAATTGTAAGTTTGACAAGATTAATTATCAATACAGTAACCAAAATATGGATTAAAATTCTGCATGTGTACAAGGACTAACATTGATCCAAATGTTCAATGCCCAATTTCTGAGCTAAGGACTCTCTCAGATGCTACTTGAACTAGATCTTCTCACTGAACACAGCCCCCTCGGCCTTGGGGATGAAAGCATCACATTAAGGAAGCCTTTTGACATGTCCTTGGAAGAGTTTGATATTGCCAAAGGAAGCAATTGAGTGGTTTAAGTTCTGAAATAAATTTACTTTACTGCACATATATAAAGTATTTAGATTTGCTTAAACTTTAATAATAATATTATAATTACATGCCTCAGTGCCTTCAATCACAATATAGTTGATATTGCCAATATCAACTATATCTTCTCTCAGTTCGTCTACAATTTATTCACCACACTTCAGCCTCTCCCACATTTTGCCAATATAGTAATGTTAGCTACAATCTCCATATTATACATAGTAATTAAAAAAACAAACATTCTATGGTGTTATGGTTATGTGGAAAGAATGAATTACAATAATGGTGGATAAACCATGCACGAGTGACCCTAAATATGGGAGGAAAGGCAGGCCATGAAATTGGGCAAACATAGTGAGCATGTGAGAAAATGTGGCCAGTGTGTGAACTTTAAATGCTTTCATGGCATGGTCATACACATAGAAAATACATGAAAGCTAGAAACCTTTTGCGGACTTCATGTATTTTTCCGATAGCAAAATCTTTACAGATTTCTGGGGTTGGAGCAATATCGAGGTCCGATTTTCAAGGTCGCATTGTTACAATAGTCAGCAAAAGATTTAACATACAAAATTAAAACAAAATATATACTCATTGACTCAACAGTTACCAGTCATGGAAGAAGGTAGAGTACAGATGGAGATGTAGTGGAGATGGGGCACAACATGCAAATTGTACTCTATTTTTATTGTCCTGTATTATCTGACTTTAAAATTATTTATGTTATGTTAATGACTAGACACAAACCTGTAGCTTCCACAGCTGTTTTGTATATGATTGGAAGTAAGAGCTATAGACCTTGCTCATCGTTTCAACATACTCATCATGAATTTCTGCAGCTATTGTTCTTGCATGTAGGAGCAGGAATTCAAAGAAAAACCTGTATAAAATATTATAGTTACAGTACAGATCTCTTTTATAATAAAACAAAATAGTACTTCAATATCTTCACAAAACTAAGATAGTAAGAATCTAGAAAAAATGTGGGCAATACTGTAAGTTATTAAAATACTGTACAACTAAATATGTGAGTGAAACAAAGATATGCTCAAAATCACAAAGTTCTTACTTGTGCTTGATCATTGCATTTTGTGGTATTTGATAGTTAGAGAGAGGTTTCCGAAACTGGTACACCTTTTGGAGTAAATATTCTCGAATCTTACTGACAGCTTTCACTGTGAGTTTGTCTACAATATCTTGAACATCTTGGCAAGAGTGGGCATCTGAAGAAACAGTACTTCGGTAAATCTTATAAAATCAAATTTGTATATTTTTACATAAAACAAGTGGAAAGGCTTTTTCATACACAGTAACATACAGTAACATAAGCAAAAAGACAAAAGGTGAGGGCTGCAAGACCAGCATAAAACATATGATTGTATACAGCTATAGAAATGTTCCAAGATCATAAGGCATTGGGAGATTATCTTCATTTGGCTACTCTTTACTTGTACTGCTGGTAATGGCTGAACAAAAAACAAAATTAGATAGATCACACTACTTAATTAATAGAAACTGCACACATACCTCTAAAATTTTGTTCCTTGATAAATTTGCTTTTTTCATTCAGTGCCTTAAGTTGTTGCATGAAGAGCTCATCTGTCACAGAGGTGTTGAGAATATGGCTGATGGAAGAGAAACAATAATACTGAATGGCATTTTTCACAACTTTTAAATTAAAATTCTTCGCGGCAGGGGATCGTATTCCAGGGACCATAGGATTAAGGACTTGCCCGAAACGCTACGCGTACTAGTGGCTGTACAAGAATGTAACAACTCTTGTATATATCTAAAAAAAAAAAAAAAAAAAAAAAAAAAAAATTCCTCAACACAAGGTGGCACTCAAGAAATAGCCAAGACAAGAAAGACGAACACTGCCACAACAAAATCATTGGAGAGATCACCATGCCATTTCTTATTGATGTAATGAAAAATTGTGTAGAAAGTTAATAGGCCAGCCACCTGATTCCCATACCGATGGAGGTACATCAGCCACGAAACCTTTAAATGTGTAGAGCAACAGCCACAATAATTCTATGTACTTATAGGGGCCTGACAGCTGAGTTGGCAGCGCTCGGGATTCGTAGTCCTAAGGTTCCGGGTTCGATCCCCTTTGGAGGCGGAAACAAATGGGCAGAGTTTCTTTCACCCTGATGCTCCTGTTCACCTAGCAGTAAATAGGTACCTGGGAGTTAGACAGCTGCTACGGGCTGCTTCCTGGGGATGTGTAACAACGAGGAGGCCTGGTCGGGGACCAGGTCGTAGGGACACTAAGCTCCGAAATCAAGATAACCTCAAGATATACTTCCTGGAGCAGATCCTATATCAGAGCTGAATCACAGGGAATGTTGTCAGGTTGGACAATGCTAGACTAAAACCAGGAACCAGAAGGAAAACATGATGCACACAATTCTTTAACTTTGCCAGAAACGATATGTCATCTGAACTGAAAGAATCACCGATTCATCTCTCACTAATCCCATACACACAGTACAACCAATGCAAATGCTTCCTGATCCAAAAACAGCCACTTAAATAAGGAGCTTGTGGCTCCAAGTGGAGGTAAACTGATCTAGCTGCACTTGGGTCATGTAAATGATTCTTATCTGGGATTTCATAGGCCTTTCCTTACAAGTCTAATCTGCTTGGGGTTAGGTGTGTGATTTGCCAAAACACTTCCTCTGTGCATTGCATGCCTACCTGTTTGCATAATGGTCTGGGCAGCAGTACTTACACATGGGAGATTTGCTTACTTCATATTGTGCAAATTTCCCATTACAGTACAGTATCTGAATTCACCTAAGTCCAAAGTTCATTTTACAACATACTGATTAGGATTTCATTCATAAGGAAATTATTTGTGCCAATTTTTATGAAAAACAATGTGTCAATTGAGAATGGGTACATCATTATAGGAAAGGAATCATATAAGATCTTTGTAGTACAGTTGGGTACGTTCCCTACTCAAAATTGGGCAACCCGGATTCAAATCTTGGGTGGGACAGAAATGGTTGGGCATGTTTCCTGTCACCTAATGCCTCTGTTCACCTAGCAGTAAATAGGTAACTGGGAGTTAGTCAGCTGTTGTTAGTCAACCTTGGGGGAGACCTCGATACACACCTAACATATATACATACACTGGCTGCTTTCCCTGACAAACCAAATTATTAAACTTATTAATAATTAGTAAATCCTCACAGAAATTAATGAATAATCTTCACATTTTAAGATCACCCTTTAGCTAATATCTATGTACAAGATAAAAATTATATTAATTTTTTAACAACAATTTATGGAATATAAAAAATTGTTTGTAATAAAAAAAACTTGAGACAGTTACTATCCAGATAATGAGGCTGTTGCTAGGAGCTTAGTACTGATACAATGGTGGCAATAACTCTCCATATACAGTAACTTCAACTTTTAACTGCTTATGTTACCTGTTTTCTTGAGTAAGTGTATGCTTTATTATTATTAATCTATAATATTAAATGTATCTTTCTTTCATCTTATGAAGGTGAAGGAAAGGATCTTTCCTTGATCTTCATAAAATATCAGTATTGGATGTCATTTATATCAACATTGATTCCTATCTTCCGGGCAGTATACATTTTCAACGTGAAAGAGGTTAATTTCTTACTGTATCATAACTTCAGGGACCATAAGTTGATCAATGAATGCTGACATCTCTGCATGAACTTGCTTTCTGTTAGTCAACTGGATATTGATTGTGGCTGATTGTTCTTGAAGAGATTGTATTTCCTGACTAATTGTAGATAAATGAGTCAGGAATCCTTCCAGCATACCCTGCATATTCTAAACAGAAAAACACATTAATTGCATTTTCTCTAAAACAACAAAAAATAGACACAAAATGACATGTCAAAAGAAAATTAAGAAATTGCAGGCATTGCCATAAGTGAAAGTGAATTACAAAAGTTGGCAAGTTGCCATTATAGAGTATACTGATTAAAACCCATTATTATATATTAGCTATACAGGCAGAAGAAGAATATCACTATACAGTAATAATAATATTGTAATAATAATAATAATAATTTTTATTCAGGTAAAAGTACATACAAAATGAGTTACAAACAGAATGTTGGCTTTCTAGATTGAGCTAGTATATATGTACTATGCTTAAAGCCACTAATACACACTGCATTTCAGCCAAAACACTAGGCTGGAGAAATAGCAATTATGAGATTTCAACAACCAGTATAGTAAATTAGATTAAATAAGACTCTTGATAGCTGGATATAATGAGCCAAGAAGAGTGCTTGCTACCAAAATATTTTTTTTGTTAGTCCTTTCTCTGAGGCAGAGTACAGCATTAACATCCTACAAGTTAAATAAATACAGGTATTAAAAATCATTATTAATGCACTCCAATTCCATGGGATGGGAAGATATCAACTTGGAAGAAATAGGAAAGTAATGCAGGTAAAACACACTCAAAATGACACACACATCATGTCATCATACTTTCCATACTATATACTGTAGCATCACATCCATCCAGCACCATAATGCTCCAGTAGATATAGCTTCTCATAAAAGAGTACAGTACAATGAAAATGCATTCAAATAATAATGACAAATGCATATTATCTTCACAAAAATGAGTGAAACTTGAATTACTGTCGCTGGTTAGTACTTTCCTATGCCCTTATGAGAGTGGGACATAGGTCTAAGTGAGCAGCCGAGTGGGTTGATCTGAGAGGTCTACTATACAGTTAACTCATGTGGAATGAGGAAGTGAATACAATATAATAATTTTCACACAAAATGTGCTTATGTATTGCCAAGACTAAGAAACATGGAAACTGTAAAGACACAGTATATTGGTGATTGGTTTCAAATCGTTAACATGGTGCCGTTTTGCTGGTTGTATAAAAAGATAAATATTAATAGGGTTTTATTAGAAAATATATTTTTAATCATAGAAAGAAACATTACAAATATGCTACAGATACTGTAGCATATTTGAATCATGTATATACTATAGTTACTTTTTGTTCCTACAGATATGCAGTAAGTAATTTAGTGCTGTATACAACCTTGTTAAAGACACTTGAATTTTTTTTAAAGTATCTGGTACTTACTTCAAGAATTGAATCACACTCTGTAATTTGGTGGTGAAGTGTAGCTATATTCTGGGCCTTGTTGATATAATCCTGTATGCTCAAATTTTCAAGCTGGAAAACAAGGATTTAATTTTACTGATCCAATTATTATTTAAAACAATTCACTGTTAAAATAAGCAGACAGCCTACATTACTTAAATTCATGCAATAATTGTATTTACTTATAGTATAATTACAGTACTCCACTGTATAATAATCATACAGTACTGTATTTTGTACCTATAATACTGTATTCTTAAAAACTATACAAATTTTAATACAAGTAGTTTAAAGTACAGTACAGTATATACATTAGGCACAGTTATATTCACTGCTGAGTTTGCAATATATCACCAATAATTTACAAGCATTACTATTCAGCAATAATCATTAAAAACAAAGTTACCTTTTTGTCAAAGGCTTTCTTTGTGATTGCACAAACATTTTCCTGTTGTTTACCTGTCGGAGTTCCTTCTCAACAGACTGTGAGTACTGTCTGAGGTCTGTCCCTGAAGTGAGGGCCTCACGGATTACCTCATCTTCCAACTGAGCCTTAATGCTTGAATCAACATCCTCACTGCCACCAGATCCCGACATCGTAAGGGCGGGTTCTCTGGGATAAAAAAAATAAATAAATAAATAAATTATTTATGCGAAACATAAATCATTGTTGATTTAATATAAAATTTTGCACCTTTTCATAATTAACGGAACCTTTTTACATATACAAATATTAGAATATTGATCAACATACTGAATTGTATGTTCAGTCATCATGTTACTTTATTCATAGTACATAAAAAGTACATAGCACTGATGTTTTTACATTCTTGTAAAGCCACTGGCACACATTCTTGTAAAGCCACAAATTGGTTATGTCTCCCAGCTTACCTAACCTGGCCAAACCTAAAATTAGCAACTGGACAATCACCACTTTCAACAACAAAAACACACATAAAAAACACATCACTGACCTGTACAATTGTTGAATATTGTCCATTTTGACTAGCATCCCTCTGCTGGGCCAGTTAGATATCAGTCAGATCACGCTTTATAAAATTTGTTAAGAAAATAACCTGTGCTATATAGGCATCACATCTTGGTCCCTTGGCCCTGCCTTGGCCCTGCCTTGGCCTTACCTTGGGCCTGCCTAGGCCTTGCCTAGACTCTTGTCTGGCTCTAGGCCTTGTCAAGCTCTAGACTTGACAAGGCCATCATCACGATAAATTGTTACTATGGTAACATGTTCCATTAAAAAAGAATTTAAACTTAAGATATATACATATGCTTAATGCGTCTTAAATCATTAAATTCACTTTAAAATGGCAATATCAAATTCAAAAGTATGATTATGACCGAAAGTGAATATGACCGGCGGTGTTGTTGTTGTTGACAGCCATCAGCTGTTGTGAGGCCGCCGCCGTGTCACACCCACAGAGCTCTAACATCTGGTGGCTGTCAAACTGCCTCTACACCGGCGGCCATATTGAACCACCTTATTTACTGCTGGGCGCTTAGGACGTTCATCATAAATAAATGATTGTGAATTGTGCAGCTAATTAATTATTTATTTTGTATAAATAAAGGGTTAATTGGTTGCATTGTTAAGTACCTTCTTCAAAACTTGATGAGTTTCGGACAGTTTCCTTGCCCGAAACGCTATGCGTAGTAGTGGCTTTACAAGAATGTAAAATCATCACCATTACTATATACTCTCTTAACCCCTATGTATCTTCTTGTATATAAATAAATAAATAAAAACGTCTGTAGACAGCTCAATTGAATAACAACCGAATTATCGTGTGTAAGAAGCATGATGTGCGTTCGAATTTCGCTCGAAATTGGTTAGTAAGTAATTATTAAAGAAGGCACCAAGCCGGCTATCCATGGTTAGGTTAAGGTTAGTTTATGGTTAAGATTAGGTTAAGGATGTGGTTTATCTTTTTTTTTTTTGAGATATATACAAGAGTTGTTACATTCTTGTACAGCCACTAGTACGCGTAGCGTTTCGGGCAGGTCCTGGAATACGATCCCCGCCGCGAAGAATCGTTTATTCATCCAAGTACACATTTTACTGTTGCGTTAAACAGAGGCTACAGTTAAGGAATTGCGCCCAGTAAATCCTCCCCGGCCAGGATACGAACCCATGACATAGCGCTCGCGCATCGCCAGGCGAGTGTCTTACCACTACACCACGGAGACTGATTGTAATGGATTTACTGTGAGGACGGTGCAAAATATATTAATTAAACTAACTTATTAACTTCGCTAGGATATAAATAAATAAATAAAATTGATGAGTGTGTATGGAAACTGAAATAAGTTTATTGAGGTAAAACACACACAAAGGGATGAGGTAGCTCAAGTTATTCTCACCCCGTTCAGTACATCGTGTTAATACATACATAGACACACATCACAAACAATAAACATATTACCAAACAATCTGAGAGATAAACATATACATTTCCTCCTTTCCTTCCAGTGTGTATGGGGGATGACGGGTCCCCTAGGGAGCCTGGCCTGAGGACGGGTCGTGGAGCAGCCTCTGTAGTGAAGGTGTGAGCAGCTGTGGCCGCCACCAGTTGTTTCATCCACTCACGTCTCTCCAACATGAGTTCTGACTCGCCCAGGTAATTGTTTAAATTGAGCGAGAAGTGCATAATATCTGCAGGTAATATAGGTGTTAAGTGTATTATGTACTTGTACTCCGCCTGTGAGTACAAGGGGGGAAAAGGCTACTCAGGTATGGGATACATTAGCTCAGGAACTGGAGAGCAATATTCGTCTAGCCAAGTAATTTACAGGATTGATGAGCTAGTTGCAGAGGTAGCACATACTTTTAAGCAATGTTAAATTAACAGTTTTAGTTTGTATATTAGAGCCAATTTCCCATGACCATCCCAGTGACACGTATGACATCGTTCACGACATGCAATCTGGAATTCAGGGATTCCCAAGTGGGACAGAAACGGTTGGGCATGTTTCCTTTCACTTAATGTCTCTCTTCACTTAGCTGTAAATAGTTACCCAGGAGTTAAGGAACTGCTGCTGGGGAGGTTGTATCCTGGGGAGGGTCAGTAGTTCCTCCTTGGGGGAGAACCTTGATACAAGCCTAAAGTATATATGAATCCTCTGCACATCCTCTCATGTGTATTTTATATATATAAAATGCTGAACTGTAATATCAATCCTGACCTTAAAAGCTTCCTAGACGGTTGTAACAGAACTCGTGGGTATCACACCAGAAACAAATACCTATTTGATATTCCAAGAGTACGACTAAATCAAACTAGAAATGCTCTACAAATCAAGGGACCCAGAATGTGGAATGACCTTCCCAATCATGTTAAAAGACTGTACCTCTCTCAACCAGTTTAAGATAAAAACTAAATACTACTTAATTAACTCCATGTAACCTACCTTACCCCTAAATGTCAACCCATATCTACTATTTTAAACAATGCTCTTTGTCGACCAAATTGTATATTTGCTATTTTTCTGCCATGTTCCCCCCCCCCCTTTTTTTTATTTTCTCAACACAATTTATACTTTAATCTCAATTAGTATTAAGTTTTAGTCTTAGTTTTCCTGCCCGAAACGCTTTGCGTAATAGTGGCTTTAGGCATTGTATGTACTAGCTCTATCTATAAATCCATCAATGTTTGCATCTCACCTTGTATGTATGTACTTTACCTGAATAAACATTTGATTTGACATTTGATTCGATTTGATTTGATTTTGAATGCATATACCTGTACAGTATATCCAAATGGCCAACTAGAAAGGCAACAGTAAATATTTGTTTTAATTCATACGTTTAATTAATTTTATACATAGTGTTTAACAATCAATTTATCCAAGTAATTTTATTGAAATTTATATTTAAATATAAAAGGGTCCCGGTAGTACAGTCAGGTTCGTTCTCAATGTACAATCGAGAATTCCTGGTTCGAATCTTAGGCAGGTCAGAAATGGTTGGGCACATTTCCTTTCACCTAATGTGTCTGTTCACATAGCAGTATGTACATCCTCAGGAGTTAGTCAGCTTGTTGTGTGGCTGCATCCTGGGTGGGGTCAGTAATGTGTCCTTGGGGGGGGGGGGGGCTCAATAAAAGTCAAACGTGTATGAATACACTCTGGCTTTCTGTTCCCCTGACACAAAATGAATTGTAAAATACATATTCTTGTAAATTGTTTCAAATTTATATTATTAAATGCAAAATTATAAAATATTTTTATGTTTACATGGTGTATTTCCATCTTAGCTGAATTTGTAAACTATAATAAATTGTGGTGGTTAAAACAATTAACACCACCTCTTCCCTATTGATCTTGAGTACAGTACATGGCAATTCCTTGTCAAGTCAGATAACACATTCGCTTTTGAACAAGTAAAGATTAGATTACATGTATATTAGCTGAGGTTGTTTTACTAATTGTTCATTTCCCATCTCTTTTGGTGTGTTATATTCTATTATAATTCGGTTTTGTATTTATTGCAATTCTGCACTGTATTTGTTAATCAAATGTTAACTGTTTTAACTGAAAGAGGAGTAACTTAGTCATAGAGCAATAACTGCTAACAGTGTTCAGAAAACACCATGTCTCCCTCTCTTCTGGGCCATATGCATCTATTACCCTCAGTTTCTTGATTCTGAAATTTCTCTTGCTTTGGCTATCCCCTAAATTTTATAAACTGTGCCTACTCTCAAGCTAAAAATTTTCATCCTAAACCTGCTTCCAACATTAGGAACCCCTGTGCTTTGCCTTCCCTTTATATCTGAACTATAAAATTTCATTAATACCTTTGCTCTATTGGTGTAAAACTTTCCTTTTTAACAAAATCACTCAGTAACCTGAAATAGTAACCTGATCACATTGCTGCTTCTGGCATTTTTTAAATTTCCTGTTCCTCTTGTCCTTTCCAAAACTTTGGTGAAACTGGCCATACTCTTAAGGACAGAATTAAAGAACACATAAAGTGTTAAACTCGATGACATGAACAATGCTCACAATCTTATTGAGTCGACTCTCATAAACATTGTTGCCAACCAGAACCTTAGTCCTAGCTTTATTACTATTGTCTCTTGCCTTTCTCAGTTCATAGTTAAATACAGTACTCTTAATATAGCACCTGAAATGCTATGCGTGTTAGTGGTTTTGCAAGAATGTAAGAACATCAATGTTATGTACTCTCACAAACCCAATGTACTTCTTGTATATAAATAAATATATATACTGTATATACAGTATACGGTATAATATATGTATATAATAATATATATATCTCGGGCATGATCTGACTTGACTATCTGCCCCTCTGTGCTATCATTCTATCTCTTCAGTCCTTATCTTTTGATATGTCTAATTTGATTGTATTATTTTTTGTTTATTTACTTTTTGCATTTCTCTGATTTCTTTGTTTTTATTTCATCTCACAGAAAGCTGCTTATAGCTCAGTTTGATTGAGTTACTTTTCCACTGCCATCTTGCCTACTCTTGGCTCACCTAACCTCTTGCCTTATAATGGTTTCCTGTTCCTTTCTTACTCAGTTTAGACTTTATTAGGGTCCAGGACAAACCAAAACTTTATTGCTCTCATTTTACTTCACATGTGAGAGTTGTATTTTTTTTGTCAGGTTATTGTGACATTCTTTTCACAAGAACTATGGGGTTTCTGTACAATTCACTTGCAAAACTTACCTGAATCTAAGCTTATTAAGACACTCAAAGTATTAATAGTAAAATTCCTGTTCCCACAGGGTGATTTTCTCAACATTAACTACTTTGGTAAAATTTCCTGAAGTGACTAGAATGGGTGATCTAATTAATCATGTCAACTCAATCTGATTTGTGATAATAGTTTTTAGGTTGATAAATTAATGTACAGTATACAAAAAACAATGTTTCATTATACAATTTAATTACAAACATTTGAGGCATTCAAGGATTTGGTAGACACTTGACCTTTAATGCTGGGAAGATAAAGAAGATGGCTGTCTTCCAGAATTCCTCCCTGTATCCTTGGGGATTGAGAGCTGTTTGCGTCACTTGTATGGTGGGAAGTGAGGTTGCCATATCATTTTACAATAATTTTCTTCTACTTCATGACTTAAACCAAGTGTAAATTTAAATAATGTTGATAAGGTTATGAATAACTTTGAAGATACAGTAGCAGGCACTGTATTTTTCAATTGCTAAGAATAAAAAAATTCATTAAGTTTTAACAAACTGCTATATATTTCTTACATTATGTAATTTGATAGTTGGACAGTTTGTTTGCTTTCACATTTAATTTTCTACCAAGCAAGATATTATATCCTTTATAGATTTTAAATTTAGAAACAAAAACATTACCCAGGTAATGTATTCCAGTGCTTAGTGTAATAAGAGATGTAATTAGTAAGGGGTGTAGTAGGTGGCAACTGGGTGGTTGTCGTCAGGCAGGGAGGGAGGTCAAGGCTGGTGCACTAGTTATCTCCAGGCCACACTCCCACCAGTGTCTGCCTACCTCTCACACTCATCATGGCTAACAAAAGGTATTGTTCATCATTTACAGTATTTGATGACCAATAGGACTTCTTTCTGATGATGATGCTTTAATACAGTAGTGTATGTCCTAAATATTTGTGTGAAGACTCACAATAATGACTACGAAATAATTAAAAATGGTTTAAGCATCAAATGCCATAGTGAAATTATTCTTGAATATGTTTAATTCTTTCCTAGCTATTTAATACTGCACTGTTGTATACACTCTTGTGTTGTACTTTGTGAGAATATACTTTTCCAATGTACACCAACATGGTTGCAAAATGTTTTGCACCATAAATAAAGATAAAGTATAAATATGTTCAGTACTATATTTTACTCTATAACATGGTTGAATGATATTCAAATGCAGCAACAATACTAAGCGTGATGCTTAATGGATGCAGAATACAGTATAGTGGAACCTCAATAGAATGGAACCTTCGGTGGGACAGAATGAATTTGCTATACAAAACCATTAATAATATGTATCAGTGGGCCCAGATTGTTAACCCATTGAGCACAGTATCCAAGAGTGGTGTTAATTCAACATTGATTCAGGCATTGAATTGGTGTTGCTTTGGATATTATGCCCGCTGGGGCAACCTTAATAAAGTGGACTGATTTTGACCCACCATTTTTTCATTTTTTGTTAGCAAAGTTTTTGTAATTTATATTTTCATATTAAGCATTATTTACTTATAGAGGATTATGTATGTATATATTACTGTATATTTATCATTATTCATAGCAAAACAAATTCCCAAAATGTTTGGTTGTGAAAAACTGTAGAAGTTTGATAAAATTTGCACCTTGAAAGATCAGATACAGTCTGGCTCCAATTACATCTAGATTTCACTTTACCCTGCATTCTGTAAATTTAGACCTCCATATAACGTATTTTAGAGGGGATTGCAATCTACCCAGCCTACTCGCCAGTCACCAACATATCTATCTATCCACACTGCCTGTCCGCTTGCCTGCCCACTCACCCAGCCAGTCCACCAACCCAGCCATCCTCCCTATCCATGCACCTTCCCACTCCGCCTGTCTTCCAGCTGGCCACCAATCCATCCACCTATCTACCCACCCAAAACTGCCCACACAGCCAGCCTACCCGCCCACCTGATTGTTAGCTAGCCCACCCATCCCGTTCCGCCCACCCACCTGCTAACCCTGCCTGTCAGTCCTGCCTGCCAGCCATTCTGTTTCCACCCCCCACCCACCCTCCCCGCCCGCCTGCCCACTCTGCCCACCAATCCACCCATCAGTCAGCCATCACTGACACAATGCGTGTATATGAAGCCAACATGGTGCACGGATGTTCCTTGATTGTGCAGATATGTCCAACAAAGTCACAGAATGAACACCCCAGCCTCGTGACAAATCAAAACAATGGGAACAATGGGTTGTGAATCTGTGAAGCCACAGAGTAGAAGGCACTAGAGTGGTGGTGCCTGACACATTCAGTGGGCATACAAGGCCATCTCCCACCCCGGGCTGGTGCGAGGCCTGGTATACCGCTTCCTTGCTTCCCGAACTTAGTTTGTGAAGCGTGAAACTTCAACCCCGATTGTGAAACTGGAACTTTTGAATAACTTAAGTTTGCAAACCAAGTGGCTGTCTTGTAGTAGCTTCAGGGAGCCACCAGGGCACACCCAGAAATTGGTATTTCATAACATTCAGAGCTGATTTTATGATATAAAAAATGTACTAGTGGGCCCCCTGGTGCTGGGTGAAGGGCTAGGCCCTTTGGCCCTGCCCTTACATTTCGTGTTTCTAGAAAAGTTTCTAGCAGTCTCCGTGGTGTAGAGCAGTCTCCGTGGTGTAGTGGTAAGACACTCGCCTGGCGTTCCGCGAGCGCTATGTCATGGGTTCGTATCCTGGCCGGGGAGGATTTACTGGGCGCAATTCCTTAACTGTAGCCTCTGTTTAACGCAACAGTAAAATGTGTACTTGGATGAAAAAACGATTCTTCGCGGCAGGGGATCGTATTCCAGGGACCATAGGATTAAGGACTTGCCCGAAACGCTACGCGTACTAGTGGCTGTACAAGAATGTAACAACTCTTGTATATATCTCAAAAAAAAAAAAAAATGTAAATTAAGCTTTTTAGTTGATCTCTTCATGTGGAAGGTTTCTAATTTCTGGGATTAAGTGTCATTCTTCTATGTATGCATTAAAGTAAATAATGTTCATTCTATAGTACAGATCAAAACTGAATTGTATAATCTAAATGAGGTCTAATGGGGGCAAGATAACAAGAACAAGATAAAGCTGAAGAATAATATTAGATGTCTCATTGTTAATGCTTCTAGAAATAAATCCCAGTGTCCTATTTGTTTCTAATTCTGTAGCAGTGGAAGAAAACCCACAGTACAGTACTATAAAGTACAGTACAATACTGTAATTCAATACCCAGAATTGGCGGAAGAGGATAACCAAACTGGCTTGTCAGGAAACCCTATGAGTGATAATTTAAAGGCATTAACTGTTTAGGAAAATTTTTAAAAATAATTCTTTGATTTCTAGAGTTCCATGTGATGTGAAGGTGGAAACATCTTCATCCGCATCTGGATATGATGGCATTATCCTGGTGACAGACTCCCTGGATAAACTTACAGGGGCTTTGGACAACCTTCTGGCTCCCCTTAAAGCTCAAGCTGAATTTGGTGAGATCATCTTATCCTAAGGCTTGTGCATTGTAATACAGTAACAAAATTAACTAAGGGTAGGGAATTGAAGTTTTTACCTATACTGTTTTTTTCCTAGAGTGATGAGTATAATGATAGGAATTTATAAGTCCACATGTCTATCATAAAGTTTATAATGCCCTATAAAATTGTTTCGTACAATATCATAACATTGTACACAGCTGTGATGTAGGTAACATGTAATGCAGTCGGGTTAGTTCTTGACTCTATTGAGAATTCCAGGTTTGAATCTCAGACAGGACAGAAATGGTTAGATGCTCTTCCTATTGCCTAATGCATCTGTTCACCTAGCAGCAAATATACTAACCCAGGAGTTAGTCACCTTGTTGTGTGGTTGCATTCTGGGTAGGGTCACTATTTGACCTTGTGGGGGTTGGGGACCTCGATATACAATTTAACATATATATGTACACTGGCTGCCTGTTCCCCTGGACACAATGAATTATTAATGCCAGTAGGCATACACATGGAATTTAAAAAATTGAGGTGAAATGTCAAATTTTTGCATTAAGCACAGTATCTAAAATTTAAATCTATACTGCAGATAGCCTATAGGAGCAAATGGCTTCCTACCCCTGTTAGGAGTATTGGAGCTTTCCCTCCCACACTATACTATTGATTTTCCCCTGAATACAATATGCTGATTAATTTATTACTGTAACTGCTGGCAGAACATTGGTAAAGGTTAATAAACAGTAATATCTCCCTTTCCCTTAAGGATAAGTACTTTTGTACTCTGCAGGGAGGTATTCAACTCTTCTAAACCATATTCTTGGATATACAATGTATTCATAGTTTCAGAGTTAACATGATTGGAATGTAAGGCATCTTGCCCAAACTGCACCATAGTTCTTTTGGATATTTTTTTTTAACAGTTAAATTTGGTGTACTCTGCAGGAATAGTTATGATTATTGCAATTGTTAGTAACTTTCTCTCATTGATTACATACCCTGAGATCTTGAGAAGCCATGTCTTAAAGTTCTAACATCTAAAACAAAAAATGAAGTACAGCACCTGTATCAGGGCATGCTTTTTATAGCATCGAAGAATTTGTTGGTACAATACTGTACCTGGAAATAAGGCAGTATCCGTATATGGAATACAGTATAAAATAATGCAAGACTTGGTATTTGGTTTACTACGTCAATTGGCTAATTTTCAAAGTGGTAGGTATTTGTATTAATAATATCTGTATTCAGTGTTCAATAGTCATCGCAGCTTAGTGCCTTCTTTTGAGAATTACTGTCCTGTACTTGCTTAAGAATACCCATACTGTATAGGTACTTAATGTTATTTGTACTGCAAGGTGTTGTTATTAAAAGTACTATACTGAAGTTTCTACATTTGCTTTAAATTTTAATGTGGGCAAAGTACACAAAATGTCACTTGATTAATCAGGTCACTGATTGATGTTGGGCCTGGCCAGTAATTGGATGGATGCCTACACAGACAGCCTTGTCACTGGCTAAGGAGCCTAGATAAACTTGGCAGGCTTTCTGTTCCTGACTGGTACATTATACTATATCAGTAAAACATACAATACAGTACATGAATAAAAAGACACTTCACTCTTATAAATACAGTATTCATATTGGTATCATGTAAAGGTGAAGAGTTGAATTTACAATAATTCTTCATGGTCTTTGTATCCTGAGATATGCTGACATAAGGGAATGTTTACATCTTCCTCGATTACAAGACCAGTTTGCTTTACATTTTTCACTGTATATTGCATTATAACTTAGTACAGTACTGTATAAGAAATTTGTGTTATGTTTGTGTGTTTTTAAGAAAATATTTGACCATTATAGTACTGCTTAATTGGTAAAAAAGACATTTGTTAACAGTATTAGATATTGATAGCATTCATGACTGAGAACTGATAAAATTTTATTTTCTTCCTTTAGATGAATCCTTGGTAAAAGATGGTGCTTGCGTGAAAGTAAATGTTCCAGCTAATCGCCTTGTGTATGCACCAACTGGGCCTCTTACCCGTGATTATGATGATGTGCGAAGGTTTGCAGATGCAGCTGAATCCGGGATAAAAAGGTTAGTTCTAGGATATGCATGACTTCCTAGTAACAAATGTATACATGCTTTGCTAGAAGGTTACAAATATTTAGTAATTACTGTCTACTTTTGTTAATCCAAATCAAAAGGGGCCATCCACATTCAAGTTAGATGAGCATTTGACTTAGAAATAGACAAATGTCTTACTTGAATATTCTAAAAATGAACAGATTTGCAGTTCTTTGTACCACAACCAACATTCAGAAATTTGTATTTCCACATGGAAAAACTTATCGTTTACCTGGTTGCTTCTGCCATTTACTCGAAAACAAAGCATTTAACCTTTTAACTTGAATTTCTGTTTTGGTTAAAAATTCAAGAAACTCGAATGCAAATTCATTTGGGGTTACCCCAGGTTTGGATTACCAAGCTCTTATAGTACTAATTATATACCAGTGTGGTAATTTGTTGTCATACGGTGAAAATTAGTTTTGTGTTATTAGTTATCGAAAGGGAGTACTGTAGTTGGTTTTTATGTTTCTTGTAGGGGAGAAAAAAAAGAGATTCTTGGGGCATGTAAAGTGCTTGATACCTCATGGTGTTATGTGAGCAGTGCCAGCCTGTTTTAGCCTTCCCTGACACAGTGTGCTTTGACTTTGGAGTGGTTTGGCTTTTCCTACCATTTGCAAGTATTATTTTGGTTCTGCATGCAGCACTAGGTAATTGTTGGTTATTTGAAAAACAGGAGGAAGCAAATGGGATGCCACTTTCCACACGTTCTCTTCTACGGTTTGTGTACTATAGTTACAAGTTTTTTGTTGTTGTGAACAGACTTTGCTGAGCACTGTCCTATAGGACGTAAAAAGATAAACATTTGTACGCATACCTCTGCAGAGCCCAAACAAGATGGAATATGTACGCTCCAGCGTAGGCCCAGAAGACAGACTGCTAGTGTTAGTTGAAGTGCAGGTTATTAACATTCCACTGTATTAAGTAACAAGTAGACTGTGTAGTATAATCTCTTGTCAAGGTATCTACTCCACAAAATAGTCACCTGCTATAAAAACCTTATGCTCTATGATATTTTTAAAATTTCTTTGCTTTCATTGATTTTTGTATTTTATTGATTATTTTTGTATAAAAAAAAGTGATGTGCTGTTCTGTAACTATATTTTATACAATTAACTTAAATTCTCTTTTGTTTCTGCAGAGGTTTAAAAGTTGGGATGAAACGTCCACTACTTGTACGTGCCCCAGACCAGAGCTTCCCTCATGCTGATCTTGTTACGTTACTTGGGGCTCTTCACGCTCTTTATGTTCCACTTGAGGTATGAATCTGTATTTTCTCTGAATTCCATTAAATTTCTCTACTAATATACTTCAATTCAGCTATCAGTTTATTACTTGTGTTTAATTCATATATTGTAAACTGTAGTGAAACTATACGTGAAGTAATGATGACAAAGTGCAGCCCCTTTTATTTCAGTAACTGAATAAATTCTTGAACACAAAGGATTTCGTAATTTTTTGTTCATTCTTCCATCGACTTGGACTAGTCAGTAGAGCGACAACTTCACTCCCTGCAGGTTGGCATTTGATCCCTGATGGTCAAAGTGATGGGGCATCATTTCTTCACTCTTCTCTATCCCAGCTCTTATTCTGCTCTTGTAGCCTTTCCAAGTGCTATATAGTCATCCTGACTTTGTGCTTTCTCCTCATAATTTCCTTTGCTTCCTTCTTCAACCGACATGATAGGTATGGCCATGTACGTGCATGTACTTGGATAGACATTATAGATACAGGCATTAGGAGAATGGCTGCATATCATCTGCATTGAAATGTGTGTAATTACCCTGTACACCCCATACATACCTTTCCTTTCAGATTTATCCAGTCAGTCTCCTAATGCCTCTTCACATGTAATATCCCTTTCCATTAATAACTCATTATGCACATACCTTTGCCCTTGTGGTGTTGTCTACCTTCATAATGAACATCATTTCCCTAATTCCCACTTTCATGGGATGTGAAGCCATTTGCTAACAGGAGATGGAATAATAATTTAGGAAAAAGATGAGTAAAAGTATTATATATCAATGCACATATATTACCACTGGGCAGCATCATGGAAAGCAAACCCCACCACCATCAGAATAGCAAATCATTCACAGGAATATTGCATTTGCTTCATAGACTAGGTGTAAAGTGCTCAGTGTGAATTACCATCAATAAAATGGCAATCATTCTCTCTTAACAAACTGCTTCCACTAAGCCTTGTTATTTATAATTATACATACACTTCACAATTCAAACACAGGTCCTTGGGACACTAGTAGACTTGTTTTTATTCTTCTTTGGTAATGTATTGTTTCTGATTGCCTGACTGAACCTGTTTTTTATAGTACTTACTTGAAACAATTCCAGCTCTTACTGTTAATACTGTAAAATAAATAAATGTATGTACTCGCCGAGTTGTGCTTGCGGGGGTTGAGCTTCGGCTCTTTGGTCCCGTCTCTCGATCGTCGATTAACTGGTGTACAGGTTCCTGAGCCCATTGGGCTCTATCATATCTACATTTAAAACTGTGTGTGGAGTCAGATTCTATCACATCACATCCTAATTCTTTCCATTTGTTAACTACCCTGACACTGAAAAAGTTCTTTCTAATGTCCCTGTGGCTCATTTGTATACAGTACTAAGTTTCCATCTGTGTCCCCTTGTTAGCATACCACCCATGATAAATAGTTTATCTTTATCTACCCTGTCTGTATGTATGAATGTATGTATTTACTGTATTTACTTTTCTTTTTTAGATAAGAGAGGATGTACCTGAGAAAGCATCAACAGTTTCTTCACTGGGCTTTTTAGGTGACAACAAAATGGTTCAATTAGCCCTTGCCTTGGAGAGTGGAAAGTAAGTATTAGTTATTTATTTAATTTTGCTGCTTACAGCTACTGTACGACACCTGTGACTGACCCTTTCACATTATTATCTTCTTGCTGAATATTTCATTATTTTATTTAAAAAAATATATTTCCATAAGACTTTAACAGAATTTTATTTACTTGAACTTGACTGCATTTTCAGTTCTTAATTAATTTTACCAATTGTAATTTTTGTTTATTATATATATATATATATATATAATTTTTTTTTTTTTTTTTTTTTTTTTTTTTGAAATTATATATATATATATATATATATATATATATATATATATATATATATATATATATATATATATATATATATATATATATATATATATATATATATATATATATATATATATATATATATATATATATATATATATATATATCAGTATATATATACAGATTTACGATGGTAATCCGTTCCCAGAGACGTATCGTAAGTCGAAGCGATTTTTCCCATAAGAAATAAAGGGAATTGAATTAATCCATTACACCCCCCCAAAAATATTAACTTAAAAATACATTTTATACTGAATACAATTTTTTTTCTATAACTACAATACCATACATATGTTTATCTTGCCTATATGGAGGACTCTTGATGACATGTGGAAGATGGTGATGAGGAGGAGAGGTGTTACTGTTTGGAAGGGGAGTCCCCTTGCATTACAACATCAAGCAGTGATGATTTCTCTGGGGTACACACTCCTACATTTTGCCTGCATACCACTAGGACCTAGTTGTGGTTCACCGCTTGTTTGTCTCACTAAAAATTTGTCTATACGATTGTACTTTAGAACATATTATCTGCGACTCGTTATTAAGCTGGAAAAGTTGTGCTTGATTTTTGTTATGGACAAGTGCAACAGATATACAGTGGCACCTCGACTTACGATTGCCCCAACTTACGATAATTTCGAGTTACGATGTAAATTTGATTTAAAAATGCGACTCGACATCCGATGGTGTCATCGACTAACGATATTTGTTGGTACACGTTCGGGTCGACTGAGCGCGTGGGTCCCGGTCACGCGGGCCGACCTGCCCTGCCTCGGTTTACTACAGCTTAGTGACAATCACGCCTATAAGAAATTCTGTTTTTGTGGTGATTTTTTGCATTTTGGACATAAAAGTAATTATTATATATCGTGTAATTATTATATATATGGGTTCCAAGAAAGTCAGTGGTAAGGTTCAACATATGAAAACCCATGTAAGGATAACCATAGAGCAAAAACAGGAGATCATTCATAAATATGAAGATGGTGTGCGGGTTGTTGAACTAGCTAGGCAGTACAACAAATCTCAGTCAACAATATCCACCATACTGGCTAAGGAAAAAAAAACATTGAGTGCTAAAGTGGCAAAAGGTGTATCAATAATCACAAAACATAGAACACAAACACTTGAGGATGTTGAGCAGTTATTATTAATTTGGATACACAGCAAGGAGTTAGCGGGTGATAGTTTCAGAGGCCATCATTTGTGAAAAAGCAAGGAAATTACATGAAGACCTTTTAAAGAAAACCCCTGGAACGAGTGATGCAAATGCGAAAGAGTTTAAGGCGAGCAGGGGATGGTTTGAGAAATTTAGAAAAAGAAGTGGCATTCCTAGTGTTGCGAGCTGGTGGAGGAACACAGCGAAGAACTGACCACCAAAGAACTTCACAAGGAGCAGCAACAAGAGACAACTGAGGAAATTTCTTCAGGGGAGGAGACAGTACAGAATGTCCCATCCTCATTAATTGAGAAAATGTGTGCAGCATGGGAAGAATTGCAAACTTTTGCTGAAATGACTCGCCCAAATCACTGTGCAGTAGGCCGTTGCCTTAACCTTTTAATGACACTGTGATGCCTCACTACAGACAAAAATTAAAACATATGGAAAACAAAAATCTCTGGAAAGATTTTTAGTGAGACAAACAAGCAGTGAATCACAACCAGGTCCTAGTGGTATGCAGGCAAAACGTAAGAGAGTGTGTACCCCAGAGAAGTCATCACTGCCTGATGCTATAATGGAAGGGTAACAGTAACACCTCTCCTCCTCTCCTCCCCCCCTCCTCACCATCTTCCATACGCATCATGAGTCCTCCATAAAGGTAAGATAAACATATATACTGTATTGTAGTTAGAAAAAATATTGTATTCAGTATAAAATGTATTTGTAAGTTAATATTTTGGAGGGTGGGGAATGGATTAATTCGATTCCTTTTATTTCTTATGGGAAAAATCGCTTCGACTTACAATATTTCGACTTGCAATCCGTCCCTGGGAATGGATTACCATCGTAAGTCGAGGCCCCACTGTATATGAAATTGATAATGTTGAAATTATATTAATCTTTTGACTGTTGCAACCATTATTTTAAAAACAATTTTTTTAATAAACTTGAAGCATTTTAAAGGTATTCTTATTACCTCTTATTATTCTTATATATTATTAAACTTGTATGCTGCTTTTTTTTCTTTTCAGGACAGTGGCACGAGATATTGGGGGATCAGATCCTGAACGCATGGCACCACCTAGGGTTGAGGAGTATGTGAGGAATGTATTCCAAGGAACCAATGTGTCAATGGAGGTTGTGTCTGATGATGCTAAGCTCTGTAAAGAATACCCCTTATTCTCTGCTGTCAATAGGTGTGCCAAAGGTATGTCAGACAAAAGTATTGTTCTTCTCAAGCTATGGAAATTATTTTGTAAATAACAGAATGGAATTGTATAATTTGTAGCATTTTTAATGTGCTACATTTGTAACATTTTAAGAAAAAACTGGTTTAATTTTATTTATATGTACATTATTAAGATGGATTTTGTTTTAGTACAGTACAGTGTAATATACAGTGTAATCTTAAAAATCCAAAATTTAATGTTATTGTATTATATAGACCATTTTGACCTACTAGTGACACTAAAAAGTGTTGAGTGAACCATAAAGAGCAGTATATATAAATACAATACAGTATATATAAAACAATGACCTGGCTAGGCAAGTAATTGGGTTTTACATCTCACTGCATTCATTTAAAAGAATATGCTTCGACAACAAATGCCATTCAGCATGCATGAATGCACCCATCCATCCCAACCAATTTGGACAGGGCTTAAATTGCAAAGTCCTGTCCAAATTTTGTAGTTTGTAGTTTAGTAGTTTATGCATTTGTATTTAGCACTTTAATCTCATATAGTAGTGTGCTGGAATGATCTTGCTGAACTTGGATTGACAGGTGTACTACGTCACCGGGGCCGTGTGATCTACCTAACTTATGAAGGTGTTGGGCCAATTGAACGTACTCTCATGTTGGTTGGTAAGGGTGTAACATATGACACTGGTGGAGCCGACATCAAAGCTGGAGGTGTAATGGCTGGCATGCACAGAGACAAATGTGGAGCAGCTGCTGTGGCTGGATTCATGCAGATTCTTGCCAAGCTTCAGCCACCAAATTTAAAGGTAATGGTTGCTTCTATTCTAGCTGTGGCAGGGAATAATAAAATATGCCTTATAGCCTATTATAGAGATGCATTATATTGCTTTCTTGCACTGATACAATGTATTCAGTTTTTGGATTTGGAGTGAAAGCTTAATTTCTTGTCACACTCAAAATTAAAACCAACCATATAATGTTATAGAAATTGATCCTTTTGATGCTCATCATATACAGACGGCAACAATGCAACCAAAATAATATATTGCAAGGTAGTTATTGTTTAATTTTTTTAATGAACAGAGCTTTAGTACATTCTAGTTTATCAACAGAGTGCAGTTACTTTATGTATGTATGTATTTATTTACATATTTATAAATCATAAACAATAGAGCTGTCAAAGCCTGAAAGGTAGGAAATTGTAAACAAAATTATAAATAGTAGCCAGGTTAACACCACACCCCTAATGTAACTTTGCAGTTAGTGCACCTTTGTTGATAGTCTTTAAAGTTTAAACTTTTTGTGGTATTAATGAAATCTGTTTATACCTTGTAACACTGCTACAGTCATAACTGAACCAGCAGGACTGTACTGCATGGCAGCAGTTGTGGACACTTAACTGGCTGGTTCAAATTTTTTATAATTTTTAGATGATTTGTATAACATGGAGGCAAGTCATGAAAGGTTATTTCTCATTTTGACGTTAATTTTTTTCTTTTCATCTCTTTATTTGTACAATATTGCCAATAATGTACGGATAAGTTCTGAATAAAAATATTTACAGAAAAAACTAGGCAAAAAGTTCATGCTGGCATTTCATTAATGTTGGTGCCTGATTGCTTTTAACAACCTCTTCACTATTTTCTGAAATTGATTTGCTATTTTTATATAAATAAACATTTTATTAATAAAAACACATTACAGTATACATTTTCAAATTACTGTATATGAGCCAGTATATAAATGTTATGACATACATGAGCTAACCTTGTTAAGCCAGAACACAGCTGGCAGTTATGTGGTGATCGTACCAACCAGCATTTCATTTGTATGCTGTTGACATGTGCCTAAAATTTATTACCTTTCCTATAACAGTTTATTCTAGCTTTCATCATATTTTTTGTTTTTATTCATTTGGTAAATATTGGATGGTAAGTATGTACACAAGTCTTTGTGAAGGTGTAAAAATACTTGAATAATTAATGTTAATGGTATTGAAGTCAAGGATCTGAACAGTTATAGGCAGCTCTATATTAATACAGATGAGAGGTGAGAGCAAGTGGGCATTCCCACCTGCCTTGTTACCTGTCCACACCAACACCCACTCTCCCTCTTTTATGCCTGCCTTCCCTATGTCACCCACTCTTCCACCTGCCTGCCCTAATAGTCACCCACCTTTTTTAATGCCTGCTTGCTTACTCAACATCTGCCTGCCCACTCATCCTCCCTCCACTGATGTGAGTTGAAGAGTAAATGATTATCAAAAGATGACACCAAGTCAGGAAGACTGTTTAAGAATTCTTAAACATCTTGTATTACTTCTTTAGCCTTAGCATACATTCTCACTTAAATCAGCATTCACTGGTACTTTAATTATATGTATCAATTTGCTATGAAAATATTTTTATGTATAAAAATATGTTCAGAGCTACAAAGTATATCCTCCTCATTCTAAATTGGTCTTGTTTATCTTAATTCAGGTGATTGGTGCCATGGCAATGGTACGAAACAGTGTGGGATCAGACTGCTATGTAGCAGATGAAATCATCACTTCCCGTGCTGGAGTACGTGTACGGGTTGGAAACACTGATGCAGAAGGGCGAATGGCTATGGCTGATGTTTTGTGTCATATGAAGGAAATGGGTATCAAAGAAGTAAGAGAAATAATCATAAAGATGTTTGGAGTTGTTCATCCAATTTTGGGGCTCATTTTAACTTAATATTTACAATCATGTTTGATTTTAAGCATTTTGTTGGCTAATAAATGTCTGACATTACATGTTTAATTTTTAAGTTGCAAATTCTGTATCAGTTTATTGAACAGCTATCAAGCTTGTTTGTTGACCAGACCACACACTAGAAGTTGAAGGGACGACAACGTTTCGGTCCGTCCTGGACCATTCTCAAGTCGATCTGGTCAACATACTTCAGCCACGTTATTGTGACTTATCGCCTGCAAGCTTGTTTGGTTTTTCCGTTTATTTCTTGCAATCTTTCAGTGGAATTTTAGTAGTCTCGAGAATACCTACTTATATATAATTTAAACTTCAGTCACTAAAATGATAATAAAAGGAAGACCTTATTCAGATTAATCAGTATGTCCCCCTGGAGCCCATTTTTAGGACCAGTTGAAACTTGGTGAATGGGTAGGATTTGAGGGATATTATTCCAGTAATAAGCTTCTGCTCCAAATGTTTGTTAATATTATAAGACAGCATTATTTTCTAAAATGTTTCAGGTAAATCCATATCTAATGACGATTGCAACACTCACTGGCCACTGTGTCTTAGCACATGGTGAAGCTTATTCAGCTATAATGGACAATGGCCCAGCTCACTTATCCAGTATGGCTCAGACATTACAGGCTGCTGGAGAAGAAGTTGCTGATCCATTTGAGGTAAGCAAGTGAGGCATGTAACGGTAATGTAAACATAATTGTGGTATTAGATCTTTGATTTTAGTATTTTTGGGGAAAATTGTTCTGATGCAGTAATAAAAAGTATAATAGTGTTTTATTTAATACATTGAGAGCAAGTCATCATTTATTCCACAAGGCAGTATTTAAGAAGCCAAATCTGGTTGTTTTAAGATACTTAAGACAGATAAAGCAAGAATGAATAAACTCTCTTGAGATTACCCTTTCATAAACATGGCCATTCTTGCTTCAACAGTTTGGTCTTTTTACAAAATTCCCGGGTTGACAATGTCCTTATTGTTTATAAATGTCAATGTGGTCTTTCTCCTTTTGTATCAAATAATTTGTGTAGTCTTCCAACTATCATTGCTCAAGTCACTGCTAATCTATCTATGATCTCCATTATACCAAGTTAAACATTAAATTTCAATGCTGTCTTGTCTTTCTCAACACAAACATAATTTAATTGACTTTGGCCTTTGCTTTTCCACTTCTGATCCTCATTCTGACATTGATCTTTAAAGTTCCTTTGACCTCAGAGACACCAGGAAGCTACTGAGGGCCAGCCTCAAGTTCGAGCACTGAATGTTAGGAAACTTTTTTTTGGACAGCGTCTGTAGCTCCCCATACCTGCTCTGTGGAGATCAGGAGCATTTTAAGGGGGGCGTAGTATTAAAATATGCAAAAGGGTCCAAGTTGAGCCCATGATTGGGCTGATGGAGTGACCACCATTCTCTCACACTTGAGAGAATGTGGTGACTCGAGAGAGAGAGAGGGAAGAACAGCATGGAGCTTAAAAACTAACCACATAACTGAAAACTATTATACCATATCTTAATTAATTAACATATCTTAATTAATGAAAGAGAAAAAGTTGAAATAAGGGAAATTATAGTTTGCCAAATGTTAACTATGCACTAGTATCCCAGTGCACCACCTGATGATTGATTGACAGTTGAGAGGCGGGACCAAAGAGCCAGAGCTCAATCCCCGCACGCACAACTAGGTAAGTACTCACCTGAACCCACCCATGCCTGCCTACCCACCTAAACCCACCCATCCTTAGGTCTTCTGTATATCATATTGACTAATGTTATATTATTGCCTCCACTTGACATAATCAATGTAAATAATTTCATATTGAGATATTTTGTTGCAGGTTAAAATCAAAGCAATATACACCAAGGGTAAATATAATGTTCCTGCAGATTTCATCCATCCGGCGTGAGGATTACGACTTTCACTGTGGTAAAAGTGTATATGAAGATGTACTCCAGTGTAACAATTTACCCTCGTCACGCACACCTCGTGGACACCAGACTCCCGCTGCATTTCTTGTAATGGCATCAGGTCTTGACAAGGTTAGTTGTTGTAAAGATTCTTTTCTCAATAAAAATGCACAGAGTAACTCGGCACCAAAAATACTTAATCCCTGCACTGCTCACTCTAATTTTCATGACCATTGCTGTCCAAAAAAAAAAAAAAAAAAAAAAACTTTTAATATTGTTAAAATGATCACAAGAAAATAAAAATACAATTTGACTTCCATTTGGCTGTTCATGGAGCAATTGCCCTGGGCCAGGCATTGAGTGGGAGTTGCCATGAAGATATTGAAATAACTACTGTATGTAAAAATGTTACCAATTGTTGTTTTTTCTGTTTTGTTTTTTACAGTAATATTAAGAGGGTGTCATTTGAGAAACATATAAGTGAACATTTCAGTGTTCCATAATTTTTTTTATATTGGTGTCAATAATATGCACACCCTATTACAGTAAAAACAAAAACAATACAACATACTGTTTTTGCTGTATTCCACTATATACACATGCTATATAAACATACATTTTATACACCATTATGAATCACTAAGAGTTCTGTGGGTGTGGTAATCTCATAATCCAAGCAGAGCATAGTGACAAGCTAGTTGCTTGCTGGCAACACCAAGCAAAGCAGTGCTTCCAGATATACTGTGCACATTCCTAACTAGCCACAACACTGCTATTATCAGCAGAATCCTTGTCACTAAATCTTGAATGTGAATCATTTTCTAAAAGAACATGCGGTCCCATTTCATAATGAATAGATGCACCAAACTGTGGCTGTCTGCCTAGTGCTGTGAGTATCGTAATCAGTATGGATAATTGGCAAGAGCATCCCAGGTTGTCACACAGTTGAAGGGGTTAGATACTATGGATGCAAGTATACATTAGTAAAGTATTCTTATTTTATGTAGAATTCTCTTGAAACGTTTATTCATCTGTACATTAATTAAAACTAGACTTTACTCTCCTGATATTAAACAGCAACATGCACATGGCATGTTGCAAAAGTGAAACTTTTTGCATTACATAGTACTTAGCAAACAGGCAGGCCCTTAACCATTTAGGACAATCAAAAATTATCAAAAGGTTTGCTGACGAGTCTTAAACACAAGTTGAAATATTTTGCCCGTTTTATCTTAGAGCCGATTTAAATATAGCACTTGTATTCTTACAGGGAGGGGAAAACTAAGCTTATTTGAGTACTGTCTACCATAATGTATAGTACACTATACATTGTAGAGATAAATAGAAGTACAGTACAGTAAAAGAAATAAGAATTTTTCAAATTGCAAGACTGAATTGTTGTAATGGTCATGTCTAGAATGCTTGAAAGATAAGACATGGTATGAAGAAAGCTGCCAAAATAGTTTTTGCACACGAATCATAACATAATTTACCCATAAAGTACTGTTTTACTTAATAATAATTCCATTAACAGTCATGTACCTTGTTTCATTTCAGCATGGCAAGGACAGCAGTCAGCCACTAAAATATTCCCATGTGGATATTGCAGGTTCATCAGGACCATTTCCTGGTTTTCCCACAGGTGCTCCAATTCTTGCATTAGCCAAAGCGTTCATACCTAGTGCCTTCCGATTTGTGTGTTGTATTATAATTGAAGAAGGGAGATATGGTAAGTGGCAAGAAAAATTCCCAAAAATGCACAGTAGTAGTCAAATGATAAGCTTTACACAAATTTAATACAGTATTGACTTTTTTCTGCACAGTACTTAAATTTTCTTAGTATTTATTATATTGGCATTACAATGTGTCAAATAGTAGACCTAAGTCTTAGAATGCAGCTGTGATATCCAGAGACTTTGAACTCGGTCCATTTTAAAGTACAGTACAGTATAATGCTTATTTTTCTAAACTTTTATATTGTTCTATTTTCCAATACTTATGCTGCTGCTCAACTTGAGAATAGAATTAAAGTATTATACAATGCACTAGAATGTAAAATTTTAACATTAAAATTTTTAAATAGTTTAAAGTTTTCAGATTCCTCAATATGATTATAACTATAGCTTTCATGTCTTATGTTTTTCAAAGTACATGTACTGTATTTATGAAAAATACATAAGGTAAGGGGGGGATGTTTTCGAGGTGCAGGAAAGGCTGCTACATTTTAAAATGAGCACAGAACGGAGAAAACACAAGGAGCCACCACACACACTTACTATAGCCAAACTAGCAACAAAGCTGGCAAAACAACAGTGCATTTTTGCAAGTTTAATCCCCATGGGAAGGGGACCTTTTGCTGGCCAATTTTTTTAATAGCAATGTTTAAGAGAAGAGGGGGGGGGGGGCAGGTGAATATGTTCACCTAAAAAAAAAAAGTACCCCTGGCATTCCTTCTCACAGACATACAACCCCCCCCCCTTCCACAAATGGACATACGAACCCACACTAATGTATTTGTGAATTTTATGTAAATATGTACACCAATTCTTTCACTCTTGAGTGCTTTGTCAAGATCTGAATATGTGGTTAGGATAAGACTTTCATCTCAACGACTGATGCAGCTGCTACCCTGGACCCAATCCTCTTGACCATGTCACCTCTATTCCCAACTGCCAATGCACCTGTGATATTGTCACCTATGGAATTATGATAACTGGAGTTGTTATTAATAGGTGTGTTCATCTGGATGTTATCCCTCATAACTCTCTCCATACCCAAAGGAGAGCAGTTATTGGCACTACTTACATTCATTCAGATCTAATTTTTATTAACTTTTGAATCATTTTTCTTGTAAAGTTATCCTCCAAAGTAAAGCTTTTGTTACCAGCAAAAGTTTTCAAAGTATTTATTAGAACCCCTTCTAGTTTTAATATTTTCATTTTTATAGATTTCACACTTAAAATCAATATTGTGATCCTTTTCTCAACTATGGTTTGCTACAGCACTATTACTTCCCAGTTTGGTGCCTTCTTTTGATAATTGCTTGCTTGCTTACAGCACTATTACCAGCCATGATTCTATATGCTTTTTTGTGCTTCAATTTTTATATTAAGATTTTGCACTGTTTTCCCCACAAAGAGGGGGTAACAGCTTCATTGTTTCCTCCTTCATTGCAATGTGGGGGAAATAGTGCAAAAACTTTAGATCAAAATTGAAGAACAAAAAAGCAGCATATAGAATCATGGCTGGTAATAGTGCTGTAAGCAAGCAAGCAATTATCAAAAGAAGGCACCAAACTGGGAAGTAATAGTGCTGTAGCAAACCATAGTTGGGAAAAGGATCACAATATTGATTTTAAGTGTGAAATCTATAAAAATGAAAATATTAGAACTAGAAGGGGTTCTAATAAATACTTTGAAAACTTTTGCTGGTAACAAAAGCTTTACTTTGGAGGATAACTTTACAAGAAAAATGATTCAAAAGTTAATAAAAATTAGATCTGAATGAATGTAAGTAGTGCCAATAACTGCTCTCCTTTGGGTATAGAAAGAGTTAAAGGGGATAACATCCAGAGGAACACCTCTTATGTGGAATTATGGCATCACCGCAGGTGCATTGACAGTCTGGAATAGAGGTGACCTGGTCAAAAATGATAAGATTGGATCCAGGGTGGCAGCCGCATTAGTCGTTGAGATGCAAGTCTTAACCACATACCAGATCTTGACAAAGCACTTATGTGAGTGTAAAGTAATTGATGTAAATCTTTAGGTAAAGATTACAAATACATAAGTGTGGGCTTTAGGAATAGGCATGATATTGTTAGATTGGGTGGTAGAACACTAATGCTGTACTCACATTTACATTCAGCCAAATGTGAAACTTTTACTGGAACTTCATTGACATTACTGAGAAGCAAGATTTGTTGGCCTGTTTCTGAATTTCCAATACCATGCATACCTTCCATCCCAGGATCTAGTAATGTTAGTCAGACTGGACTAGATGAGCATGTATATAAAAATCAACAACTGCATGTTCATGATAATTGATAATATAATATTTGGAGCACATAAGTAAAACACACTAAACATTGGAGTGTGGAGGCAAAAAGAAGTGAGGATGTATGGTGGCAATCAGAAGAGTTCATAATGAGCAGAGCTAGTTACATTGGGTGATACCATAGCTGACAATACCACAGATGAGGCCATGGGTATAAAAGGGGAGGTGATCAGGAGGCAGGTCCAAGACTGGGTCCAACACAGAAGCCATCAGACAGCTTTGGTCCTGCTTCTACTCCAGAAGAAATTTACCAGCAGTACTAGGCTCTTAAAGTAATTATCAAAAGAAGGGAGCAAGCCAGTTGGACTCAACCCCAGCAATGCGACAAATGGTAGCCGTCATAGGACGCTGCAACATAATGGTGTGCAGTGTAGTATTTGCATATATTTCGCTATAATGCATTTTGTAAATTAATTTAATTATGAAGTTACAGATACAGTATTCTGAAAATTATTTGTATAAACCCGTTTAACTCTTCGAGATGTGCTCAGAATTCTTAATTTGCATGCAAGGGAATACAAAAAATTGCCAAGAAAGTTAATATTAAACCAATAAAACAAGAGAAGCAGTTAATTTGTTTTATATACTGCAACTGATAATCCTTAACAGATAGTTATTTCTTGATGACTCGGGCTCCAAATATTGTGCTGCCAACTCTTACATTAGTACTTCCAACAAGAATCTGAAGAAAAAAAATGAGATAGTTACTTTGAGCAAACAAGAGTACTGGTAATATATACTTTTTTCCAAAGCACATATGCAAAATTGATGTGCCATACTTTGATACTATATATGACACATTTTAGAGATTGTTATACAAAGTTTACGTACTGCGTGCTCAAAGTCACTCGACATTCCCATTGATAGTTCAACATCTTTAGGATCTAGACATAGGCTTTCACAAACTGAGGCTCTACACATCAGCAACCTCTGAAACAAAAAACAACTAGATATTATTTGATCATGTTCTCTATGCTGACACATTTTTCACTACACACATTACAGTATTTCATAGGCTTAAAAACACTATTACTTTAAAGCTTTGGATTGTAATCTCCTCCTGTAGGCTACAACAGGAAATTACCCAATTATAGCCAGCCCTCATTTTCTTAGCGAGGATACACTCCAGTACAACAGTGTTCAAATCGACACCTTGCATAATACATGGGGAAAAATTAGGGATGGGATCAACAGACCATGTACCTCCTTGCCTCCAGGAAGGCAGGGAGGTTTTGCATAGGTTTTTATGTACATAAAAACCTATGCCACTTGGAAACTGCAAAAATGCAGAATCACAAGGTTCATATGATTGATGACCAGACCACACACTACAAGGTGAAGGGACGACGACGTTTCGGTCCGTCCTGGATCATTCTCAAGTCGATTGTGATGAGGAAGTAGAGACAGGCAATAAATAGGCAAGAGAGAGCTGAGGAGCAAAGTAAGGTGTAGTAGAGGGGATAGTAGTAATAATAAGAACTGCAGAGGGCCTATTGGCCCATACGAGGTAGCTCCTATAGGAATAAGAAGAGGATAGCAAGGGAGCGTAGAAGACAATGAACAGAAAAAGGGAGAAGAGAGAAAGAAAAGGAAAGAGAAAGAAAGATAAATGGAAGGGGTAAGCTTATGTTAGGTCACGTTTGTTAGAAAGATTAGAGCATTTGAGTATATGCTGTGAAAGGGAAGAGTCCACAGAAACAAAGCCAGGACTCAAGTTCATGTTGGGTACACTGTGTATTAGAGCCGATTCAACAAGACGGCGTCTGTGTAGAGAGTAGAGGCAGGAAAGATTATTTTGGAGGAAGACCAATCAATGGGATGATTAGAATCCCTCGCATGGCAGAAGAGAGCATTGTTAGTGTTTGCAAACTTAACACTTCTCTTGTGTTCTTTAAGTCTGTCATTCAGTGTACGGCCAGTTTCGCCAAAGTATTGGAGAGGACAAGACGAACAGGAAATAGAGTAGACACCAGCAGCATTATGATTGAGAACTAGCATATGATTCATATGATTGAGAACTAGCATTAATTGGGTGGACCATGCAGTGGAGAAATGCATAGCATTCCCAACATAACATCCTATAACATTACCTTTCTTGTTGTGGGGACGTTGATTCCTGGACCCAACAAGAGGTAGGTAGCTAGAAACTCATAATAATGTTCTCTCTTTGTAAGATGTCTAATGTTTCCAATGCCCACCATAGAAATACCTTAAAGAGTGAGTCTTTAAAAGCTTTAAAAAGCTCTTAAATAAACAAGATATACTATACCTTTCAGCCCATTAAATTCTATGAAATTTTGTCCACAATAAATGCCTATATAGTGTTTATCTTCTCACTCGTCAGGTTCAGTCAACTTAAGTAATGGATAAGGAAAACCAGATAACGAATACTTAAACTGACTAAAAGCAGAACAAATATATACAGTATCTGCTTATGCACCAACCTCTGTGCCTGAATATACACACTGCTGGAAGCTCCTACCTCAAAGTCTGGGTTGGGACCTTTAGAGATGTCATGGTCAAAAGCACCAATGGTCATTATGCCAACTAAATCCAGATGACTGCAGTTCTGCAAGATATGGCTCACCAGTTCATTTACATTATCTGGATGAACTCCACTTTTATCTGTAACATGAACAAATGAGCAAGTCAAAATAAAAATTAATGAATTCATATTTGCAAAAATAACAATTCATACTCGTGTCATTTGTATAAAATAGGCAGTTTTCTATTCAAAACTAAGAGGTTAGAGGCATTGTGTTCCCACTATAAACACATTATAGACAAATATACAACCAGTATTGACAAGAAAATTTAAAAAAAATCTATTTATACAGTATCTGAAAGTACCGCATGCAATGTGTATATTAGTACAATGCACAGAATAAGTGCTCAACAGGTATATCACCATTGGAATGCATAGAGTTTCACGTTGCCCGAGACTCACTTTCCTCATCACTGGTGTTAACTTGAACAAACACTTTTAACTTCTTGTCTTGTAGGTTCTTCTGGACAGCACTATTAACAGCTGTGGCCAACTTCATGCTGTCAATGGTTTCAATGCAGTACAGATTTGGTACATCAATAATCTGTTAATGAGGCATACAATGTTTACAATTGTTATATTAATACACTTATGACTACAGTATATGTAAACAATAAAAGTAATTTACAAGGATAAATGTAATTACTGTCACCAAATTATTAAAAATAAAATGTTTTACAACTCTCTTTACAAGTTATCAAGTTAATATTCACATTAAGATACTCATTTTAAATTTATTATACAATACCTGTACTACATAGTAACTAATGACGAGTGACCTGTAGTGCAGCAATACTTGGTGCAGGCATTTCCCAGCCAATTAGTTGCTGGTTAAATTTTAGGGTAGAGCAAAATGTTTCGGTACATTTGTTCACCTAGCAGTCAAAAGGTAATGTATCTGGGAGTTAGTTGATGATAGCAGAATGCATCTGGTTGCGAGGAAGGGCATTCTACTGACCCAGAAAACAGCTTTTAACTCCAAAACAGGGGAGATGGGAGGCAACAACATCGAAGCCAAGAGCCAAAGCTTGCAGAGAAACAGGTCAACAGGGGCCACGAAGCACCTGTCAATCAGGTCCCATTTAAAGGAGGCAAGCTCAAAGACAGCAGAAGAGGATACCCCCTCACCACCCCCAAGCCTCGGCTGAAACCCAAACCATGTATTAAGTAACCAACATACAGTAGTGGCAAACAATTTCATATTAAAAGTACAATACTGTGTGTGTGTATGTATATACATGTATATGTATAAAATCGCAGTCATTATTGGACCCAGAACGGCAAACTTTTAACAATTTTGTTCCCACCAAGTCAGGCAAGGTGCAAAGGAGAGGCAAGGTGAGGTGGAGGACAACTCACTCTGCTGCCTCAAGTCACAAGTATGATGGCAGAGGTGTGATGGGTGGCTGTGCCTTACCACCACTTATCAATCCAAATTTTGTTTCAATGCATATAACCATATATTCGCTTTCTATCATTACCTTTAGTACTTGATAAAAAGGGTAAATATAAATAATGGAATCTTTACATGGTAAATAATGCAATCTTTAATAAAAAAGACTGTACACCCCCTGACGGTGCCTGACAGCTGAGTGGATAGCACTTCGGATTCGTAGTCCTGAGGTTCCGAGTTCGATCCCCGGTGGAGGCGGAGACAAATGGGCAAAATGTTTCTTTCACCCTGATGCCCCCTGTTACCTAGCAGTAAATAGGTACATGGGAGTTAGACAGCTGCTACAGGCAGCTTCCTGGGGATGTGTAACAAAAAAGGAGGCCTGTCGAGGACCGGGCCGCGGGGGACACTAAGCCCCGAAATCATCTCGAGATAACCACTCGGCCAAACAACTTTAATCTGGGTGAAATAATTTGAAGACATAAAATGACTGGCACATTTTCACGTTTGTTTTGGCAATTGTGTCTCGAGTTACACAATTCCTGTTTGATTTTTTTCTATAATCAATTGTCATACAGCATTCGAGTTTTAAATTTAAAAAATTTGATCGATGTTTGGATTTGGCACCAAAATTCTTTGGGCATAGACACCCAGTAATATCATACAGCACAATGAGATACATTTTTCACTGCTGTGATTATTTTTTTCAATTTTTTTTTGCATAAAAGATTTTATGCAGTGTGCAGTACCATTCATACTGTAATGTAGGTTAAATTTACATTAAGTTGGCCATTAAAATGAACACATCTTGATAGGCTGGCTTGGTGTGGCTTAGGCAAGCAATCTTCAAAAAAAAAAAAAACAGCGTCAAATGTAATGAAATGCCTATTTCTGGGTGAGCCATGGAGGTTCCCTGAAGCTATTACACTGATACAGTGTCATACCACTAGGTGCCATCAGTTGCAGAGTTCTTATTGACCTAGCAGGGATCATGAGCCAGAACCTGGCCCCCTCTGAGAGATGCAGGGAGCGGTGACCCTTCAAAAATCTTACATTTAAAGTTATGTATATCTGCCACCACCAGGTAAGCACCCAGAAAGTCAGCAAAACAAAACAGACCACTGCATAGTTAGAAAAAAGATGGCAGCCTCAAAACTGTCAAAAGAACTCCCCCAGCAACATGACTGGGATAGAAAAGTCTCGAAGGTGGGGGCTGGCTAGAAGGACCCAGAGGCCACATCCCAAGCTAAACCCTGCCCTAACCCCAAAACCCTCAGACACTTCGGGGCCAGAAGCAGGAAAAAAAGTCCAAGACTAGGGAGAAGGGTAAACCATGCCCGCCGGGGTATGAAGAGGAGGTACAGACTAAACCATGGTTGAGGTAACCAACACCTCCAAATCTGAATTCCTAAACACTAAGAGGGGGTAGTAGTAGTAGGCATCCTTCAGTCTCGGGAGACTATGGAGTTGCGCTCTGGTTGTCAATCCTGGCACAGAGTCTGGTATGACTGATGAGGCCAATCCGAGAATGGCAATCCATCCCACACTGAGCACAAACGAAGTCTGATTCTGGTCTGTCTTCCTGGCTACCAGCTATCCTTCTCTGTCTGTTTTCCTCTGATTTCTTTCTGGCAAGTGACTCCTCGAACTTGGAGAGACCTTTCTGAACAGACTGCCTCCAGGCTGATCGGTCTGCGACCAGTGTTTCCCACGTAGCAAGATCGAAGTCCATAGCTTTCAGGTCTCTCTTGCATACATCTTTGTACCATAGCTGGGATTTGCCTGTTGGACACTTTCCCTGCATCAGTTTTCCATACAGGAGATCCTTGGGGATCATGCTGTCGCCCATTCGCACCACGTGTCCAAGCCAATGCAGTCGTCTCTGTTTCAGCATTGTGTACATGCTGCTGATTCTAGCTCTCCCCAGGATGCTGTTGTTGGTCACCTTGTCCTGCCAGGTGATGTCCAATATGTGTCAGAGGCAGTGCATGTGGTAGGTGTTCAGCTGTAGTTCCTGACGGGCGTGGAGTGTCTAAGCCTCACTGCCCGTCTCACAGGAGAGTGCTCAGGATGCAGGCTCTGTAAACCTGGATCTTTGTACACTCAGTCACAGAGGGGGGTAGGGACAAGGCAACCAACCAAACACACAACCTAGACCACTGCCTAAATGGGAGCCACAAGGTGCACCCAGAAACTAACTTTGAATTCATTAGACAATTTTAACTGAAAATAAATATGGTTGGCAATTAGTGTACTGGAATTTGATAGAGTAAGGTTCATGTGAAGTTCCACTGCACTGTAATGATTATGTAGAGTAAAACTATAAATCTGAAACTTGGTATTTAAAAATCACTAAATATGAAATATTCTGCACAATGAAGCATCTTGGATTTCTATATTTTTAAAACATTCCCTAACTTATCCGGATTATTTTATATGTTTGTTATGCTAGATGGAACATGATCATTATCAACACTATATGTTCACACAGTATATGGACATGTACTAATTATGTATGTAATATTTACCAATTTATAATAGAATACTATTTGTTTTAAACAGCATTTGCAAATAAACTTAGACTAAAATTCATTCTCTCTCTCACCTTTTTGATCTTGTTACTTTGAAGGTGACCAATCATATGCCATTTAATATCAGGACATTCCATTAATATCTGAAGAAAAAATAAAGAAAAAATGTATATACAACACTACAAACTGAATTAGCATTTACATATGCAAAACTATTGATTTCAGCTGGCTGTGTACTTCTTGATCAATTAAGAGTTTTCACTCAAAATCAGGATTTAAAAATGTTAAAAAATTCCTTTGCAAGTGAAAAATTCCTTTGCAAGTGAGGTATTCTGTGGCTCATGGCAAGATCTGGTTTTGGAAGGTTGAAATCCCATTTGACACAGCAGTAATCTTTTTAAAGTGGTTCCACTGGGTCTTACTGGCGCCATGGAGAATACTGTACTTATCCAGCTAGGACTGAACTTCAAAAGGTCCATTCCAACAAAATCAAAGCTCTTCCAAGAGCTTCTTAGAATCCCAAGGACTACCAAAGAGAGCTATCATCTCACACTGTAGTAGCACAGTAATACCACTATATCAGGGTTGTATGTATGTACAAGGGTACATACCCTTGTACATACATTACGTGTGATGATGTAAGGGCGAAGAGGGAGAACGGCGTATTGACATAGCTAGGGTGTAGGGGGGGTTGTGTAAAAGCCTGGTTTGCGCCTCGGAGAGGCTACGGGATCCAGTAAGTTCAGTAGAACTTCGGTTTCAACCCTTTTAACCCTGTCGTAGCTCAGTCGATTAAGACAGTGTCTGGGATGCTCCCGGACGCAGGTTCGAAAACTCGCCACGGCCCTTGTGGATTTGTTCATGTACAAGGGTACCTCAGTTAAAGAGTAATCCGTTCCTGGAAACAGCTCATAATCCGAGAACTCGTAAATCGAAGCTAATTCCCCATCAGAAATAATGGGAAATGAATTAATCTGTTCCTGACTACCCAAAAACCTTACTTCAAACTAAATTTTATACCTAATTCATCCAAATCTACACTACAAAAGTATGTTCAAGTTATTACTTACCCTTGCTGATGACTCCTGTTGGCATATGAAAGATGGTGAGGAGGGGGGAGGAGGAGAGGTGTTACTGTTTGGAAGGGAAGTCTCCTTCCATTATAACATAAGGCAGTAAAGATTTTTCTGGAGTGCACTCTGGCACGTTTTACCTGCCTACCACTAGGTCCTGGTTGTGCTCACTGCTCGATTTTCTCACAACGAAACGATCCACTGAAGATAGTTTTTCCCTTCATTGCAACACTTTTTTGTAGTAAGACATCACATTGTCATTTAAAAGGTCAATGCAATTGCCTGCTACAGCTTTATCTGGGTGAGTTTTTTCAACAAAACTTTGCAGTTCTTCCCATACTTCACACATTTTCTTAATGAGGAAGGGACATCCTCTACTGCCTCTACTCACAACTATTTTCTTAGGTTGGACCTTACCACTGGCTTTCTTGGGACCCATGGCGAGATATATAATAACAACTTTTATGCTCAAATGGCCAAAAATCCGACAAAAAAACTGTACATCCTTGTGAAGAATTCAGGTGGGATAATCACTGGGCGCAAGGCTCTGGTAAACTGAGGGGCGATCGCTGTGCCACCACGCACTCGGTCGGCCTGTACGCGTATCAACACCCTCGTATTCCCAGGCAATGCTCGTATTCCAATGTAAATTTTCCGAGCAAATCCTGCTCGTAACCTGAAAAACTCGTAAACAGGAACGCTCGTAATCCGAGGTACCACTGTTCATTGAGACTATTATGTCGCTTAGGTAATAGTGGGTTGTGTTGCAACACTAGTAGTCAACCACACTAATTTAGTTTCAATGATAGAGCCACAGAGATTTTATAGGAAAGTGCTGCTTGGGTTGACTGAATCCATCTGGACCTAAAAAAGGGTCTGGATAGAGTCCCACAAAAGAGGCTGTCTTGGAAACTAGAACATACTGGAGCAATGTATGTCATATTTACATTGCTCCAGTTCCAGTAAGTACAGTGGAACCTCGAGTGATGAGTGGCTCTATCTACAAGCATTTCAAGTAACGAGCGAGCCACTCGCCGAAAATTTGTCTCGATTGACGAGCTTCCGCTCCATTAACGAGAAAACCATGTGGTGCTTCCTAGTGTTCCCGCCGATTCTCGCAAATTCTCGGACACCTCCGACAATGCAAATAAATGTTTTTTGTGTTTTAAAGATGCTAATGATTCTGGGATGTAAAAGGGGGTGACTGCCATGATGTTGCAAAGCACTGAATTTTTTTTGTAGAATAAAACAAAATGAAAAAATTTAAAAAAAGAGCAAATGTCAAAAAGGTTCATTCAGTGTTTGTCAGATAGGCTGCTCCATGTTTCTACAAAAAATAATAAAAAAAATGAAAAAATGAAAAAATTTGAAAAACGTACAAATGTCATAAAGGTTCGTTCAGTGTGTCAGGTAGGCTGCTCCATTATTAACAAATAAATGAAAAGTGCAAAACAAATTTAACACATTTGAAACAAAGAAAAATTGTCATAATGTTGCATCCTACCTGACAAAAACTGAACGAACCTTTATGACATTTGTCCGTTTTTAATTTTTTTTTTTTTTTTTTTTTTTTTTTTAAGAAACATGGAGCAGTCTACCTGACAAACACTGAACGAAACTTTTTGATATTTGTTCTTTTTTAAAAAAATTTCTTTTTTTTTTTAAGAAACATGGAGCAGCCTACCTGACATAAATTGAACAAACCTTTTGCTATAAGCAAATGGAAAAAAAATGAACAAATTTGAAAAACGGACAAATGTCACAAAGGTTTGTTCAGTGTATGTCAGGTAGGCTGCTCCATTGTTTAAATAATCGAATAACGTATTGATGTTTTGCGCTGGTAGAACGAATTAATTTTATTTACATTATTTTAAATGGGAAAATTTGTATCGAAAGAAGAGCGTTTCACATGACGAGCTCGGTGCCGGAACGGATTAAATTCGTTAATCGAGACTCCACTGTATGTCATACTTACTGTCAGATGGAGATTTCTGAAATGGATGAAACAAATTTGACAGAAAAATGAGGGGTGGCAATCAGAAGCAACATATCAGACTGGAGAAATGTTACTAGTGGAGTACCACAAAGTTCAGTTCTAGCACATGTAATGTTCATTGTCTATACAAATGTTCTAATAGAAGGAATACAGAATTATATGAACATGTTTGCTGATGATGCCAGGCCACTAGGGAAAATAAAAAACTTAGATGATCATCATGCCTTCAAGAAGACCTGGACAAAATAAGTGTATGGAGCAATACTTGACAAATGGAATTTAATATGAATAAATGCCATGCTATTGAATGTGGAATAGGAGAAAATAGGCTACACAACCTACAAATTATGCGAAAAAGCTTTCAAGAATTTTGATAAAAAAACGGTTTAGGGGTGGTTCTGGAAAGAAAACTGTCACCTGGGGACTACATAAAATTGTGCAAGGATACTATGCTATGCTTGCCAACTTCAAAATCACTTTTCATCACCATATGGCTTGAAACAAATGGATGGTGAAAGAAATTGTTCATAACTTTTGTGAGACCAAAATTGGAATATACAAGGGTTGCATGGAGCCCATATCTCAGAAAGCATATCAATAAACTGGAAAAAGCGTAAAGATATGCAATTAAATGGCTTCCAAGACTGAGAAACAAGAACTACAAGGAGAGGCTAGAGGTGTTACATATACCGAAGCTAAAAGATAGAAGAAAAAGCAGTTATATGATAACTACATACAAAATAGAAACAAAAATTGACAAACTTGATAAAGAAGAGTTAGGGGTGAGATGATAGAGGTTTACAAGTGGATGAATGGACATAACAAAGGGGATATTAATAAGATATTAAAACTATCAACACAATGCAGAACACAAAACAATGGGTATAAATTGGATACGTTTAGATTTAGGAAAGACTTGGGTAAATACTGGTTCAGTAACAGGGTTGTTGATTTGTGGAACCAATTACCGTGTAACGTGGTGGAGGTGGGGTCCCTCGACTGTTTCAAATGTGGGTTGGACATGTATATGAGTGGGATTGGGTGGTTATAAATAGAAGCTGCCTCGTATGGGCCAATAGGCCTTCTGCAGTTGCCTTTGTTCTTATGTTCTTATGTACAGTTTAAACTACAGCTCCTTTCCTAGGAATAACACTTTGCTAAAAAGTATCTCAACTTCCTCCTGAAATAATAGTATATTATTATTATTATTATTAGCATAATAATAATACAGTATACTGTTGTAGAGCTGGAGGCCTTACCCTGTGCTCACTAACAGACTGTTACAGCTGGACCCTCTTCAACCAACAGGTTACGTCTTGGTCACTAGAGTTGATAATTACTTACTTAATTAACTACTTGAATTATGACAAGCAAAGCATGTGCACTCAAGGCTCCACCATGGCCTGTTGTGCAGGTGTCACCTTTTGGAAGCAGTGTTGGTTGTGGTCAGGAAGGCCAGTGTATAGTTTAGTATACTATTTCATGGTTCTAGTAATTCCAAGTAACACTTATAAGGGTTTTTCATTTTGTTGGAATGAATCTTCTGGGTTCATTCATTCCATGGGTTTGTGGCTGGATGAGTATTCTCCAGTATCTTCCTTACACCAGTATGACTGGAGACCAGTGCAGTGTGTAGATCTGCCCTTACTGTCAGATCCTACTGAAGAGACCAGTAGGATTGTATCATAGTGAGCAACTGAGTGCTAAGGCTGGAAAGTTACATAATCTTGCCTGAAATGCTGTGTATTAATGGCTTTAGGCATAGTGTGTACTAGCTCTATCTACAAATCTGACATTCTATGTATAACTCATCATGTATTTACTTTTACCTGAATAAACATTTATTTATTTATTCATCTGGAATTTTGCTAATAAAATATTATTCTTGGATTTCAATTTTTTAAGGCCTTTTGTTTTAATGTGATGAAACTGAACACTGATTTTAACCTTCCATTCTATCAAACATCTAAATAAGTGTTTTTAGTGTTATCAGTGACAAAGATGTGAAAAGTCAAAGCATTAAAATGTCTAAAAACACTATTTCTGAGGCCTCAGTCCTTTTGAAAGGAAGCCTTAACAATGACATTTGCATTCTTTTCATTAACTTTGAAACTTTCTTGTACTCCATAATAATAATACTGTATAATAATATAGTATTAATGTTTATTCAGGTAAAAGTACATACATTCAAAATGAGTTACAAACAGAATGTTGGATTTCTAGATAGAGATAGTACTGTACTGTACATACTGTACTCTGCCTGAAGCCACTAATATACACAGCATTTCGGGCAAAACCTCCACTCATGCCTTACATGATGCTTAATGCTTTTGCTTTCTCTGTATAAATACTGTAGTATAAATTTGTATAAAGTTCAAAATACTTATCGCTTAAAATGAAGTTGGAATTAATAATACTAGCCACTAAAAGCAGAATGCTTATGAAAAACTTGACATCAATGAAAGCTTATAAATATTCCTGTATTGTGCTGTACAATACATATCATGTATAATTGTGCAGAACAACATTCAGACAGACATTTTTCCATTCACCTCAATTTACCTGATCATCATGACCCTTGTCTATCAACTCTTGAACGTAGTTTTCTCCAAAGTGTCGCTGGCCTGCAGAGTATGCTTCAATTACCATCTCCTTTGGCTTAGTTTTACTAACAGCAACCAACCGAGGTTGCGGACAGAGAGCTGCCACATCCTAAAAAAAATATAAAATTAAATATTTTACACAAGCATGTGTTGAACAACATAATGGAAACCACAAAGAAATGTATAAAAAATTTGCACTACCAAATATTATATTTCATGTAACAATCAACTAAATTTGATTGTTCAAATTTCCTATTTTGAGAGGAACTGTATCAAAAGATTTTTGGCAGTCTAGGAAGATTCAGAAAATCCATCCTCCAAGAAGTGATGAAAACACTTTCCTACATTCATGGTTTCCATCTGCATGCCTCTTTATTTTGTATAAATAGTGCAATACTCCCATGAGCTGATATCAAGCACAATTTTATGAATCTAACACACTAGTTTATTTATTATACATCTCGTACCCATCCTGTTGGCGGTAAAGGAAACGATTACAAAGGCACATAATCGGCTCAAAAACCATTTCCACTCCAATTTTCACTAATCAAGTGAAAAGCATGTGTGAAATGCTCGAAATGCTGTGCATACTAGTGGCTTTACAAGAAAGTAAACACATCATGCAATGACCTCTCACAAACCCAATGTACCTTCTTGTATATATATACATAAATAAATAAATAAATAAATGTCTTTCACATACTGAAAGACATTTATTTCACTAGTCATCCATTATCGGCAAGATCTTCAAGGAACCTCTAATCGTCTTCATCAGAAATAACAGAATGATGGTACAGGATGACAGTGTAAGGGAGGATAGCAGCAGTACTCCAGCAACATACTTACAGGGCTCCTAGCCTTAGCAGCGGCAGAGACCCTCTCCAAGACACACTTGAGGGCCCGGCCCACCTCCCCACACTCAGCCATCATCCTCAACATTTGTTTACATCCTGCAGGCAGACGACAACACTTGTAACTTACTAATGTTGTTAAATGTTACTTTAACTACCTGACAGAAAACAAATTTAGAAATAAATTACTCGAGAAGCTTATACAAAAATCAGCTTATAAATAATTGACACATAAGTGATCCAGCTCCGTGTGGGGTACAATGAATAAAGTGACAGGATGAACAACCTCAAGGGGTTTTCCTCGTATTAGAGGGTGTTGCACATGTTGTTATGGCGGTATGTTCACTTACAGGATAAGTGACGCTGTACAATAAACTCGTCCTAGGGAGCAAAATTTACTGTCCCTATTTTTGAACCTTTGACCCGCCCCGCCCCCAGGACCCCCGGCGAGACCCGCGGGGAGGACGGCAGCCGTCCCAGCCTCCCGCACCAGCCAATCACAGCCCTCGTAACAAGAGGTGTAGGCACACGTAAACAAACCTTGCACTCACCAGCTGACGTGTTGAACAACACTGAGCACATATTGAAAGACATTCCTCTGCTAGGAGGAGAGTAAGAGAGAATGGAGGGTGTGAAGACGCAGGTGGTGGTGGGCGCCTACGCCCTGGCTGCCTGGTTTTGTCTCTACCTGTTGATAACAGTTGGGCTGAGAGTGTGGGCGCGGACCAGCAGCCTCTCTCACGCCCATCGCGCCCACGTCACAGAGAGCTTTGTCTCGGGCGTACAAGGGATGGCGTGTGCTCTTGTGGGCTTAATGACAGTGTATTCCTGCAGGCTTGACGTTATGAAGGAGAAATTCCCCCTTGCAGTCTATTACTCTTCAGTTGGGACAGCCTACTTCATATATGACTTCTGGGCCATGTACAGGAGCCACGTCGCTGGATTAGATGTCGGGAGTGCTGTGATGCCTAGTGTAGTGTCTTATGTCAGGAAAGACCTGCTGATGATCATCCATCATCTTACTATCATAGGGCTGTTCCTCCCTGCACTAGTCTACTATTCTCCGATGGGAGATTTCTTCCTGGGGTGTTTTTATTGTGCAGAACTTTCTACACCTTTCGTTAATGCCAGAGTAATACTTAGCCGGCTTGGTTACAAGGATTCCAAGATATATGTTGTCAATGGCTTGCTAATGATGACAGTTTTTGCAATTTGCCGAATTGCTTTATTCCCAATAATGTATGGTATATACCTGAGCCAGCAGACATCGGCACCATCATTCATCCATGCCTTACTGACCATTCCAGTCACCTGTCATCTGTCCTGCTTATTGGTGCTAGCACCACAGGTTTACTGGCTTGGCGTAATGGTTAAAGGTGCACTGGTTGTAATGAGACCAGATTCAACCAAGGCAGGTAAAGATGATTGATATAGACTCAGTAATAGCATAAGACTAGTTCTAGTCGCAGTGATATCTACATCAAGAGATTGTAAGATCAAGTGTTTGAGCTCTATATTGTCTTGAATTTCAGTATTGGTTCTCCTGTTCAATCAATCGTGCTTATATTTGATGTAGAAAACCCTTAAATATGAAAAAATAAGGATGTACTCAGGTTTAAAATTGTAGCAAGTTTTAGAATTTTGTATACTGAAATCTGTCATAGAACTCATAAATGACCTGCCATTGTGTGCTAATATAAACAACCATACATTTTTTATTTCACATTGATATTATTGAATTCTTTATTTTATTACTAAAATTTTAATAAAGAAAAGTATCCAAAATACAATTCATTGCTATAACATAGTACTGTTTTAGTAGAGTTGTTATTGAATATATTCATTGTTTATTTTTTATTTATGGAATGAGCTGGATAGGGTAGGGATGGTCCTGGAGAAATTGTTATAGGTAATAATGTTGAATATATAAAATTTAGTATCTAATGTAATGTAATGTCCTACTGAACTCTGTTTAAAAAATTCAAATTAACCTACATTGTACAGTAATTTTGTTTGATCATATCTTCATCATTTGGAAGCATTAATTCATAATTTACATTTTAATATTCATAATTTACATTTAATTATAATCCTTTAAGTACAGTAGGTTGATCTACAAACTATGATGATTTTGATACACTAGTATATTATTGGGATATATAATTTCCTAAGATTAAATATTTATTTTCATTGTCATCATTCCACTGTTATTTGGAATATTTAAATTCATAATTATTTTGCCTATTTAAATTTTGAGCTGTTTCTCATTATTTTTGTTTTGCCATGAATAGCATTATCTATGAATACTGTATATGCATCACACTAAATATTTTGGCTAGCTTTTGTGTTATACGGTACAGTAATTTTAATTTACTTTTGAAGTACAATATACTGTAATTGTTGCATACCCAGTTAATATAGAAAAAAGTCATTTTACAGTAAATTAAGAGAAATTGCACTGGGATAATAATTAGTAATAATTTATGTAGGCTATCATGTTGAGATATTTGTAGTGCATAATTCAATTATTAATGGGTCGTCCATCACATCGGCTGTTACAGGGAATGGAGGTGAAGGACATTGCTTCTCTTCACATTTGTGTTTTTATTTAAAAAAATTTTTGTTTAGAAAGGATGTTGATGTAAATAATGATCTTGAACATGTCTGTAGCTTTTTCTGTTAATTAATACATATTTTTATATATACTGTACCTTTTCACTATACTGTATACAGTAGTTTTCTTTCAAAATGTGATATAATTGCATAATATTATTTTATTTCTTATATAAGACATACTTAATGCAGGTTACAAATGATGTGTAGTCAATGTTTGGGTTATTAGAAAACTATAGTGTTGTTTATTGAACCACATACAGTAGTTGCTTAGACTTGTATGAATTTATATGTTTATTGAGTTTCTTTGGGACATTTTTTTTTGTTACCAGTGATTATCATTATGTATTAGAAATGTGCTACTGTATATTTCATATGGAGTATTTCTTAGTGAATATAATTTGTATAATATTGTAATCCAAGTGTTATGATATTTATTTTCCAAACTTGTGTCTTAGAGTGTATCATTTACGTATCATAGAAGAGTAAATACTTCTTAGTAAGACTGTCTTCATGAGGTGCGTGTGGGCACGTTGAGCATAATTTCATATCAGTTATCCGGGTACATCAAATGGAGAATTTATGTCTCTGTTCATTATTTTGCATGATGACATTATCTTTGACACTTCAGTACAGTACAGTGTACTCTCATTTGCCACAAGCACCATGTAAATGAGATTCTTGTACAGTGTATATTTAGTACAGTATATGGAAGAAAACCTAATCTCCATATATCTATGAAAAAAGGTACAGTACAGTACTGTATACAACCTACCAGTACAATATATATATTCTTAAATTTAAGCTTCTTCATAGGGTTTTAGGCAAGTTGGTACTTTGTGCTAAATAGAACATTTAGCTATGTGTCAGAAAATATATATTAAATTTAATCATTTGAATAAAAAACAGTATGCAAATTCACAGGTAAAATATTTTCAACAGCCTATCAAATTAATAATGATGCCATTAAGTTTATCCCTGTTCTTCATGAAAACATGTTACATTTCCATTGCCTTTCAGGGATTTAAGGCATTATCAAATACAGTACTAGTGCTTTACTAGATCATACCGGCATTACAAAATTTGTGGGATATTTTTAATTAATTTTAATTATCTGTTAAGGCTATTTTGAGACATTTCAGTAATTTGTCAGTTATTTGGTGTGAGAGGTATAGTTCAAATGGATGCTTACTGCTTTTATGTGGCTAAATTTTAGACAGGAAGTATTCATTAGTTGTAGGATTCCCAATGTTTTTGTACGTAACGTTATTTATTGTTTATTATGTAAAGAGTGAAAGGTAGGAGATGTTCTCACTTATTCAAGCACTCATATGTTTTTTTAATTTTACATGAATTAATTGATTTAGCTCAAGAAATGTTAGCATAATAAGCCTGAACTAATGTGTCAAAATGAGTACTGTATTAATATTAGTTATGACAGAAATTCATAAATTTACAGTACTGTATACTGTGTTGATTTTGGGAAATGTTTGTCATTACTAAAGTAGGCTAGATAAAAAATATTGAATTTCATCAGAGTATATATAACAAGAAGTGTTTTTTTTATGAAATGAATTCAGTATATTAAATTTATTGTAATTAGGTGGCTAGTATTCTTTTTCAAAACACAAGAAGCTCAAATTCTATGTGAACCATGTTTTGAGATTACTGTGTATGTTAAGTTTAAGGGCGCAAATCTCATTAGATGCAAAGTTTTGATGAGATGTGCCCTGTTGTGCCTTGTGTGAAAAGTTGTTAAGTCATGGTGCCCCTAGCCAATTTTAATTTTATGATTCTTTAGGCCATCTTCTGAAAAAAGGAATTTTGTGCTTCTGAATATGGTCACCATGCTTATACTTTAGGTAAGAATTCACAAAGTGGATGCTAATTTTCTTCAACCTTCTATTCAAAAGTGCATATGATGAATAAACACCAAACCCACACATTAGAAAAGGTGATGATATTTAGTGTTGATTCAAGCCATGGCATTGTGACTTGTTCATCATGCATATATTTTTTTTTTTACTATAGCTACACCCACGTGCTGATTTATCTCCCACTATAAACTAATGCTCAAGGCTTCTCAATTTTTTTTTTTTTTTTTAAAGAGAACTAAGTGGGTTGCTATTCCTCACAAAGATTCTTTCATTAGGTCTTTGACCATCTGTTGTAAACATTTTCAAATAAGATTGGCAATTTCTTTACTTGCTACCTTAACATACATATTTTGAGAATGTAGTGTCAGATGTTTTTGTCAGTGAAAGAGGCCGACTCAAAAAATGGAGCCTCTTTATGCCCCCCATTTGAAATATTAACAAACATTTTGTTTCCTACTTAGCCAATATTTGCTGAATTCTAGTACATGTATATAGTAATGTACTTTTCCTATAAAATCCATATAAACTCATGTGGCAGTGCTTTGATGTGGCTGTGTTTTGTTCAGTGCCTGAAAAATAGTATAAGGATTTTGATAGAGCTTGAAGATGTTTAAGATTAAACTGATATGACCTTTGGTCTCTGCTACATTTTGTCTTTTTGATCCAAGATTAGGGCAACATTAGTGTACTTCCAGTTTGAGGCACTGATCTAAGGATTTTCTAATTGCATGAAATGCTCTTATTAGCGTGCTTGTTTCATTGACTACCTCTAATTATTTTGGACTGAGATTAACACTAGGATATCTAGGCTCCTTATGTATATCCCACATAAATCAGCTATATATCCTTGCTGGAATTAGCATGCCCTAGAGTGTTTTTTTTTGGGTGAACAATATAAAATATTTATGGCATCTGATAAATCATTCTTGCAGTAGGTTTTATTCAAGATGTCGGAATCATCTTTGCTCTAATGTGGTCGTTTGTTCAACAGAGCTATTTGCATATGAAGGAAATGTAGTTAGTTTTTGTTTTTTATAAACATTTACAAGAGATTTATGTTTTGTTTAGGTTTCTTTGTACATTTGTTCTTGATATTAAACTGTATTATTTTAATAACTGATGAAATTTGGAAAATAATAGAGATGGGGATAGATAAAAAATCAATCATAGGTTCATTTATTATTCAGCGATACAGGGTATCCAGCTATTGAATGATCAGAGGTGTAGGCAGTGTAATAAATTAAGCAAAATAATTTGATATGCCATTAATATGGATATTAGTCAAGACATTTTTCAAGTCTCAAAATTACCTTAACAATTATACAGTATTGTATTTAACTAAAATATATCGGCAATTGGTGAGAAAAAAGTTATCACAATACAGTACTGTAATTTAGTAGTAAAAATATGCCTTGGCTTTAATGTGCAGCATCTCTGCAGTTTTTGTATTTATTGGATAAATATGTGGGTGGATGACTTTCTAAATCCATAAAAGCAGGTTAGGGACTGGATAATTAATTTCTGGTATAGTATAAGTTGTTTCTTTGAAGTTTGAACATCTTCAGGTACTTTATTTGAGCAGTACATAGAATTGTGTTGTATATTATTAGGTCAACAATTGAGCCCATCCTTGCCATATAATGTTGGTATTGTGCAGTACGGTATCTGCTTTTGTCTGTATTGATCTATCAATCAGTCCAAATGTTGGTTGATATTTTCCAGTATCGCTAGTCATCTGTATCTTTTCCAAGATTTGATTGGTGGCCCCATTGTTTTGATTTGACTGCCAAGTAAAATGCAACAGTTGCAACTTGCATGCACTGAAAAAACATGAATCTCTAGGAAGAGCAAAGCATACTGCATTAAAACAATTAAATATGATTAAGAAAGGGCTCAACTGATAAAACTGAGAAAAAGTTACCAGTAAATACTGAAGAACCTTAGTACAGTACTCTAATGGTTTCCAACTTGAACAATTCGGCATTTGAATGCTGTGTTCATGCTCGTTTGTCGACCATTTGCTCCGCACTCAAACGTAATCACACACAACCGATGAGTCAGTTTCCCAGTAGCTGCTGTTCAGTGCATACCCTGCTAAACCTCTCTGTTAACTTTCTTGTGTTTTCTTGGATATTATTTTATATGTTTTTAGCATAAATAACTCACCATGGCACCTAAGACAATTACTGGTATTAATAAGAGCCAAACAAAGATAATTACAGTAGTTAGAATCACAACAGAGACAAAAAAAGAACTCGTAGCAAAATATGAAAGTAGTGCCGATATGTCTGCTCTTGCTACTGAGTTTGGCATGCCTAAATTTGACAAGTTTCTTGTAAGAAAAGCATTTATTGAGCCTCAAGGGGGAAACAGAAAAAGAGAGAGAAAAGAACCCCAGAAGCCAAATTACCTAAAGTGTTTATGGTAGGAGACTCCCCTGCCAAACAATTCCATCTCTCCTCTTCCTCACCACCTTCCACATGTCATCAATTCTTCTAATTACAGGTAAAGTGAGAATATATTTGCATTTATTTCATTTATTTATTGTATTCATAAGTGTATTTTTTGTGGTCTGGAACGGATTAATCCAATTTACATTATTCCACATGGAGAAAATTATTCGGTACTCGAGCAGCTCGGCACTCAAACAGCCTTCTGGAACCAATTAAGTTTGAATACCGAGGTTCCATTGTATTAGTCTTGAAAAGATACTGGTATGTGGCTCAGAGGAAGCTCGATAGTCTAATCTAGTCTGAAAATTTGTTTGCTGTAATTACATTGTTACTTGTATCTTATATGAGCAGCTTTCTAGCAATGTAGTTAAAAAGGCATTACAATTTAATGTCTGAAATATTTTGCCCATGGCATGACCATTTTTCTTGATTACAAACTAATGCAGTTGCTAATCTATGAAACTTCACATTCTGGTACAGTATCTATTAATTTTAAGCTGCCTTTTGTGTTTGTTACAAACATGGAATCAGTGACTGTAACAACTTGGAGTACTGTATTATTCTAAAAAAATACAATTCATTTATTTTATTGGTAATAATATAAGTGTAATCCAAGTAGTAAATATCCTTTTAATATGACTTCAATTGAATAAAACCTACTAAACTTAATGAATGATAGTTATTTTGTTATGTCAATAATAATGATAATTTGGATGATGCAGGACAACACACACTTTTTAAATAAACTTATTTTCATTAAGCTGGCTCTACTATTATCGCCTAATGTTACATGCAACCATTGAAAAGTTAGATGACTAGCTACTATCTATAACAAATTATGTGCCATCATCTGCGACCTATTCCCATGGCTTTCCTCCCATCACCATGGCAGAAAGTGAGAAATATCCTTGACTTGGATACATATTACCCATACAAGGTTAACCCTGTGTGGACATCATCATACTATTTTAATTGCATTGTTTCGTTTACACTCGTCTATTTCCTGGTTGAATATCCTGATTTTCAGAATGATCGAACATTTTGCTACCCCCCCACATCTCTCAAATATAATCTTTGTTGAATCTGACTCCTTTCACATAATGTAGATCACCTTGAGTCTTTCTGTTCCCATATTGGCATTTGTATGTGATATCTAGGAAGTCTCGAGTCTCTTGTGGTGTATTTAAGTGTTCAAGAGCATAGCCATATGTACTAGCTTAGTGCTATCTTTTGATAATTACTCAACTGTTATCTTGGATTTCTTAAGTAGACAAATTGAAGTTTTGCTCACTAGCAAATGATATCCCAGAATCCCTGCTTGCCCATTATAGAGATTAAACTATGTGCCTTATACTCAACACTGCTTACCTTGTATGTATTGGAGAGGTAAAAGAGGATGAAGTTAAACAGACTATAAGCTTAACCTTTTTGTAGACTGAAGATGAAATTAAATCATATCTAAAATGGAAATTCTTGTATAAAGAGGCAGGAAAAATGAAATATATAAAACCTGTAAATTTGTGTCTGTCCATTGGAAGAGTAAATTGTCTTTACACTGCACATTTCACAGACTGAACTGCATGTGTACACACACATCATCTAGAAAATATTGATTATTAAAATCAGATGTTTAATGTGTGATAATGACATGGCAAATGTTTATTGGTATATCTTAGTCATTGTCCCTATATTATTCACTGTTAATGTGAAATGTGTTAGAATGCATTAGTACAGTAATTATGGGATAAAAAATAATATACCAATATGTAGATGATGTCTATACAGATGTTGTAGTTTTATTTATAGTGATAGACAATGTAACCATATAATAATCTGTTCTACATTAAGTACCTCGATAACGAGCTTCCTTGTGCCAGCTGTTGTATACACTTGTATTTAGTAGACTGTGTGTTGTACCTAATAGCGAAAATCATACCACTAGGTTTTGTAGACAAGGTCCATTTAATAGCCAGAGGATATTTGTTTATTTTCAAATACCTGTACAGTACAGTACTAGCAAAAATGCATCAGATTATAATTCAATATATGATTAACATTATATTGATAACATTAGATACTAATGTACAGTATTTTGGCCTGTTTTTCCTTGATAGACAGATTTTATGAATATGGTAATTTGCATATTATTAAGGCTAGATCAGGTTGCTAAGTTAGTTTTGGCTCAAATTAAACAAAAAACCTTGTTCACTAAAATAAAAATATCTATCACTATATATAAATATATTGTTCTCACACACTATACTGTATGTATAGAATTTATTTACATATGCTAATAAATGATATTAAGTGAGCTGATAAGGATATATCGTATATAAAGATTGCAAAGGTAGTCTACTGATGATTTCTGTCTCTAGGATCCAATAGAAAAATATAATAAATAAATGTGTACTTGTGCATGTACATAAATGTTTATATATACTGTACTGTTATATGTATTGTAAATACCTAAGTGTAGTTACAGGACAAGAACTGCACCCTGGCACTTTGTCATACTGTATAACACTTTGAAACTACTGTACCGACGGTTTTGACCTCCACCACCACCTCGCTTGTTCCAAGTGTGTCTCACGCCATAATGGGGCCACACGATGTAATAGCAGTTATATCAGTGAATGGTAGGCTAATTAATTAATCAGTATAACATAATGGCTTTTTGTGGCACTTCAAAGAAAATATTCTCTACCTGAATTTTTAGGTTTAATTTTTTTTTTTTTTCAAAAATAGTCAGAGGCCATTATTGTAGTCTCACATAATTCATACCATTATCTTTACATTGTGATATGAGTAAGTGTTGCTAATACAGTAGTATAGTAAAGGAATATTTATGATATTGTACTTTAAATGTTCCGTCATGTATATGGAGGTGCGTAACTGTTACATCTATCATAATTAAAATGTCCTGCAATGTGATGATTATGCCAAAGATGTAATTATGAAAAAAAAGGAGACCTGATCATTTAAAAAAATATATACAGTACTGTATAGGTTTACCATTAATACAGTACAGAATTTCTATTGATGGCACCAAACTGTGTGTTGCCCTGTTTATCTGAAGTGTTTTGGCTCATCTTACAGTGCACAACTTTCAGGAGATAATGGATTGATTTTGATGTTAAAGTTAATAGAAAATACAGGCCTAGATGTCTGACCAGAAAACTCCTTTACTGAAAGTTGGACTTTGTTTAGATTTAAGTTACAAAGCATTAATTTTGAAAACCTTGTACTGTATATAGCAAGATTACCAGTTGGACATGGTTTTCAGGATTTATTGTGCCTTAGTGTCACAAATGGAGGTAGATTATCTTAAAAATCTTAAAACATGTATTCTTATTAATAGATTTGTTGTTAAAAGTTCAAATGGTATGGCTCTTGCCATCATTAGCTGAAGCTGGTGGATTGCTTGTAATCACACTGTAAAGTGACTGGTGATCTGTCTCACATCAGCTTGTCAGTGGGCATCTGGTTAGGCCTATAATGAAATTATTTAAGATCATATGAAACAAGAATTGAATATTGTATTTAGATTGGACTTGCACAGCCCTTATTTTTAGTGTAATAAGAATTACTATTTCACTTTTTTCCTTTTAATTTTTTTTTTATGCCATACCTAGCATTTTTGTAGTAACTTAAACTTTTAAATTTGCCAAATTTTCTTTTAAATTTTAAGGCAATAAGCATGCCATCAATAATTTTATAAAATTTAAAATGCTAAATCTGAAATATATAATGTGAAATGTTTTGCTTAGTGTAAAAAAGTTGAAGTTTTTATTTTATCATTAAAACCTGTAGGTTCTCTAATTTGATTTATGTAGTTAACAAGACCTTCATCCTTTTCTGTGATAATACAAATTTTCCAGTGTTCAAGATAGTTTTGTAACAGGAAAAGTAATTTTAATTCTTGACACTAGTAAGCTTGATGGAGATGTAGTTATTTTGCTACTTTTTTGCATAATATTTGTGGCCATGTGTCTAGTCGGTAACACTAAACAACAATGTCATAGTTAGTCGTTTTATTATCCGGTCCACTTGCTTGCAGGAATATTCATCTTCAATGTTTTGGCTGTCATGTTATGTACAGGTGCATGCCAGCTATTATGCAATTGCATACCATACTTAAGTAATTAAAAGAAAATAAATGTTTTGAAAAGCAAAGCTAATTTCTTTAACAAGATTTGGTCATTAAATATGTTTTTATGATACATTTGGGCCCCTGAGTTATTGGGCCTCCCGACAGCTCAGTGGAAGAGCTTCAGCCTCACACCATGGTGTTGGTGGTTCATGTCTCGTAGTGCTTAAGTTAATGAGACGTTTATTTACATGATAGTGTGGTTGACAATTTATATGACATAGGCGTGGATCACTAATTTCCTGTCAACTTGTCAACCACACTATCATGTAAATAAACGTTTTTCACTTAAGCAATATGATGCTCAAACCACTGACCCCATGGTGTGAGATGGAATTGGAAATAGCTCCTATTCTGCCTCCCAATAGGAAAGATCTCAAAAGGCAGAAAACCCCTGCCCAACTGAGATTCTATACTTTCCCCACCTCCCGTCAAGCACATGGGAATGAATCACTAATTTATGATGTGCTTAAGGGAAGGTGGGGAAGTATAAAATCTCAGTTGGGCAGGGGTTTCCTGCCTCTTGAGATCTTTCCTATTGGGTCTCCCAATAACTCAGTGGAAGAGCTTCTGCCTCACGGTTTGATCGGCAGTTCGAGTCTCCTAATGCCTACATGAATGACTTATGATACAGTATTTCAACTTCTGAAGTGAACTAACATTTGAGAATTGAGTTTGTACAAGTCGATAGGAACAAATAAGCAGTTGAGAAATATGCAGTACTGGAGAGCAAAAATATGGAGCCTGAGAATATGGTGTTAATTCAAATACTAGAATATAGTGTTAATTCAAATACTGTACTGTTCTCTCTATTGGGTTGAATAAAATTATTTACACGTATGGGTACAAGGGGTCAGATTGATGGGATCTGCTAACATGTCTCAGGCTGATAATCAGGTTCCGGGGATTTGGGGGTCTAACAAGGTCCTGGTGCCTCACTCCTGGGTCCCCATCGAACTTGTGCGGCCCTTGGTTTTCCCATTCAGGTCTCGTCTTCATAAGTGCCATTTTTACTCTCCTCCTTAGTAAGACTCATTTTCCTTCTATTCTGTTAGTTACCAGAATAGGTAGAGCTAGTTAGTTACCAGAATAACAGCCAGAAGCTCTGGCTGAGGAAAGCCAGAGCTGAATGCAATGAAATGTCTCTTTCTTGTAGGGATGTAGTGGCTCCATGATTCCCCACCTGATGCATCAGTTTGAAAAAACTGATGCATCTTTCAGTTCTGGACAAAGGCTAGAATGACTTTGAAGCATGGAGCTACTGGTAGTACTGCCACCTGTTGGTGGCCGGCATAACTAGTTTGAGCGAATCGTTTGTAGAGTAGTAATTTAAAAGTTTGTGTCTTGCTTTCTGTGAACCTTGCAGCTATCTGTATTGATTTGCTCACTTGCTGGATGTTTTCTCATGAGAATGATTGCAATAATCCCTGTACGTCTGAGAGGGGAGGGTCAGGACCCCAGTAGGCCAAACTGGACTCCTGAGACTAATGCGACTTAGTTGTGGGGAGCTACCTCAGCATAATAGCTTCGGGAAGCCATGAGGCCCTACCAGAAAGGGAACATAATGAAATAATCTCAACAAGGGCATTTCTAAATCCATATATAAGTATACTTCAAGTTCAGAATTGTATAGATTGCCTCTAATACCATTACAGTACTGCAGTTCACATTTCCTGGAGCAGGTAAAGGGGTTCTACGTAATGCTTAACTCATGCTCTACAAACATCATTGGGTGGTGAGTACAGATATTTTTTTTCATTTTTTTTTATACATATGATACAAATACTTACGAAGGAACTCAAAAGTGAATGATATGGTGTGACAATGTCTGGAATGAATAATGACTAAACAATGACGAAAAGCAGGTTTTTCACATGATGTACTTTATCTTATGGTACTGTATTTGTAACGTTCTTATATGCAATATGTATATCCCTTTACAACATTCTATTGCAAACAATTTGATATCAAATTGAACAATGTAGCACAAAAATTGAGGTGAGAAAGCTGAAAAGAACTTTAAAAAAAAAAAGTATAAACATTGGAGTGGTGTGGGAGCTCACAGACAACGCTCTGCTTGCCTTGTGGTGCATGGTAGGTTGCCTGCAAGACGTGCAAGTGTTATGAAGAGAATAAGCAAGGTACATAAGGACAGCCTAGTTCAATCAAGATGTGGGGCAAGGGAATATTGGTGACAGCTAGATACACAGTAGTCTTAAAAAAAAAAAAAAAAATTAAATTCTGTACGAGTATAGAATACTCGTACAGAATTGAGTATGGACCAGTAGAACGAGAATGAGAATAGACCAGAATTGCGAATGGACCAGTAGAATATAGTACAGTACATTGAAATATGTTTTTTAAGTCACTTCCATTCACAACTACAATAAAAAATATGACAACTTGAACATTAAAAGATAGTGCCAATTATAAAAGGTTAGGTTGAGGCATAAAGAGCTAAAACACTTTTCTGTAGTCTTCAATAAGCAATTATCAATAGTAGGCACCAATCTGGGAATCTACATAGCACCAGTGTTGCTAGATATTCAAAAGGCACTAAATAACACTTAGGATGTCAATACGAGAAAAAAAGCACATTAGGCAAGCGATATCAGTGATAATGGATTCACCAATGATTATATTGATGGACAAATTACCTCAAAGGTACATTGAAAAGCAAGACATGATATGTCCTGAAAATAGGGACATTCTTTAAGGCATCCACAACATTTACATCCACAAATGTAAGTGGGACAATGCAGTTCGGACAACCAGGACATGGGCAGCATTCCATTAAGTGCTCGTGAGTTAAGGGCATACGGTCAATATGTAACCTAGCCAGATCCACATCCCATTACCTATTATGGTGGTAGGAGGAAAGCCAAATGGATAGGCTAGCTTTTAAGAGAGCACAGTTTGTCACCTGTAATACCAGGGTAATATCCTGCCAACATTTTTAGAGTGAAGAATGAATGACTGGGTAGAAATCTGAACAAAGGATGCCTATTTGGGAGATAAGTGTAGATGGCCTCCTTGGTGGCAGTGTCTGCAAGTTCATTCAAGGTAACACTTATATGGCTAGAAACCCAGCAAAACTCAACTGTCTTGAACCTGTTAGATAATTAACAACCAATACTGGATATCAACTACCACAAAATGCAAAGGGTTAAATGACTCCAGAGCCATGAAGGCACTGCAAGTCTCTACCAAAATGGCAAAGGAATGTTGACATTAGAAAAGCAGTTGAAGTATTATGGCTTTACTTGGCTAGTAATTGGGTTCTTTTATATCAAACTTCTATCGGATCTTAGTGCCTCTTCTTACCTGATCCAACTCAGAGTCATAGGTAAGTTATTAACAAATGGCAGTAATAGTCAGTCTAAAGGGAAATGGAGTAGACAACTCTAAACAGAACCATCACCAAGTGTACTTCTTAACTATATATATATACACATGTACAGCATATAACACAGCAGAGGTCACTTTCACACAGGACACTATTAAAGAACTAATGCAATTTTCTTTACCAGCAAGTCCACTTCTATCTTACAACACTCTAGGTACCCTCCCTGGGTCAGTCTTGCATGGTCCTCACCTTTCTCAGTAAATCATGGGCCAGTCTTCTACAGTATTGTCGCCACTTCTACTCTCCAGCAACACACTGGCAGGGGTCTCCAGCAACACACTGTATGACTTTACACAGGCTTCAGCTATAACAGATGGACATTAATTCCATCTCACAACTCAACTTGGCCATCCTGGGATGCGTCGGTCTAATCACCAATACATCACTGGGTGTCAGACAAATCACAGTCGACACCGACTCGGCCTACGTGTTCCCACTGGAACACGTTTTGAGTTCAGGACTGCCCTGGGTGAACTAGCTCCTGTCGACCAAGGAATTCCCCCACTTCACTTCTGAGGAGTAAAAATTAATAGAAATAGGGAAACTACACAGGTGTCAGTATGATCATAGCTTTCCACCAGGAAACAGAAAATGGGGTCGGGTGCGCTAAACAGATGGAGTCGACATCAAAGGAAGAGCATACAAAATTGCATAAAGTTTCACTGTGAAGATGCTAGTCTCCAAGGGGTGGTAGTACATACAGGTTTGGTCAGGAATTCAGTGAAGTAGCCAACACTGTCAGCAGACATAGACTTGTCTATGAATTGGGCAATGGAATGGGAGTGCAAAGAAAGGGATTAGAGGATAAGGCATTTCTGACCAGGGGGAGAAAGATACTGGCAGTATGGGGCGTTAAAGTTTATTGAAGATTAAATTCTGCAGAACATGTAAATATATAAAGTTCACATAAAGTAAGTAATTATATAAAGTTTATATTAAACACGGTTTATATTATAGACTTAACAAAGTTGATATTATATAAAACTTAATATTGAACATGTAAATATACAAAGTTTCAAATATAATTTAAGGAATATATAACGTTTATATTAAAATATATAGTAATATATATAGGTTTATATAAATATATAGGTTTTGCGAGGGCAGCGGCGAGGGCAGGCGGAGTGAGGCGGAGCCCCGTTGTGCGCCCGTATTTATACGGCCCCAAACTGCCCGCGCAACGCCGCGGGACGCGCTGCGCAATTGTTTCTTTCTCCCCCGCCAGAAACATCCCCGCTTGTGATGCAAGCAGTGACCATTTTCCTAACAGTAGGAGGGGTTAATCATTGTGGGTCAAGATCTTACAAAATTTAACAAGTACACTCCTCCCTGGGTGCAAAGATGGAACAACTCTAGGAGATATATTGCAAATGTGAACCGAGAGAAAATCTTACAAGCGAGACATTTGTATGGAAAAAGAAGGTGATGAAAAGGAACAGAGACCCACCGAGGAGTAACAGCCAAAGCACGGTACAGGCAAGAGTGAGGATGTTGCAGGGATCATAGGTGGTAGCAAAGGTAGTAATGATTACAACAATCCTGTAGACAGGATGCCAGTTTCAACATACAACCTCTGAGAAGAGGACAAATGAAAGGCACCAAAACCGAGGTGTAAGCCAGTATGATGCGGAGCATTAAGACAACACCAGAATTGAAGGAGAGGCAGAGGAATAGGCAGGGAAGCCATAAATGTTTAGACAGAACGGAGAGGAGTGTGTGCCTATCAGTTCCCCAGGAAGTACAGTACGTGACAAGACTAAGGCAAGAGCCCTGGGGCATTCACCTCAAGAGGTGAGACATATGGGGGTGACCAAGACAAACGAGTATCAAAGATCAATCCCAAAAGATTAGCAGAATCCTTGAACAGAAGGAAATTACCATAGAGGGATGAAGAATGGCCTTCCGAGTAAAAGTTACAACAAAAGTTTCAGAGAATTCAAAACCATGATTAGTGGCCCAGGATGTTAATATAACACTTTCGCGCTCTCGGCGTTCAAAAAAAAGCATTCCCTATATGCTTTAGGTGCTTCGCGCGCCTACGCAGTAAGACCGAAAAAGTGTACACTCTTTTGACTGTCCTGATAATAATTGAAGGCGCACGTATTTAAATTTGGTATCACTGTGTTCGCAATAAAATTGTCTATAAGAACATATCTATAAAATGCCGCCAAACCATAAGGATTATCAACACCAAATAAAAAACTATTCAGATCACTAGCCGAGAGCGCCAAACAGCAACAAAATGTTTCCACTCTCTTAATGGTTGCGAAGCCTACAGTTGTCCTACATCGCTAATTGTGGTATCATTGGAATCGCAATAAAATTCTCTACACGGACATATGCATATAAATATAGATTCAATGTCGTAGCCCACCCAAAACAGTGTGGGAATTGGCCGAAGTGTTACCCGCGGCGGCATATCGGCGAAACTCGCTTTGAAAAGTGTATATTCAATTCACTGTCCTGACATTATTTGTCGATGTATGTATTTCATTTTTGTACCAATGTGCTCGCAATAGAATGTTCTATAAGAACATAAGTATTAAAGGTCACATAAGGATGCGTTCGACCGGCAACATATATAAAAACTACGTCGATTACACTCGTCGTGTCAATAATACAATTGTTTTGCCACGATGATTCACTGCCACGCCGTTTTCTTTTATAAGCTGTTCGGCTATTAGAGAAAACGTAAATTTCATGGCAAACATTTGTAAACTATTCCCAAGTTGATCGGATAATAAATGGATTTTATACAAATATTTTTGCTCGTGACTCGCTCGAGGGGCACGCCTACGGTATGATTAATAATATTGGTGCCGACGACGGTCTGCTGGAAAGCGCCAAAGTGATAATTATTAAGGAAGGAATTGAAAGTTGCAGCTGGTGTTGAAGGAAACTGCAGTCATCATCCCGACAGCACAGATAGATCATCAACATAAAGAGCCAAGAGTAGTCTTCAGTAAGCAAGCACTGAAGCTTTTCCTGGCTTTGAAGCATCAGTGACAAAGAGGACCACACTTTAGTTTATGTTTTGTCTTGGGGAATGTGCTCCAGCAAGAATTACATTCAGGATTGACACTGATATTCTCTTCTCCAAAGGATCCACTGCCAGCATCACCAGTGTCAACAGCTCGCTTCTTTTACAAGACGGGTTTGCCTCGATCCTTTACCAACTACACTAGGCTAGCAGTGCCCCCATTGCTGGCTCAAGGTATTGACTAGTGACTACTCAAGCTTGTACTATATTCACAAATTACTGCTGCTGCTGTTTTGGGTTTTGTCCAATTATCTGGATATCCTCATGGGTCACTAATGACCTAGGTGACAATTTCACAACCAGCATTCACCAGACAAGTGGACTACACACCAGTTACATAGCAATTGCTATCAGCATACATTCCAACCAACTTTTTTTACCATTTTTCCACTACATTTAATAATTTCTGAATATACTTCATCAATATGCTGAGAACATGTCACATTAACGGATCTGAAAAATAACCCAACACACGAGATAAAATTAAATGAAAACATTTTGGTCATCCTGGGCACTTATCAAGTCATAACCTGCAATATCTGCAGATTTTCCACATTTCATCTTTCTCAGAGATGTACTAGCCTCATCCATAGATATATGGCCTCTGCCCAAAGCACTATGCATGTTAGTGACTTTACAAAAATGTAAAAACATCAATGCTTTGTACTCTCATAAACCCTCTTTATTATATATATCTATCTCGCCTGACTTGCATTCTTGTACCCTTCTTTCATGATCATATCCAATCATGTTTACATTAACACCTCTTTTCTTAGTTTAACCCACTGGATTATCAAAGTATTCTTCCCAACTAATTTTAATCTGCACTATTTAGTTTTCTCTCATTTCTTGAAGCATTTCCTTACTTCTTTCCACAAGAGCTTCCTGTTCCTAAATTTGTAATATTTAAATTTAAATCGGAAAGGAAAGCTCAATCAGCTTGCAAAAATCTGACTGCTTTCTTTAAATGCATTCATTATGTCAAATTGTTTATTCACAATTCACTAGCATTTTGATTAAATTCAGAGGAATGTATTATTACAGTAACTCGGGTATAAGTAAATATGGATAAGGGTTATTGTTTATTAGTTTCTTCTGGCTGATAAAGAATGAAGACTAGCAAATAATCATACCCTGAAAGCATGAAAGAAATAGATAGGTCTGGCTACAGCCAATTATGTGCAAACAACTATTTCCTCAGTCAAATACATCTTGTCATGCGTTTCCAAAAAAATGTACAAAAGTTATTTATATAAAGTTATGTTCAAGGTCTGTACATAATAAGTACATACATCTACACACACACACACACACACATATACCAATGCTAATCCTCTTTGTACCTTGTTTAAAAAAAAAAAAAAAAAATTAAAATAATTTGGCTAATCTACAAATCTTTGGGTTTCAATAATTTAACTAGACGAGAATGTGAATGGCTAATTATATCTAAGCCTCTAAGACAGGCAAGTATTGTGTGACGTGCAAATGCCACAATTACAAGCAACCTTTGGCAACATGAAAATATAGTTTGACAACCCAGGGAACAACCTCCAATGAAATTATGAATTACACTTTTACTCATCTTTACTATAATGTACAGTATATATATATATATATAAAAAAAACTTTCACAAAAAATGAATTTGAACCTCTAGCAATAAAAAAAACTATTGAAAGTTTATTGAATTATTCAGAAGGCTTTATAAAGCACCACTACTCGTTTCTATTTAAATAAAAATATATATAAATATATATGTATCGATCTGTTGTAATTAAATCTTATTGCAAATGCACACCAAACTTTACAAAAGCTGTTCGGTAAAAGTTAAAATTATGAAAAGAGCTTAGAATTGTGTAATTAAATTTCTTGAGCTGAAGTAATATCAGCTTTGACACGAGGTCAAAATCTTATGGAATTACCATCGCCTAATAAAAATATAAGCTCTATGGATTGTTTTATGTAGGACAATTTGCTTAATAAAATTAAGGAAAACTTTCTGCATTTATAGAATCAATTGATCCAAATGCTTGTCTCATATTGAAAAGTATTTAATCAAGAAAACCAGTCATACTAATTTCAGGAACAATATCCTCTGAATTACAACAGCAGGTACTCTTGTCAAGTGTATTCTCTACATTTAGCCTTACAATATCACAAAATTTGAAGATCACACATGATCATATTCCATAAAATGAACATACAGTACATGATACATGCACACATTAAAATACAGTACTTTTATCTGCATCTTTCCTCACTCGATTCTGGACTTGCATTATCGACAATTATACGAAGATACAAGTGGACATAGAAATTGCATCTAATATCCTAAAACACAAAATAAAAACCTTTTTTGTTTTTCAAAAAAAAAAAGTTAATGTTTTTAGGAAGAATACCACTAGCCAACACTCAAGATACAAGAATGTAAGGCCACCAGTCACTAAAACTTAATAGCACTTGGGAGTATTATCACTTCTTCATAAGTAATGCCTGAGATCACAAATCTTGTGATTTTACAAATGCCGCACACCATGTACTCTAAATCTGTACAGGCAAGTGTAGTGCATATTACCATGGTTACTATTTATTTTCAACTCAATAAGGGGAAAGTATTCATTATTTTCTTTCTTCACAATGAAAGACTGAAGGGGTTCTCCATTTTGGTCATATTCATAACTTCCTAAATGAACACCTTCATCATTCTCAGTAAAGAGACCCCATACTTCAAACTCTCGAGGGGCTGACTCAATTTCACCATTTGGCGAGAGAGATTTTGGGATATGTTCAAGGCTGAAGGCTGTTGGTTTCACGAGGCCAGCCAACTGAATTACAATATAACCTTGAGATCCCTTAAAAGCCCAGCACTGGCCTGGCATTCGGTCAGGTTGAATAATAGATCGAGGGTTGTTTGTAGAATAGTGATAAACTGGAATACCCAAAATTCTCACTTGTGCTTGATGGACCTGAAACACAGTTTGAAAAATTCTTTAAAGTAAATATATTGTACTTGTAATGTAAAAATTCTGGTTTATACAATGAATGTAAGCAATCTTTAGAATAGGTAAATATATATGAAAAATAGTAAAGATAAAAAGAAAAGGAGACAATTCGAGAGGTCAAAGTGAATAAAATTTTATTGTCGCTTCATTCTTCCCCCTCATTCTACTATTCTCCACCCCCTTCTTGATGGTCTCGCTTCATGCAGGTCGGTGTTCAATCCCCGACTGTCCAAGTGGTTGGGAATCTTTCCTTCCCCCCACCCCACCCCCATCCTATCCCAAATTCTTATTCTGATCCCCTCCAAGTGTTATATAGTAGTAATGACTTCATGCTTTCGTCTTATAGTTCCCCCCCCCCCTTTTCAAAAAAATTATTACAAAGTACTAGAAATACTTAACAAGTAAGGGAAAGAACAAATATTTTAGACTCATGAAAAATCTCACAGGGTGAGGAAGTCCTCTATAAAACAATATAAAAGCAGATACAGCATTTCTTAAAAGCACTTCACTTAGGCTGACACTGACTGGCCTATGACACTCCCTTACCCAACCTTATTCATCTTGTGAAGTTTGGTGAAGCTAACCCCCAGGCATCTGGATTTCAACCACATACATTCTATTTTATAGATACAGATGTATATCTTGTACATCTTTCACATACAGTACTTCTAGTCATCAGAATAGCACTAATATACATACATAATTACCTTATAACCTGAGCCTTTTGATGCTTTTCAATGCTAACCATGTTAATAATGTAGAGTATGCATCATATTTATTATATGTATTTTTTAAATCCAATATTTATTACCTTGTTTCACTACAGTATACCCATAATAATAATAATACAAAAATTACAGAACAATGCCTTTCCACTATGAAAACCAGGTAATAATAATGAATATGTTCTACAGAAAATAAACCAGTTGTTTATAACATACAAATATAATTTAGCATACATAAATAAAGCTCACCTGGTAACTTTCGGTGCAGCGAGTAGAAATTACGTTTCCTCCAGCACTTTCCAAAGCGTGATCCACCATACCAGTTTTATCTGCATCATATTTTAATAGAGCATCTTTCACAATCTGAATCACAGCAGATTCATTCAGTCCAGCAGCAAAAGGCATTCCCGCAGGAATGAAGGAAAAATTTGCGCTGTTATTTTTAGAGATATTTACGGTTGCAGAAAATGTAGCATCCTCAGAACTGGTGGAAACTGATGAAGCTCCTGATGAGGCCCCTGCTAGGAAGGCTACTCTTTCCTCACCAGTTCCTCTCACCTGGAAGAAAATGACCAAGTTACTTTGTTTATCTTTTAAATAATTTTCTTTAATTTTCCCACATTATAAAAATATTTTTCAATTCAGTTTCTTCTATTCTTCCACTTACGAACAACTGCTGCAGCACAGATCAATCACTTTCCACAATCAGAGAAGAAAGCACCAAAGTACAGAGCAGGAACCTAAATTTATCTGCACATCTGGCATCTTCAAGACTAATAGGAAATAGATACATAAATGTTCTTACACAGCCCCAGCCAGTGGTGTGCCACAAGACAAAACATTGTGCAAGATATCCAACCAGAAGGAAATTGATGATGAGCCAGAAGGCTCATCACCAATCAGCACGTGAGCAAGTGCTACTCTAAATACTGTACAAAACATTCTTTATGGTTTAACAGGCACAGCTTGCTGGTACTACATGAAGACCACTGGGAATATGTTCATGAACAAGACACTAGCAAAATGTTCAAATGAGATTCCTGCCATACACTACTTGCAGTCTAATCTGTGCTTTAAAACTTTCCACACTTTGTTGTTGAAAATGTTGGCCAATGGCACCAGCTGACTATCAAGATATTCAACAGATAGCTTTCTAATTGGATTTACCATGCTCTGTCTGCTACTTTAAATACTTTATACCAGCTTACACAAACTGAGGTTGCTACATGTGGCAACTCTAACATAGTAGATAAATTCCCAAGAGTACAGTAATTGAATAAAATAAATGTCAGTCTTACCTTTGCATACTGTTCACCTGCCATATTTGTTCTCAGTTCCATTACAGCGTCTGCAACAACTGATGACACAGTCTCGTTCACTGCAGTGGAAATGGCAGCTGGCAAAACTGATGCAACCACCTCTGGCACGGCAACTGCAACAACACCTTGAACTTCTGCACTTACAGCCTCATGAACTGCATCATTCACTGCATTTGGCAAGGCCTTCGTAATAGCTTTGGGTACTGCACTTTCAACAGCCTGGGGTACAGCTTCTGATACAGCTGCTTTGACTGCATCAGGAACAGCATCAGACACAGCAGCAGCAACTGCTCTATCAACAGCTGTGTTTACAGCACCTTCCACAGCTACACTCACAGCACCTGCTACTGTTCTTTCAACAGCATCAGGAACTGCTGCAGTAACTGAGTCAGTTACAGCAGATGCCACAGCTTTAGGAACAGCTGAAGCAATGAATTCTGGTACAGCTTCTTTAACAGCAGCATTAACACTTTCATGCAATTGCTGTTTGGTTGTATGAAGTGTATCCTGTATCTGTTCTGACACTTGCTGCCCCAACACAGCAGCTGCTGCATCTACTTTTAGATTCACTTGCTCAGCCACCTGCTCCTTTGATAATTCTGAAAACTGCGTATGCTGTAGATGGATCTCTGCACGTAGTTTCTCTAAAATGGTTTCCATTACAAGTTGAGATGTCTGTGCAACAGTTGCCTGAGTAGCTATCATTGATGCCTCTTTCTCTTCACCTTCTGATAAAAAATAAGAAAATGACAAATTATCAACTAAAGCTAAAAACACTAAGAAAAATAATAAAGTATAAATATTCCTTTGTCATTTGCTCTTGATGGATATTCCATATCTTTAAGAGAGAGGGAGAGAGAGAGAAAAAAAAAAAGTGACGATCTCACTTCATGCAGGCTAGCTTTCAATTCCCAACCGTCTGAGTGGTTGGGTACCATTCCTTTCCTCTGTCTCATCCAAAATCCTTATCCCGATCCCTTCCAAGCACTATATAGTTGTAATAGCTTGGCACTTTCTCCTGATAGGGGAGGGGGGACTATTTGATTATTGAAAAACATCTGAACCAGCAATATAGTGAAGTGGACTCTTATGAAAGAGCAAACAAATACCAGAGACCAAAAATCTAGCCCATTATATATGACCAAAGGACAAAGACAAAGTAATATTACACAATACACCGAGTAAAACGACCTTCAAAAATGTTCTGCTTTGAATTCATAATCAAAGTTTTTTCATACTTACTAGGAATCTGCAAAAATTTACCTTTCATATGGGAACTACAAGCAGCCCTTGATTTGCAGGGTGGCTACATTCCCTCAAACTAAGACAAACTTAAAGGTAAAGTACATATATGGAACAGTGAAAGATAAATTTACGAGACCTCAAAAATTGAACTTTGTTCCACTTTTTGTTCAACAAAACACCCTGCTAAAATTAACAGTTAATGATCAACCACTTTTTAGCAACAAATTCAGCACAATGAAGTCCAGAATGCTTGGGGTATCATGAAGCATAAACACAACAAATAAACAACGAACAGTTTGTAAAGAATAAAAGTATGAACAACGAATAGTTTGTAAAGAATAAAAGTATGAACAACGATTAGTTTGTAAAGAATAAAAGTATGAAGTGTAGAAAGACAAGCACTGCCAAGAATGCAGAAACAGAGATCAGTGCAGATCATCAACTAAAATTCAACTGCACAGTTAAAAACTATAAAAGTCCCTCCAAATCTGAATGCAATTTCTTGCAAGTGTAAATAAAAACAAATTTATTAAACATTAAGAATACTCTTCCCAGTATAATGATTGCACATGTAACTCTTTAATTTTTTTATCTTAGATTTCTTCAATAGAAGAAGCAGTCATAAAAATGGCTTACCTAGAATATTCTTTGCTTGCATTGTTGCCATCAAAGCATTGAGTCTTGTTTCCAGTTCTTCTTTGGCAACGAAGTAACTTTTCAGCCAAGCCCCCATGTCTTTGGCACTCCATGACATTCGAGCTCCAGTATTACCTCCTGGTGTATGGTTTGAAGATAAATCAGGTAGACCCAATATATCACCTAGGAGAGTAGTCACATGTTTCTCAACATCAGCCAGGCTAACACTGGTATTTTTACAACAGCTTTTGACTTCTGTAGCTAAACTGGTGTGGTCATTCTGTACAAAGAAGTGTGCATATTAATTATACATCGATTAAATATCTAGGAATGGGTAATGAAAACTATTAATGTCGATAAAAAAAAATTAAAAAAATATTACCTCAACGATTGGACTGTTAGCCCCTTTTACGTGACATGCAGCTTTTTGTTGAGGTCAAATGACAATGAGCCTATACCTCGGTACACTGCAATCCAAATCAATCTCCAGCCAATTTCCTTTTTAAAATGGTTACTGTAATTGAAGAGGGTGACTAAGGCCAGCAGTAAGGGAGTTTCAGGCATCCCTCCACACAATCACAGCCAAACTTTTCACACGTATCCAAAACTAAAGGCTCAAACTTTTTCATAAAATAGCAGGGGATCGGTATCAGGACAACCTGCCAAAGAGGGGCTGGAAAAGGCAATACTGTATTGCAAAGCCCAGACTCACAAAGTGGCCGCAGCATGATGTACAATAATGTGAGAGGGCAGCTCAACGCTGAGCTGCCCTCTCAATATTTGTCAATCCTGCTGACAAATGGCACACAACTTAGGGTGACAAACTGCCCGAATCCAGCAGGCCAAGAAATGGAGGCAACAGTGATGGCCAATTAAGTTGAAAAGTGCTAATCAAATTTGTAATGTTTCTATACATTTCATGAAAAGATAGCATTTTTACCTTATGCAGTACTAACTATTTTAAGAATGTTTTAAAAAAATGGTAAATAAAAAGATTCATTTTAAATATGTATAAAGTGGAACTTTTTGCATAACCTTACCTATTGGTTAATTTTTTTCTGTGTGTGGGCAGGGGGGGGGGGAAGAGAGGAGGACTGGAACTAAGTATCATGACAAAATATTCTGAATGATCATCATATGCAAAAATGAAGTCATTAAATACTTAAATTTATAATGAAGACAAGTACCTTATTTTATTACACGGTGACATTACCTGCAAGTCAGAAAGTTCACTACTGAGCTGCTCAATCTTTTTTCTAAGATTAGCCAGCTGCTCCTTGTACTCTCGTTGGTTGGCCTCCAACTGCTTGCGATCCACCTCGGATGATCCCTCGATTTTAACCAAGCCAGCACCCAGCTGAAAAGTCGTGCAATGTTACTTATTTCTATGCAAGTTACATATTAATGTATTTTAGACAATGAGTATTATTAACAAAAGTGAGGAACTAGAAATTAAGAATAAAGAACACAGTATGAGGTAAGGGACAAGAAGTACATAGGGTCAAATTATACACAAGGCAGTTTGACAAAGCTTGTTTTCTTTGTTAAACATGTGTATATATACATTGTTAGGTTAGGAGGTATTAACTTGTATTCATCTGTGTTAGGTTAGGTTAGATTTGGTTAGGTAAGATCGGTAGGCTTTAAAATTCATTGGCAAACCATCTTGTTTACCAGCAAGTTTGTAAAGAATACAATACACCTGGTCTTATGAAGTGGTGGAACACTGCTGTGATGATTGCTAGTGTGGTGGTGATTATCATAGATAAATCAATGACAAAGTACTATAATCTGAACTGATTTGAGTAAATCATAACTATCATAATTAGAAAATTTCAGATTATGGAAAAACCTCATGCTTTCAACATGTCATTCATACTGTTATTCATCATTTTGCTGAAACATCTATTTTTTAATATTACTCCCTTGGATTTTATGGGCATTTCCTTTTTATTTGGTTTCTGCTAAAAACTTGTGCTCTTTTCATAGATATAACAAATAATGTTTTTAAAAATACCCCAAAAACTAAGCAAAATTGTTTAGAATTATATGACGACATAGCTGAAGTAACAACCTCAGGCCACAGGTGTGCTGAATGCATAAAATATCATATACAACAAACAAGTATCCTTACAAAGTAATTTTGTTTTAATTGGAAATTATGGGCAAGAAATTTATTCAGCCCCCTCTTTTTCCTACACTTTATTTGTGTTTTTTAGTTAAGGTTGCTATACATAAATGATAATTTTGTTTAATTTTACCAGATATGAAAGTAATGCTCTTTCAGTTATTAATTCAACATACAGATCTTCCTACCTAACAATCTCTAATACATAACTTAATATCTTCTTTCGTGTTCTCTCCTCTTACAAAGACACTAACCACATGGATAAACTATCTATACACACACTAAGTACCTTCAACTTTCCAAGCCCTGTTCACATCTTCAAATTCTCACCGGGATTAAGAATAACAAGGTCATACTGTACTAAATTTGATATTTCAGAAAAAGCTATTTAACACTGGTTCACACAAGGAAATTAAAATTATTCACAACAGCAGTAATAAAAAATACGTACCAAATCTAGTTGTTTTAAAAGGTGTTCGTGCTGTTGCTTCAGAGTCTGCATGTAACTGCTAGTCTCTTGAGATGTTGAGCTTTGCAGTTTAATTTCATTCCATAAAGATGTTGTCTCGGTCTTTATTGTACCCATTTCTTTTTCCATTACTGATCTATAAGAAGAACATTACCGAAGAGAATATGAGTACACACTATTGGACAATAAAATTGCTTCATATATAAGTGTGAATTATGTTTGAAATATTACCGAATAATTATTCTTTACTTTTTACGTTTGATTGAATGGTAAATGGAGGATGGTGCCCCAGAAGCATGCAAGTAATGAAATTATAAGTTTAATAAATTTAGAGACTATTTATGAGTACAAACAAAAAGAACAACAGTGATCTTTGAGTAAAAGACAAACTAGACGAATTTGAACATTAAGTGGAAGATTAAGTGAACATTTTACTCTAACAATTATATATTGTTAGAGTAAAAATGCTAAGATGGTTTGTGGTGTTGCATAAACTGGTAGATGAATGAGAGGAAGTGGTAAGAACAATTGATAAGAAAATGAAGTAGCGAGGATAAAAACTCTTATAAACTATAAGAGACAGAATGAGAAGAGAGGAGAAACAGAAAAAGAAACAACGAGCAAGATAGACAAATGAAAGGTGGTGGGGAGGGGAAATATAAACTGGCAAAGAATGGGTAAACCATCATTACCACAAGGGGTAACGTGAAGTTGAGAGAAAAAAACGATCACCAGGTGCCAATGCAGTATGTTTATAAGGAACCGTCAATGGGGCTCCAATATTGCTAACCCCATGATAGTGCTGCTATGGGTCAAGACCATCCTGCACACTATGGGTATAGTTGTAACACTGTAAAAGTGTTTGGTTTAGTTTATTTAGAATATATATAGAGTACATGAGTCACAGACAAGGATTTGGGAAGGCGCAAGTTGTCGGCCTGAGATCTCACACCTCAAAGTGTTAATGACCCCAAGTGACCTGAGGTCAGATCATGTGAATTTCACCTTGCTTCTACTAATCTTATAAGTGGAGCCTGGTAGCCTTCAAACTTGCCGACGTTTAAGGAGTGGCTTGGTAGAAAGCCGGAGGCTATGTACTTGTGGGCGGATCTAGCTACTAGGTTCCCCAATAAATACTCGGAGAACTATCGATTCGAGAGCATTAAGCATTAAGAGACAGAAGAACGGCAGTCAGCAGAGCAGAGGAGACGGCCCTAGCAGGGAGGCTGTCGGCCGGCCGGGCGGGACAGTCTCTGTCAGCTATAGACTCCCTGTAACACTGTAAAAGTGTTTGGTTTAGTTTAATACATACATAGAGTACATGAGTCACAGACAAGGATCTGAGAGGCGCCAGTTGTCTGCCTGAGATCTCACACCTCTAAGCGTTAATGACCCCAAGTGACCTGAGGTCAGATCATGCGAATTTCACCTTGCTTCCGCTAAGCTTATAATTGTAGTCTGGTAGCCTTCAAACATGCCGACGTTTAAGGAGTGGCTTGGTAGTGCCGGAGGCTATCTACTTGTGGGCGGAGTTAGTACTAGGGTCCCCAATATATACTGAGGGAGCATAGAGTATTAGGCATTAAGGGAACAGCAGACGAACAGCAGAGCAGAGAAGACGTCCCTAACAGGGAGGCTGTCGGCCGGCAGGGGCGAGACAGTCTCTGTCAAGCTACAGACCCCCCCCCTCTCTATTCGACTTAGACTCAGTCCTCGGTGAGTGAACATTAAGGTGACTTGGTCGTGTTTACATATGTTGTGTGATGATCAGGGGCAGTCAAGTTGTAGGGTTCTCGAATTCTTGGATGATGACTCACTTTGCATATTAAACTGGAACATTTAAATTGAATTGCTAAATTATGATACTTCATGGGAAATATAATTATGAATTTATTATTTAAATTGTGTTTAACTTTGTTCCCTAGAGATTTGAGTTGAGGTGAGAAAGCCTCTGTGGTTACTGGTTTCATGGTTTAGAATGAGTACATGATAAAGATGGGACCATACTAATAATGATCTCTTGATAACATCTTTGGTGAATATTGTGATACAGACAAGTTCCATTCCTTGTCTTGTATGTAATGATCATGAATGGATGGTGGCAGTATTTTGTCTTCTACTATCTACTCTTCTACTTCTACTATCTACTTTCTACTTCTACCTATCTACACCTCTCCCTCCACCCCTCTCTGAACTCTCACTTTCAACTAATGACCCTCCTCGCTCCTCCCACCTCCCTACCTCTCACCCCAAACCCTCACTAATTACTTCACTATTCATTTCTTTCCTTTCATTTTCTCTTATACGTTTGTGGCAATGATTCTGTATTCTAGAGCTCTCTCTAGAGTTTCGGGTAACTGATCAAGTGACGGCGCCTTGTAGTCTTAGCACCTAGGTAGTCAAATACCTAGGTTACAAGGTGTTGAACGAGAGAGGTTGCCTTAGGAACTCTGGGAGTGCTCTAGAATAGTTAGCTAACTGGGGACGGGATAACGGACTAGAGAGAGCCGTTTCCCCCAGCCTCGTTAGTTAACTGGGGGGTGGAATAATGGACAAGATAGAGCTATTTCCCCCACCCCCCCGTTACATAGTGTTTATAGAGAAGGCTATAGAGAAAATTAAAAAAATGTCAATATACAAAGATGAAGTCTAAAGTCAACATACAGTAAAAATCATGCAGATGGAAAATACAAGACTAGCATAAAAATGGAAAACCTTTGATACCCTTGCATAGAATACTCACTTTACAATGTTAGAAACATCCTCAACTGTTAAATGATCCTTATTAGAACTTCCAGATGTTGCAGTAGCAATGAGGACCTTCAATTCTTCACTGTTCAATACTTTGCTAACAACTTCTTCAACTGATACACCACTAGTATGCATGTTCTGCTCAGTATCTGCGGATGGCTGCGGTAATACTGTAGCATCCTTTAATACTTTTCCTGTAGGCTCTGATGATTGGAAGAATGGTGATACAAGCTGCAATAATAATAAAAAAAAAAGGTGCAAATATGTCAGTAAAACACATTAATAAATACATGTCCAGTATTTAGCCATTTATAGTACTATATTACAAAGCAGCCTTTAAGTCATAAAAATATTAACATTTATACAATATTAATACTACCCACCACTTTGGTATTACTGATGACTGAAGAGGATGTTTCCACTGCTACAGATGACACTGTGGTTGCAGCAGAAGTTATGAAACCAATGGTACTAATACCAACATACATCAGTGAAGTCCAGAATCCAGATATTAGGTACCACACTAGTGACCAGATTGAGCTCAGGAGCCAGAGGACGAATGATGCAGCAACGCCAAGGCCTTCAGAAATACTCATCACTAGCCACAGCCATCCAGTCCAGAGCCAACTTTTTGATGCCTGGATTACATCTGTGGTGCTCGCATACTTTTCCGACATCCATTCCATTGGAGAGAAACTTGAAGCCCAACTATTCCACGACAGATTTTCTGTATTTACCGTTTTCAAATCCTCAGAACTCTGATTAGTGCCAATAAAAGGCAGAAAGAGGCCAGTCACATAAGATACAGATGAAGAAAATAAACTCAAGATTGCCAAGACTAGATAGTAAAGGTATTCCAGTATTAAGTAAAGAAACTGCAAAATGTATTCTAAGCAGATTTGTACAGCAGATCCAAGCCATGAAAACATGCCCACAATTAAGGTCCACACTGATAGAAGACCTGTGTAGCAAGCAGATGCTAACCACGACACTATGCCTAGTGTACATTCCTGAATATAAGTAAAGCTATGGGATATGTTTGAGGTCACCCAGAATGTGAGGTCAGATGCAGAGGTCAAAATTAAAGGCAAGAAAGAGGGTCCATCAGTTTCTGTGGGGTGAGTAGTATCACCTGTCTTGGCACGAGACTGCGACAGCCACCAGTAAGCTGTTAGTAGAGAAAATTTATATTAGCTTGTCATTCTTCTGATAACATGAATTAAGATTTATCTCTATGTACACAATAATTGTGAATAAAACTAAGAATCATTTAATATAAAAAATTAAATTAAAAAATTGAATGAACAATAATTCTTGAAGCATGTAACACAAACTACTAAATGAAGCATAGTAGTAAGTATTAAAGTTCTCTTCAATCCTCTTATCACTACAACCCAGTACCAAACCGTATACAAATCATGTTATCAGGTGAATGTTTGATTAGCATTATAGAAGGTCATGTCATTTCTTTCATAGCTTTGATGCCAATTTATATTACATCCCAATACAAAATTTAGCTTAAAAGCAGACAATCAAGGAGTTGAATAGCCTTAACACATGAATTAGTGATTTAATAAATCCCTAATATTCATGCATCAGGATACAAAACGTTTCTACTCTATTCAAGCTTTTAAACATTCATGTGTAAATTACTTGCAACATTTAATCACAAGATGCACTAAAGGTACAGGAGCAATGATTGAAATCTTAATAGCATCAAGCATTCTGTGACTATTATGCAGATGCATTTCTCAAACTGACATTCTTGACCCCCACACTTGCAGGCAGAAAATACACAATGAAGATAGATGAAAGAAATTTGATTTATTAAAGTAAATATTTGTTAAGCCAAGAGTCAGCTTCTGAGACATTGGTCAACGTGTGCATGTCATGTTGGGCTTGTGGGTTGTAGTAATCTGAAAACAACAAGTTGCACATCTCATTTCTAATCAAGTGACTTCAAATGTTTAAGGTAATATTGTCAAGCTCATAAGCAACAGATTAGCAGTTTAAATCAATTAAAAATACACAAATCAGAAATAAAGGTACAAATGATTAATGCATAATTTGATTATTATTAATTGAAACTTGTAGCAGTGAAAATGCAGATCAGTAATTGACCTACACTTATGCAAACAAAAAAGTTACTCAAATAATGTAAACACATTAAAGGATTGTATGAAGTGAGAGGGTAGCCAAGAAAAAGACTAATTTACTGAAGAACCTGCTCTCTGGTGTCACTTCCAAGGGCAACCAAGTCACTTTGTATCTATTGAAGTTAAGCCTCAAATGAATTCATAAATCAATCATTTCTATACAATAAAATTTATTGAAGAGCACATAAAATTGTTCAGTATTTGGTCTATGAATCTTTTTAGTGGTCACTAATGCATAGACGTGTGCACCATAGCAAATGTGGTTTGGATACAACCTCCGGCATCCACAATATTCAGTATTATCGTACTTCGCAGGTTTCCCCCACAGTCTGTTTACTTGCCGCTGTTAATGTCACTTCATATCTCATTGGTGATTACAGTCTTACTAAAATCCTGTACAGCACTACAAATTTGCTACATAATGCATAAACTGTACTATTTATAATTTGGGAAAGTATGTTGGAGCAATATATATATATATATGCAAATAAATTGCATTATGTTATACACAGTATTAATCTGAAGAGTATACAGCTATGTATACCATTTTATCTCCAGGTATAGATAAAGAAGATAAAATAGGCCATTAAAGATGCAAATTTAATTCTTCTCTCAAAATCAGATGTTACTGTAACAAAAATTAATAGTACAGTTTAATGTCTTGCTCTATAAATGGCACTATAAAATCCATGATCGTAATCGATGACCCTAGGGAAGGTAAGCAGAGCATGGAAGGCTGGGGCGAGGATGCAGAAAACTTGAGCAAGGAACTGGATACAAGCTGGAGGAGGGAAATACAGCGCGCTGGCCCAACCACCATGGATATGACTTGCAGCTAATGCTGTAGACGGGTGGATTGATGGGGTTTACATGTAACTCGCAGTCGAGTACCACAGGAATTCCCGAAGGGCAGTCGGTGAGGCTGGCCAGTCATCTGGCCTAGTGGGATATAGCCTAGTGTTACAGGATGATGGGGGTTCTAGTCCCAGTTCCCGGGAGTTGGAAGTCTGGTCGGATTTTCTTCAAGTGTTGTAGTCACAGAGGTAGTCAACGCTGTCTTGAGGGTCGACCACGCGAATGAGCCATCCTGCTGCTTTGAACTTGCTGTCCCAGTATTCATTATGGACGTCTAGAGTTCTTTAGTCTGGACCCTTTGGCAAGTAGGTAGTTGTCTCGTCAGATCCAGCTGGAGCCGACTGCCTGGAAACCTGTCAGTCCTGTTGGTGTCGCCGAGGGGTGTGGTGGGGGTGATGGTGGCCAGGCGGCTGGAGAGGGGGCGGGAGAGTCGATGACGTCGCATGAAGCATTAGAGTCAGTCGAGTCGTGGTGGTGGTCAGCTTCCGTAGGTTTGCCTTCGGTGTCAGTTGAGTCTTCGGAGTTGGCTGTGTTGTCATGGTCGGCTGTGTTGTCATGGTCAGCTGTCCTGGGGGCTTCTGCCATCCCAGTTAGTGGGATGAGCTTGGGGATTGTAGAGTTTGGTCGTGTTCCTGGTTAAGACCGGGAATTCCAACGGAAGTGGGTTTGCTGGTCAAGGTGAGGAGGTGGTTGTCATCATCTTTATTTCCTCCTGCCAGAGGAGACAGTCAGGTGAGACTGCAGAGTGTGGGCCACTGCAGAGCAGGCAGCGTCGGTGGGAGGATGTACAGGCCGTGTAGTGGTGCTCCTGGGCGCAGAGACCATCTCTGTGCTGGCTTTGTGCACTTCCTGGTGAAGTGGGAGTACTGGTAACACTTGAAGCACTGCCGGACCTCTGTGTAGCGTTTCTGGGTCACTTAGACAAGTGATATAGCGATGCCATAGCATTTGACTCCCTAGTCTGTAACGTGTCGCCGGGATGGCCATGCTGAAGATCACCTTCAGTGTTGGTCTGCGGCTGAGGACGGCATTGGTGATGGTCTTGGCCGCTACCGCGGTCAGTGTTGGGTCCTTGGTGCGAACACTGGCGAGGATGATGTCGCCGTGATTGGTTATCCATGTGCTAATACTTCTGGTAAACGCTGTCCCATCTACCAGGTAGCGTCGTAGTGGCCTGAGGGTGGGGCTGGCGTCTTTCACGGTGATTGTGACAGTGGTCGCAAATATCTTCTCAAGGCCCAAGTCGCTAGAGAAGAGCAGGTGAACACCCTCTCCTGTCTCCAGGATATCAGCCGACAATACGTTTCCGGTGGTGGTGATCTGCTCAAATCTCACTGGTGGAGAGAATGAGGTTATCCTGAAGGCGAACTTTGACCCTATGCAACATGGTACAGGGCAGTCCTGAACCATAGGAGCTTGGGATGGTAGTACAGATCCTTACCACCCTCTCAATGGGTCACAGTGGTTTTCGATGTCGTGTGGAGTGGCTCAAGCTTGCTGGTGCTCTACCCGACAATGCTCATTACATAAGGAGGCCCTCCATCGTCTCCCATGTGTTACAGAATGAGAGTAGTGCTGACCTAGTGAAATGCACCTTGCCGACTATCACACAATTGGTCACCACGATACTGTTTTACTCAAATCTTATTGCTTCCTTTGAATCATGGGTAAATTTCTCTCTCAATTTCATCACTTTCTTCATTTCCATACAATAGAATAACTTTAAACCATATTTTAGTAACCTAATTCTTCTATACACCAAGTACTATAAAAATGTTACACACACATTAATCCAAACATACAGTAAATGGTAAGTTATCTAGCAACTACCATAACAGAAAAAGATGGAGAGTTGTAAGTCATGTTCAACATACCTTAGCCTACACATTTGTTAAGCAGAAATAAACTAGCTTATAATCTAACTTTATTAAATAAAATATTAACTACAGAAGATACATTTTGTTTGCACGTGGGCAATCGAAAACACTGCCCGAGGTGTTGGTGCCAGTGCTATGTATCATCCAGCCTGACTGAACGTTCCAATTGTAGAACAAGCCAGCACTTACCTTAGAGAGAACCCAAATTAATTACTCAAATATGCTCTTCATAACTCAAAGCCCAATTTATAGTTACAGCAGCATCATAACTTTTCACAAATCTTATTTTAAGAGTGGTATTCTGGTACTGTACTGTAAAATATCAGCTTGGTTCAACCACCAATACACTACACTACTTCATTTACTCATTACATGTAATTAAACTTTTATGACAGCTAAACTATCAGGTAAAATGTTATCAGAAAATACTTTCGAGCACTTATTGTTAATGTGTGACGGTAAACATTCAAGACAATATGTAGACAAGATTCCAATGATTGCTATAACTGTATAAAGAGAGAATAAGCAGCAGTTCATACAGGAGCCAAGAAAATAATATGACATTTTCTTTAACATGTAAACTATACATAGTATAGTAGAACTCCAGTAAAATAACTCGCCCCAACAAATTCATTAAAGGTTCATAAGATATTCTATCATACGGATTATAATTTGTCAGTTTGTTTGAGCATGATCACACACACACACATTCTATTTGCTGAAACGAGTGTATTTATTATACCCATTTTCCAATCTTGAGCAAGCGTTACCAATTTCCACAGTTCTATATAAAACAGCCAAACAGCCAGCAACGATACACTTACCAACAAGAGCCAACAGTAGGAGTATAAAAAGAAGCGGAATCCAAAGTAAAATTGGATTTTTCCTCAAACGGTTCCTTGACGATTCAAATAATTCTGTTGTTACTGTCATCACTTTCCGTCTGGAGGTGTTCATAGTAGAGAAAATTGAATATTTTGAGGACGTTTCTGAAGTTGACGACACACCAGTGTCAGCAGCAGTAGCAGTAGTTAGTGCTCTAGTAGCCATCATGATGATAGATGTGGTGATTATTGTACAAATTCTTGTTATGGTCTGCCATGTATTCTTGGTCCAAACCATTACTGTACCTGCAGCAAATGATTAGATGAGAAAAAATTTACTGTTCAAGCCTACTTATGCATATTACAGTACAGTACATGTAAATGAACAGAGCAGGCTTCAAGTACAAAAACTGGTAAAGAATGTGACATGATAATGGAATAGGAAACAATACTCTCAGATTTATGTTAATTGTACTCGGCTGCTAATAAAAAAAAAAAAGTACAGAATGTGTGTAGGCTTTCCATTATTTTGTTTTAGCATATACAGGATGAAAATTTTTATAGTACTTTGAATGTAAAAACCAGACAAAATTTATATTCATATTCAAAATTACTCTGCACAAGTCACTTGTGGCTGGAAACAAAAATTACTTTAATAAATAAATGCCCCTTAAATTTATTATCTGCAGTTTTTCTCTTCACTGAACCCAGTGTTCACCAGATACTGATACTGCTCAGGAAATTTGGGATACTCTACCAGCTCATATACCACATTAGCCAGTAATTGACCATATTAAAATGCCTACAGGGAGTTTAGCGAATCACAATAATCATCTGGATAACAGTCAAATTAGGTTTACCAATTTGTGACATTTTGGCAAGCAGGAACCAAGTGTATTCGTGATGTATGTGAGGTGGTTGTGGGTAAGTAAATCTTGGATTGGGAGAGGTGGTGCCCTCTGGCAGTGATGATATGGTGCAAGATTTTGTAAATGGCAAATTAAGGCAATCAAGGTTTCCCCACTGCTACTTACAAATGTCATCACTGAATTCTGGAAGGCTTGCACTTGTGAACAGACCTTCTAAACATCAGTAATTTTGGATGGATGGACACTAGTTTCCAACGCTTTCCAACCATCTTTTTATGTACAAAGAAACTTATTCCCAAGGCAGTGCCACATGTCACTTGTCTGCCTGTAGTTTGCAAGCCTTCTACACATGCAGCATATTCAGTACAGTATACATTTGCAATCAGCAGAATATGTAGCTAAACGAAGTAGTATAATTACACCCAATCAGTAAATTCCGAGTAAATACAAAAATTTTATTTCAGACGCTGAGTAATATAAGGGACACCACTTCTGATGCAATTGTGAGGACCCATAGCCTTGAAGAAAGAAATAAAGAGCATTCAGAGAAAAACTTGCCAATTTACTAATACATATGAATATTACTATCTCTAATATTAAAGTACATACTTTCAGGTCTTTCTTCCTCTTCCAAATCTTCTGCAATGGCTCCTTTGGCTAGTGTGTATCCTTTAGACGTTTCAAGTAACAAAGTTGATTTTGAACGAGATCTATTGATGGGGGTGGCTGAACGACCCAAAGGAGTACCACTTCTTGCCGTTAGTGGTGTGGCACGCAGAAGTACAGTAGATTCTACACCATCACCGTCACTTTCTGTGTCTAACCCCCGGTGCAGCGTTCTGGTAGTTGTAAATGCTATAGAACAAAGTAACCAATATTAAAATGAGAACACATTGCCCTGAAAAATTACAAATTCATTCTTTTTATTAGAAAACTCCATTATTGAAAGATTCACTATAATTTCTAAAATTAAACTTCAAGGAACTTCAATACTTACAAGAAGAGGTAACAGTTCTAGTAACAGTTGAACCATTGACCTTAGGCACGACATCAATACTTTGGCTTCTGCTGGATCTCGGTCGTCTGGTGCGTACGACTTCCTCCTCTACTTCGCCATCGCTAGTATCTGAATCATATGATTTTAGCTATTTATATTTTAAAATCCTCATTTAGCAATGCAGCAACAATTTTTTTATTGTCTAGTTTAACAAATGTCCATACACACTTGGGCCTTAACATCACAAAATATACTCTATATGGTTTGAAGGCAACCAGTCAAAGAAGATAGCATCGATATTCCAAGCTGGCATATTTAATTCGCTTTGTCCATTCCAGCCAGCCAGTTCATCTGGCCTGCCCTGCCCTGCCAGACTGATCCAGCCACAGATTTATACAATTCCAAATCTAACAAGGCCTTCAGAATCACCCGATACCACAATAAATAAGTACAGCATATGCAAGGCACTCACAACAAACAAAAAATAATTAACTTAAAACCACAATCATACCCGAGAGGGCGTCCATTGATCGGAGTACAGTTCTTGTCCTGAGGTTAAGGTGACTTCTGTCAGTCTCGTGGGACATATCATGTGTTGAGGAGAACTCTGGGGACTGATGATACCCTAAATCCCCACCCCTCAGACCTCGACGGGACATATTGGGGGACCCGATTTTCCGGTCAGGTGTCACTCGATCACGGTATGTGAGCGACTCGCTATAGGTGTAATTTGATTTAGGCTGCTGTCTGTTGGCACAAAAGAAATAATATCAATGACAATAACATGAACCTTATACAAAAAAAAAAAAAAAAAAAAAAAAATTAGTATAAGAAATATTATACTTTTTACTTATGCACACACACAAAGTTTCAAAGCATTATATGACAAAGTATGCTGGGAAGACAGGACACCACGAGCGTAGCTCTCATCCTGTAACTACACTTAGGTAATTACACTTAGGAAATTACACACACACACACACACACACACACATCTTTTGGCTGAGTGGACAGCGCTCGGGTTATAGTCTTAAGGGCCCCGAGTTCAATTCCCGGCAGAGGCAGAAACAAAGGGGGCAGTTTCTTTCACCTGGTACAGTACTAAGTTCACCTAGCAGTAAATAGGTACCTGGGAGTTAGACAGCTGCTACAGGCTGCTTCCTGTGAATGCGTGTGTGTTAGAGAAAGACATATTAGATGAAAAAATAGATCAGTTAGAAAGGCAGGGTCCAAGAGCTAATAGCTTGAATCTGCAGACACAAACCTTAAAGACACAAATGTGGGAAAATTTATACTGTATAAAATTTTATTCCACAGAAGATGATGAGAATAAAAAAAAGTACTGTAATTGCAACCATGGATACTGAACTGCCAGCCAACAAAAACTAATTTCAGGGTGTTTACTGAGGAACAGGCAAGAAATTGTTATGCGCAGGTTAGTGAAAACTGAGGATTTGATAAAGATTTATAAAGGAAAACTTATTTGAAAATGGCATTTCCCAACAGAAGGAAGAAATTAATAGCTTGACTGACAAGGTGAAGAGACAGGACGTACAAATCAAATTGCCATTGAAAGAGAATGAAATGTGGGAATTGAAGGGGGTGAATTTTGAAGAATTAAACAGGAAAATAGATACATATGGTGAGAAACTTGGAAAATTCCCACATGCTACCAAAAAATAGGGAGTTAGGTAAGGACATCATAAGGGAAACTTCATGGACAGCTCAAGTAGAGAAGTTACCAAACGAATAGAAAAGTACAATGAGGAAATTAAAGAAACAAATGCACAAGTAATGGATTCTAGAATGTTTTACATCATGTATAATACTGAACACTGCTACACAAATTTCTTCCTTCTAACTATGGTAGGTATCACATTTGCAACAAATACAGATATAGTACAGTACTTGTGAGTAAAGTTGGCATCATTTAACCTCTTGTGATACAGGCAAATAATAAATTATACTTTTTTTACTTGGATGCAATGCATGTCCAGCTATTTCAACATTTAACTTTTTTATAGTTTAATACGTGGGAAAGTGAGCATGAGTGGCATTTTATATAGTAGTATTTCTGGTGTTTGTAGGAATTGTGGTGGATAGATACAAGGTTGTTCTGTGTAGCTGGCAGGGAATGCCACTAGGATAAAAGGTTAAAACAAAGAAAGCAAAGTGTCATCCTAAACAGAACTGAATCTGACTGGAGAGATGCGGCGAGTGGGATATTGCAAAGGTCCATTTTGGGGCCAACCCTTTTTGTCATATGCAGTACGTACTGTACATCAGATTTATGATAAAGTGGGAAGTGAAAAATGAGATTAAAGCCTTAAAGATATTTAAGTGAACTTCACAAATGGTTGGAAGACTGACAAGTGCTTTTTAATATAAAAATGCAAGACATTGCAGGTGGGACATAATATTCCATATTATAGCTAGCACATTAACAACATTACAGTGGAGCCTCAATTAACAAATTTAATCTGTTCCGGCATTGAGCTTGTCATGTGAAACTCTCGTCTTGTGAAATGAATTTCCCCATTTAAAATAATGGAAATAAAATTAATCCGTTCCACCACCTAAAAAAATGAACAAGATATTCGATTTTTTAAATAATGGAGCAGCAGTTCGTTCACACACAACAAACCTTTGGCTTTTTTTCCAAATTTTTTCATTTTTTTTATTTTCACTAAAAAAATTTCAATACTTTGCAACATTACAGCAGTCACCCCTTTACTTCCCATCATCATTAGCATCTTTTAAAAAAAAAAAAAAAAAAAACGATTTGCAAAGGAATAGAAAAGAACAATGAGGAAATTTGAGAGAACCGAGAATTTGCGAGAACCAGCTGGAACACTAGGAAGCACCACATGGTTTTCTCGTTAATGAAGCGGAAGCTTGTCAATCAAGGCAAATTTTCTGCGAGGGGCTTGCTCGTTACTCAAAATGCTCGTAGATGGAGCCGCTTGTCACTTAAGGTTCCACTGTACCTTAATTTAAAGCAGATTGATGAAAAGGACGTTTAAGAAGAATCCATAATTCACTGAAAGTTGCACAACAGGTAGGAGCAACAGTATATATATAAAAAAAAAAAGTCCTAACCAAACTTTAAGAATTGTCGAGCAAACATTTAACTTCAAAGAAAAGAAAGTAGTTATTCAACTGTATAAATCTCTGGTGCACCCCCCCTTTGACTATTGTATCTAAGCATGGAGACCTCATCTTAAATAAGAAAAACATAGCCGCTTTGGAGAAAGTTCAACACTAGGCAATAAAAATAATTCCAGAATAAAGATCTGTTGACCCTCATACCAGGAACTGTCTAGGGCCACAGCATTAACAACACTGTAAACCAGACATGATTGGGCTGAGCTCGTCTAAATTTAAAATACTGAACAGTTTGGAGGATACTGACCCAGGCAACTTCTTCAAAATAAGAAATGTAGCAAACAATGAGCAACGGTTTCAAAATCGACAAGCTGCAATGTAGGACAGAAAACATACTTTTTCACCCATAGACACAGTGGTAACACACTTGCCCCGCACTTCGTGAGTGATTTGGCCTAAGTTCGTATCCTGGCCGGGGAGGAGTGACTAGGCGCCTTGACTGTGTACCTGTTTGCCCAGCAGTGAATGAGTACCCAGTTGATAAATGTTTGGCAGGACATATTCATGGGAAAATAGTGGGCAGAGCTTACCATGAGCTATGTGAAAGGAAAGCTCTCAGCCTGAGTCAGTAGTCATCTGTTCCTGTATCCACTTGGGGGGGGGGGGGGAAAGTAAATGCGAAAGCACTACCAGGTGGTACACATTCACTGCTGGGTGAACAGAGGTAACAGTTAAGGATTGGTGCCAAGTCAATCCTCCCCAGCCCAGAAAACTTACCCAGGCCAAAGCACAATCGAAGCGCCGGGCAAATGTGTTACCATTGTGCTGCGGGGACATCTCAATAAAATCATCAGGACCTTTGACAAACCTTTGTCAAAAGGTCATGTCCTCATAGAGGCCACTAGTGAGTGGCACTCACGTAAATTCTGGTAAACAATGTGCCCATATAACGAGTGAGCTCTGGTAATTGTCAAAAGCCTAAATGTTTTAGATTTAAGTCAAATGATGAGTTTTTGTTTTAATCGAGCTGCACTGTACAATAAGTAAAGAAGCCTTAGTTTTAGTATCATGCACAAGTGCTCTGTTCCAGTTAATTGACGATATTATATAGTCAACCATGCTGTCATTTTCCCCCCATATCCAGTGTATAGGTGACGATTATCGAGGCAGACGTAAACAAACTCTCGACACATGTACGTGTCTCCACCCACGTGACCCACACCATCTTAACCCTTGGCATATAAGTCGCACATGATCACCGCTAGTCAAGCTGAAGCGGGATTTTAAGTTTCTACCATTACCTTCCACTTGGCTGACACTATGTCTTAACTGATCAACGAAATTTAAATTATTTTCCAACCTAACTCTCGATATATTATGATATATATACAACACTATATATGAAGATACGGGGAAACAACACGACGGCGCCCACGCCCTCCCACACACGTGCACCCATACGCATTTCATTATGCTCCCTCCATTTTTCACAATCGTTCCAGGGTTGCCAGATCCAAATTGCTAAACGTAGCGAGCTGACGGTCAAAAAGTAGCGAATTTGCAAGTAGAGTAGCCCAATTTTTTGTTTAGCCAAATCGAATCAAATCACACGTTTATTCAGGTAAAAGTACATACATACAAGATGAGTTACAAACAATGTTAGATTTCTAGATAGCGACAGTACATACAGACAGACGACATTCAAATTTAGTAAGTTTATCTTCCTTCTTTGATTGAACAGACTTGATGCTCATCTGCTGATGACTTACCTCCGATATATTTTGTCCGTGTTTTAATGTTTCACTGTGTTTCTTTAAAACACTTCTATGAGCTTTTATCTCAGTTCTACAAACTTTACAATATGCCTTATTTCCATCTTCTTTCACTTCAGCCAACCACTTTTCAAACACGGGATCCTTAAGCCAGGACATCTAAAACGCTTTATGGTATTTAGACCACTTCCCCATTTTACACTTCTTTATCTTAACACTTAAGTAAATTCTAAAAGTAACAGCGGTAACTTCTTTTCTATATGCGGTAACTTGTGTCGAACTATCCTTCTGGAGGTCAGAGCCACACTAACAATGAAAGCACAGATGAAGCTGCCAAGTTCACTTGTATGCTAATCCGCTCTTAACGACAGTCATTTGATTCTTGGAAACACCTAAAGAGAAACCTAATATTTACAGTAGGCAACAGTGGGAGGTCACTTAATTAACAGATAGTACCCGGGATGAAGTGTTAATGACAATTAAGGTTGGGAAATCTACAGCCCCTGGGGAGGATTATCTTGCCTTGCGGTTACTTTTTCTTTGGGAAGTTCCTAGGATCAACGTCCCCAGGGGGTCGGTCACTGACCTGGCCTCCTGCGGTAAGTGGTCTATTCAATCAAGCTGTTGGACACGGCTGTGATTTGTACACATGGCATTATAAAAAGCATAAAAATCATCATTGAGTTTCTTAACATTAAAAACAAGTTGGGCTATTTTGGGCTATTAAAGTAGCCCAAAAAGTCGCAAGTAGCGAAATTAAAAATTTGGGAGCGCGGGGTTCTGAAAAGTAGCCCAATTCGCTACTTGTATCCCAATCTGGCATCCCTGAATCGTTCATCGAAACACACCGTGAACGCCACTTGGGCTAAC